AAGTCGTGAACTTTTTAGATACGGAGTAAATTGATAGTAGATTCCTAACCCTTATGCTGAGATGGCTTCTATTATACTTTTTGCATATAAATACGTGTTCTCTCGTACTCGGAAAGGCGCAGTATATGTTATTCTTATTCTCGTGTTGACAGTTGCCGTTAGGGGAAGTGACCTGCAAGGCCATAGGTATGGATACGAATAACTCCACTGGGCCAATGATATATAAGCAATACACCCCATACATAATATGGAGTGTACAACATATATATGCATGACGATTGCCATGATTTCCGCCCCATTGCCCGCATTCCCCCCCAATGACCGTGAACAACTTTGGAATACATTTGTACGCCCCCGTACAAGGGATAGTCTTATACTCTGTAGAAACTCTGCTGTTAGAGTACTCCCCTATTTACATAGTTAATTTCATCAGATATTAATTAATGGACTCATAAGTGGGATTCATCTCCTAGGCCTCTTTTTACCTGGCTGAAGATATCCCTCGTATATAGTATATCTTTCCTGAATTTTTCTGAATCATGTGGATGGATATATCCCTCTTTTAATAAAGTCTTGTAAAATTGGAAGCAAATTGCATTTTGCCTAGCATCCACTGTGGGTATTTTGAATATCTCGAGAGCATTGGCCCAATTCGGAAGGAGGATAACAGTCCATCGATCAAAAGACCAATTACTCAACTGGTCCAAGTATAACGCACGTGTGCCCTTTGCTCTTAGCGATAGCGGTTATGATATCACGTCTAATCTGCAAAGGAAACAGCGGGGGGGCGCAAAGGCCCGTCGTTCTCGGAGATTTTCCTTCAACGCCACGTGCGGATGGGACTGGTTTTGATGCTAGATTCGATAACGATTTGGCTCCACGTCCAAGCTTCCAAGGTTCATTTTATATTGACCTCCAGAGCGATTACTGGATACCCAGGAACTGTCAGCGGGAGACACGGATGGTAAGCCTAAAGCATAATTTTGATAACAAGAGACGAAAGAAAAAGATAGAGTGAGAAAGAAAAAAGAGACAGAGGGCTAAGATATCGAGGCATAGAGCAGATTCGAAGTAAGGGAAAAGAACAAGGGATGGAAGCAAAAGGAGAATACTTTCTGCCTGAGGATAGAAGTTCTGCCTGATGCCAAGGATCATGTATGCCTCAGGCTCCACAATCAATTTCACCTAATCTACCGAGTAACCTCCCAAGGTCTCTAGGGCTGTGTAAGTGTATCTTATTCATCTTATATTACTTTCTGTTTAAATTAATACAGCATTCTACTGCTATATGGTAGCAAAAACTGAAGGGTCTGTCTATATCCTAGTGACGCTATACTTATCTCAGACGCCCCCTGGGGAATGCATCGATGTTTCGCTTCGAACGATGCCCTGTCTTGTATGATCGCACTGGATTATTTTTTGGACATCGATGTAACTTCAAAGCTGATACCGGGTCGTATATTGGGTGGCTTTTTGCTTCATACGTGAGGGTGCATAGTTAGAGCCCGCTATCCTTTGCCAGCTTGAGATCTTAATCCATAGCTCGAACGTCGAGCCAAGTCTTGTTCCGACTATTGATCAAAATGGGCTTTACGGGTGGAAAAGGGCGCATAACTATTGAAAGTAACACACCATTTCACTGTTAATACAACTTGAGATATTTGGTTATGGCCTAGATAGTCAGGCTATACAACATACTTGTCTGACATTTCCTCAGTTTACTCTGTCTGCAATCGAATATCATGAGATCACTTGCTTATAACAGTAAGTTAAATGGCTATCAAACCTTGAGCTCAGAAAAGCTCGACAAGATGTAACGATGTGCAGGGTATAATATATGACCCCCCTGTAGATCATCCAGCTATCGCCACCCGTTGGTCGAGAGGTTCTCCGTAACCCTCCAAATTACATGTTAATCCCAGCAACCGACCCAATAACAGTCGCCATATTATCCACGGTGGACTATCAGGAGTATTTTGTATGTTGTGGATGAATCCAGCCTTGATCGCTCGTCTCAGATGCCTTAGCTCACTTCTCATTAGAGTAACTCCCCTCGTTCTTCAAGCATAAATGAGACAACATCAATCAAATTGATGAGCAAATACACACGGTTTACTTTCCCCTGGCGGAAGCTCGGATTTGTACCGAAGATCAGATTTGTGGGTATAAAAAGGCCCAACCCGCGATAATGTGAGTAGTAGAAGATTCAACTCTACTATATATTACTTTCTACCGTACCTTCCCTTATCATGCTTGGCAACCTCCCATCAGTCGCAGCCTTGCTGGCACTCAGTATGAGCGCCCAGGCAAGTCTAATCTTCAAAAACTCCGGCACAACCTCAGGTTGGGACAAAACGAACCAAGAGCACCGCGGCACCGTGAAGCAAGTGACGGACGAGGCATATGAGGGCAAAACCGCCATCAAGATGACTCAAATCTACGACGAAGACTACTCCGGCCGGTACCACTCGGAAGTGGTCAAGAACGACGTGTACAAGCGTGGCGACACGGGCGCATACGGTTTCTCCTTCCGACTGCAAGACGACTGGCAATTCCTCCCCGTGCAATCCTACGGCATCGCGCAATTCATCGCCGACTTCACAGACAGCGGCTGCGAAGACTGGATGCCGACAACCATGGTCGCCCTCAAGGGCGACAAACTCTACTCGCGTGTCAAGGATGGCTCGGTCTGCAAGCAGGAGGTTCATGGTTTCAGCGACCTAGCTACGGTGACTGCTGGTGAATGGCATCGAATTGAAATTGAAGCGAAGTGGGAGTCGGATGGGACGGGCCATTACACATTCTACTATGATGGAGAGAAGGTGTTGGATGAGCAGAATATCAGCACTACCGTTGAGGATGATCGTGCTTTCCAATTCCGGGTTGGCCTTTATGCCAACGGCTGGCATGATGATAAGCAGATGAAGGGCTCTCAGGGGACTAGGTCGATTTGGTATGACGAGATTGCCGCTGGGACTAAACTTTCTGATATCTCGTCTGAAGCCGAGATCGATTCCGGCGATTGTTGATTTGGGTCGATTCGAATATTTTGTATTTAGTCAGGGACAATATTGACAGAACAATGGATGTGTTTAGCTAGAATCGAAGCAGAGTTATGGTTATGGTTTAATTCCGTTGAAATGAATGTACCTGTCTCAGATCTATGCTCCATACTAGAGTTGCACTTCTATTTGGAGCCGGCTATGGCGTGGGAAAAAGAATTGCATTCGACATATTGTAACCATTCACAATTCATAGTAGTGCCGTTCATCCGTAGAGGAAGTTGAGAACCACCAGTGATCGGGGCCAAAATTTTTTACAAATGACATCAATTCTACCAACTTATCTCAGCGCTGCTTTGATATGCAATAACAAGTTCCTTATGTACGTTGTACAAATGCAATGTATTATAGTCTTGGCCCCTTTTTTTGCGCATATGGAGATCCTCCTGTGCCGCGTGGGGTCCAATTTAGAACTGACATCATTTTGCATTGATATCCCCATGCCTACATGATTTTATGTGTACATGTGTATGCTGATCATGGTTGTACTAACTTGTAACTCGGCGTAATATTAGATGCCATGAGGGTCTCTACTTTTAGATATCTTATCATCTCACTTTTACTTCGAATGCATACGATTTACTCAACAATTACCACAAAAGAAGTCCCTGCTCCTAGATATGACGATGAATTTTCTGGTCATCAGGATTATTAGTTGGTGTCTAGATAGGCATTGTAGCTCGAGTCCATCTCCCCTGTAAGTGTTCCCCCAAAGTGTCATGATCCAAAAATGTCAGTGTTTTGTGAGAGGGGTGTTGCTAATTATATCTATCGAGAGCTAAGCATTTTAGGAACGAGTACGGGGTGTAAAACAGTCTAGAACAAATTGGAAGCTAAATACGAGAACATCTCATGCAGGTTGACACTACAAATAATAGAAATCCCGAGGGAGGCTAGGTCTTAGTGCTGACTTGAATTTTGATGTGCAGAAATCTTATGTGATTTTTAGTACATAGTCCTAGTCGTGTAGCTACATAGTATACCACTATAATTAGATATATCCTAATTAATCTTCTTGTTTCCAAGGTCTGTCTATAGTATTATTTGTATCAGAATGGCTTCTAACCTCATCTTGCTTGGAAATTTCTCTTTCTTTGTCGAAATTGGAGTCGGGCAACTTGCTTTCAACTTCGATAGCCATCTTCATCTTTCTTTGTGCGCCTGAGTATCTAGATCTCTCTGCTATAGTTATTTACACACAGAGCTAAGCCTGGAGGGTGGGGTTTAGCTGGACTGTTGAGCAGACTTTCCTCCATAAAAAGAAATAGAAAATATTTCGCTTCAATTTGTACTCAGAAATTATCAAATCTACCGGTATCGCTTCCAAGTTGTGAAACTCTTTGTTCTCAAGATGAACCCGATCCAAAGCCACTTTTCCCACACTACCCCAAATCCTCGACTCTCTTTGACAGCCATGAGTAATGTGTGATTGGGCTATTATTCTGGAATCGCGTTTTTTAAACAATAAAATTTCAACTTGTTGATGTTGACTTGAGAAATGAACGTTAGTGATCGCCATTCTCTATCCAGCATATAGAATTGATGAGTCTCACGGTAGACGGTAGACTTAACTTCCCTAACTGGCTCAATATTTCACTTCAAATTTATGCATATGAGGTTTACTCTGCTATACCACTCTAAAACAAAGTTTGGTCCTTCGACCCTTTGTTCATTTGTGCTCTTAGAACCGTCCTCGTCTACCCTTTTAGGAGGAATTCATGTTACTTCATGTCCAATGACTGTGACCGAATCTATATTTATCCTCTTGATTCCTTTGGTCAAAGGAAAATGCAGAGAATTGTCACAAACTTACATCTAGGGGGACGCTAGAGCGGCGGAAAAGATATAAACTAGCTATGTGTCAACGGCTTGACGCAAGTTTGAATTATCACGAACCCCACGAAGTCGCACGACAACCCCCTCTCAAGTTCATTCATCATGTTTCGTTTCGATGAGGAAATCCTGGAATCTTGGGGTCCAGCAGTTTGGGGACTTATCTTCGACAGATTGCAAAGTGGAAACGTCAAAGGTGGTGTGCTTCAGGTTGCCTGGCCAGTCAACGTCGACAAGAAAACAGCAGCCGAGCAGATCCAATGGGCCACCAAGTTACCTCTTCCCCAGTTACCTCAGAAGGCACTCGAGACCATATTTGATAGGATGGTTGGTTTCTCATTGGGAGTTCGATATATGGATGAAAAGAAGATCCACGCTATGCATGGACTCGTAAAAGACAATGGTCCCCTCAAATCAAGTGTGGAAAGATGGTTCAAGCGTCCTGGTACTGTCGAAAAATGGAAGGAATTGATCCGATCCTACACGACTTATGAAGATGCAATGGGCCATTTGTCGGACTGCACTACATTCCCAAGAGAAACGGATAACCATCCATTCAAGACCAATCCTGCATACGATGCCGCTATGCAATGCTCTTTGTGTTTAGAGTTCCTGGTTTATTTCGGTATTGTCACACCCAATGGCTATGACTTATCAGGAAGAAGCTGGCTTGAGGCAGGATTGAATGGTCCCAATCTGGATTTGCTCACGTTCATGGTTAGCAATGCCGATCCTCACCATCTGATCAAACCCAGGGATATCAGAGAAACCCGTCAGAACCACATCCTTCTCTCACTAGTCGGTGTTGGGGCGTTTTCTCAATTTGTGATTGCCTTGAGCAGACTACGCCAGGCAAACCTCGTGCCGGCCGAGGAACTTCGCACAATCTTCCACGAAGCAGCGATGCATGAGTTCTGCGCTGTCGCACCCGTCGCCGTGGCTGAATCACTCTATCAACACGGAGTCAACATCGGAAACGTCGAGCATCAGTACCACGAAATCGGCGGACAGCTAGAATCCTCCTGGCATATCGCAGCAGCCTTCAACCCCGCTGGAGGCGAGTTCATGGCCTGGCTCGATAAATTTTCCATGCTCAACGCAGAGGTCCGAAACTCGGAAAACATGAACCCGCTGATGTACGCGGCATGTTTCGACGAGCCGGCCTCAATCGACTGGCTGTGCAAGAAATGCGATCCCACGCAGCCCAGATTAGACGGAGGCCCGCAAGGGTACGCCTTGATCTGCGCGGCTCGAAGCTCATACCTTCACAGCGGCGAGATATTTGCCATTATCCTCTCACATCTACCAGATGCAATATTCACTAACCAATACGGCAAGATCTACGCCACCGAGATCGCTGAAGGGCTCGCATCCCACAGGCGCAAGCTCGCCGACGGCCGAATCAGCGAGCCCACGCAGGAGGTGATGGACCTTCTCGGAGTGCGCAAGATGCAAGCTCTTGTCCGTCGTCTGTCGAATGACTGGGCTGGCAGTGAATGGCACCTGGCGTTGGAGGCGTACCTTCGCGATAACGATCTGGATGTCCTCAAATTCAGCATCGGTACAGGGAAGCGGCTGCTCCGGAGCACCACATCGCGGGAGACCTCGCGTCGCTTAGACGCAAGCTTCCCCCGAGCCCCAAGTTCCGCAGATCTTCTGTACACGAGGTACTACTGATGTTTGATGCCGGTAACGGGCACAATCCTGCCCGTGCGGATAGTATCAGGAGGAATAGGCCCACTCATGTTACTGCTCGCAGTGGTGGGAGACAGACTCTTGGTCCTATCCGAGATCCTAGCAATATGATAACTAAGAATGCGCGCAAGGGACCGAATCGTCGAAGTTGAGAGGCCGTGTCTCGGCCTGGAACTGGTAGAGAGAGGTGTTGCTTGTTGTATGAAGCATGGGAGTACGCTCCCTGCTTATGATATCTTTTATTTAGCATTTCCTGGCGGCCTCTGGTTAATTTACTTCCAGTAGCCACATTTTTTGCTGATTTTCTTATTCGAATTCTTCATCTTTTTGCCCAGTTCTGTATGCCTATATTTTAGAAACTTACGAATGGTTTCTTCTCACATTCTTGAAACAGATCATTGCTTACTGCATAAGATCCCTTATCCTGGTTAATCTGCCTCCAGCCACCAAGCCAAGTATCAAAATAAACAGGCCGAACAAAAGCAAAGAAGGAATATGAACAAATCTACCAGTCAAGTGCACTTGGTGAAGTACCGTTCTGCGATCCACCGCTCACGCAGTCTAGCTCTTTGCACACTGCTATCAATTAGTACATACTAAGCTCAGTTGGAAGCCAAAGCACTCACATTGGTCTGCTTTTTGAAAAAGAGTGCTCCCTTTTGGCTTGTGCATGGCCGGGAGGATCTGACCTCCTTCGATCCGTTCGTGCTTTGAGTGTTCCTGCAGTCGACTCAAGATTTGAAGAATATCTGCTTAATTAAATTAGGCAATGAAAAAGGAAACCTCATCTCTAAGGACAGTACCTATCCTATTTAACTCGCAGGCAGACCTAGTTCAAGGATTAGCAACAATTATTGTCAGACATAAGATACAATATAGTACTCGCCCTTGCTTGGCCGAGATAGATTGATACTCAAGCTCAATCTCTGCAATCAAACTCTTTGTGGTGCTCTGTAACATTTCGGATATTTTCCGAATCTCATGTTCACTCACAGCAGACAGGGCGAAGCAATCGTAGCGAATATGCGTCCTCGACTCAGAGGCAGGAAAGAAGGAAATGGCGAGGCATAAACCCGCATCTTGAAACGAATACATAAGTGTAATAGGAAACAAGAAACACTCTTCCCCGGTGCTCTTTCGCGTAATAGATCTTACAAGCTTCATGATAGGAGAGGGCCTCGATAGTTCAGACAATCTGCGATGTATCCCACTGGTGTAAGCACCGAGCTGAGGAGATCGTGCTATCAAATTGTCAGCCATTGTCTCCAAAGAATCTTCACAGTAGTTACTTACCTCCAAGCTTCCAATTGAAGTCTCCCGACAAAGTCTGACCAGCAACCCAAGTGGATTTGGCGTCTAGGCCAGCTATGGGCACGAATTCACTCAAAGTCAAAGCCATCTCACTGTCAAATGCAGCCGGCTCACCGGAATTCAGATTGACAAAAATCATCCCTTGGTCAGTGGCATACGTATGAACCTCAAACAGACTATTCTGCGATTTGTCAAACCCTGGAACATCATCAAACTGAGGAGCCTTCACCAGCCGACCAGTGGTATCATAGCTCCAGCCATGATACCGGCAACCAAGAATAGTTGAGGCACCAGTCTCTCTCCTGGTGATAGTATAGGCACGATGGCGACAGACATTATGAAATGCGCGGATCTTGTCGTCTTTACCGCGAATGAGAAAGACCGGGAACCCGGCAACGTCAAAGGATTGATACGAGCCAGGCTTCTCAAACTGGGAGCTGTGGGCAAGGTAGACCCATGTCTAGAGTTGTATGTTAGCAATGCTATCTAGCCATATATTACAGGCATATGTATTACTTGGCTGAAGAGGGCGCGTCGTTCGAGCTCGAAGACTTCCCGACCGCTCCACCATCCTTCTGGGATTTCGGGCTCTTTGGAAACAGCCAAGTCTGAGTTGTTTGAAGAGGTGCTTGCAATGGACTCAATGATTTTATCGGCTTTAGACTGAGATAAATGGGGCCATACTCGGTTGAATAGAAAGATAATTGTGACCAAGGCCACGAGGAGGGAGGCTGGAGAGGTTAAGAAATCCGCATCGGTAGACTCCATGACAAAGAAACTGTTAGGAAATTGTGGCTGTCTTGAATAATAGAAAGTGGTTGGCATTGCCACTGATATACTTGTCTCATCACCCCTCCACATTATACTCCCCACATTTAGCGCAGATGCCTCCCTATATTACCCGATTGGGTTGGAATTTCCTGGCTGTATCACTCGGCTGACCGTCACTTCTGATCTTTATCCTGTAGGTTGGAATTATCTTTATCATACGGTGAGCACTATGCAAGACGATGATATAGTTGTATTAACGTATCAAAGACCAATCACTATATTCCCATGAATAAATATTACGCTGCCATCTGAGCCATGGAGGGGGCAACATGCTGCTCCATTCCAGATTCCTTCGCTGTCTTAGCGGTCCTGTCCAACTCATGCTGTTCGCAGACCATATCAAATACCCGTCTCTGGTAATCTGAGGGAGATATGTGTATTAGCGTTGTTGCATGAATCAACTCTAAAATGCCCAACTCACAAGACACGCCGTTCTCCTTGTTTGGGTTCAGAATTCCCTCGTGATAGACCCCCTTGGCTAGATTACTCTGGGCCTTCTCGCAGAGCTCAAAGTCTTCCATGGCAACTTGACGCACAAATTTGAAGTATTCTTCAAACTTGTCTCCGGATTCAAGATGGAAGTAATCGAATTCCATCCGGGTGACATGCGGGTCAGCGGTCGGACATACTCTGAAGGAGGACATGCCACCGCCATAGACGTTCAGTGTGCAGTTGGGAAAAAAGTACAAGAATAAACCATCATCTGGCTTGTTCGGGTCTGCGATATGCTGTGAGAAATTGTGCTTGTTGCGTACGGTGTAGAAGGTTGGCGGGTAGTATTTGGAGAAGGATGGGTGGGTGTATTGGCAGTGTAGACATTCTTGATATCCGTCGACCCTGACGAAAGTTAATAACGACACAATAGAAAGGGATAAGAGAGAAAATTACATGGTCTTCCAGTTGAATCGGCCTTCATAGCTGATGCTACGACGGTGCGGCAGCTTAGTGAAGTCAACTTTGCCGAGCAGCTCCTCAAGCTCTGGGAAGAATTCATGGAAACTGGGAGCATCGTCGGAGATAGTTGAGAACAGTAGTCCGGTTGGGGTGAGATGACTACGCAATTCTTTGCCCTGTAGGTAGCATGATTCTTAGAAGGAACGTCACATTTCACCCGGATCACACGTACCGTTTTCGCGCAGACAACCTTCAGCTCCTCAGCGACGGGGTTCAAGGCCACCCCTGAGGTGCGAACGGCAGAGACAGGCTGTTGCGCAACTTCATACGGAACATGCTCGCCAACAATCTGGAATCGAGTGACTGGGCCAAGCAAGTACCAGGACTAGAGGACATCTTAGCCTCCCTCAACTGCCAGAAGACTGCGTCACATACTTTGAGAAAGACCGCCCGCCGCTCCATCTGATAGAGCGGCTGGCTACAATACCAGGAAGCAGGCAAGGTACGAGTGAGCTCAGACATGATTTCAGTGAAATTAGCGAGTAAATTTAAGTATCAAATAGACACGATTGAAGTTGAACTGTGACAGCGGCAGCGAAAGAGCATTTTTATATCGCCACAGACTGTCTTTCGTGTCAGTAGGGTGTCTCTTGGCCTCAATTGATAGAAATGCATTGTTTAGGGGCAATAAGGTTGTCCAACCTTGAGTGTGCCAGAGCTGTGGAGGGTTGCGGTATATTGTTTCCCAAATGAGTTATCGAGTCCCGTTGATGTCACGGCCGATCACGCGATTAACTCACAGGCCGGGGATGTTCTGGCCATGCAAAAGCCCCGAAGATAGACAACACATCTCCAGGCTGATCTCTTGGGGATTTTCTGGGCCGAGTCAAGGAAGACTGACGCCAATTGGGGGGGGGGGGGGAGGGATATCTACGAGGTTGATATTCCTAAGTAGGCATTTTTAGCCAGTCTATGCTCGAGCTACCTCTAGAGGATGGAAGATATTTAGAGAAATCACAATATCAAAATCAGAATGCTTACGACAATGTCCGATAGCAACTGTTGCTCCAATCATTGTGAATCATTTACTGTGGTCTTCCAAAGGTGATCTAACTAACACGTGGGTTACAACTTACCCACATATGTAAGGAGTACCATAACCACCTAAAAGAAACTTTGGAACTAGGAACAAAATGAATCTGCAATCCACATCGATCACAGAGATAGAGGTAGAGTCCTATTTATTCGATTTACCTCTATGTTGAGGTTCATGAATTCGGCTGCCTGGAGGATCGAGAGTGGCGACCGGAGGCGAAGAGCAAAATGGAAGAAGAGAGAGCTGTAATTTCTATTCAAGATCCTCAATCTGAGGAAATCAAACACATCAACAAAGATTTAATAGATTCAAAGATCTAAAAGAAACAGAGTGAAGAGACATATAAGAGCCCTGGAGAAATCTGACGATCCGTATCTCTTATCGGGCAATTACGTCGTCTCCAACTTCCAACTTTCCAACCTCCAAGGTTGCAGCTACAACTCAGAGTTCTCAGCTTTCTATCATGGGCGCAGTCAAATATACTCCTCCTCCTACACCCTCACCACCAGCATCCTGTTACGCCATGAGTGACGACGAAGAAGATGAATACAACACTATCGCCCAGGCTGCCTCGAGTAGAGGGGTGAAGCTGCTCTTCTCCAAAAGCAAAGTGAGACAAATTACATCAAATAGGAAGATACAGCTAACAAGAAAATCTAGGTTTACGTTCATCCAACTTCCTCCTCCAAAGATAATATCCCTGGCTTTATCGCCCTCATCCAGCAAAAGCCTCTCCCCGCATCACATGCATCCGCGTCTCAAACCAAAAACCCCGATACACCCTCCTATCTCCTCGCATGGGTCCCAGAGTCATCCCTCGGAGAAGCCTATGATACATATGTGAAAGTAGACCTCTCCGAAGGTGACTCTCCGCCGCGCCAGACGTACCTCGTTCCGCCGCTTCCGACCACTACCACCTACAAGGACCCCATTGGGTTGTATTCTTTTGCAGTTCCTCTATCAGAGATATACTCGCTATTAGTACGACCGCCAAGCTTGGGATGGTGGTTTGGGAGCTTAGTGATCAATACCCGAGCGGGCGATGGCTTCCCCGCGTTATTTTTCCATGACGACGAATGCGAGTCAACCATCCTACAAAAGAGGAAGAGGGTCAAGGAAAACTTTGATCCATTCGGCAAAGAAGGGAGTTTGTTTTGGGGTGGCGATGAGATACTCCGCTGGCTGCGGAGGTACGCGGACGTGCAGCGCTCCGCGGTGGACCGCAACGTCTACCTCATCAACCCGTCGGATGAGGACCAGCTGTCCTTCGGCCGACCAGTGAGCCACGGCGATAAATCTATGGTAGCAAAGGCACAGCCCGAAGCTGCGGCCGGCGGACCCCGAGCCCAAGCGCCCGATGCTAGCATGGATCCATTCATGAAGACCCTCAAAGAAACACGGTGGAAAGTGCTGGAGCAACTGAGCAAGATCACCACGTTTACGCGTCGGACTGCCAACGAGATTGCAGAGAATCCTCGCGTACCGCCTCAGATGCGCCGTCTAATGAAAAACCCAGAGATCCAGACGTTGCAAGATGAGTTCGATAGCGCCAGGGTCTATCTGGCTCGTTGGGCGATGAGTGTTGCAGAGCAGAGCGATAAAGAGCGGAACCAGCGTATATGGACGGCACAGGATATGCTAGAAATGGAGAATAGCTCGGTTGGCGACTTTGAGATCTTAGAGCTGGAGACTGGGAACCTGGCAATCCAGGAGCGGCGCCGTGTTCTCCAACTGCAAGAATGGGAGGGCTTCTTCGACCCGACTTCGGGTAGACTCCAGGTAACGACGGAGGAAGTCAAGGAGCGGATCTTCCATGGCGGCTTGGATCCCAATGATGGCGTCAGAAAGGAGGCTTGGCTCTTCCTTCTCGGTGTGTATTCGTGGGATAGCAGCAGCGAGGAGCGCCAAGCCGTGATGAACTCCAAGCGCGATGAGTATATCCGGCTAAAAGCCGGATGGTGGGAGCAAATGGTTGAGGGCAACTCAACGATTGAGCAGTTTGATAACTGGAAAGAGCAGAAAAATCGGATAGGTGAGATTGCACACTGGATTCGATATGATGGCCACTAACGCATGACTACAGAGAAGGATGTTCACCGTACCGACCGTACCATTCCTTTGTTTGCGGGCGAAGACATCCCTCATCCAGATCCTGATTCTCCGTTTGCCGAGACGGGTACCAACGTACACCTGGAGCAGATGAAGGATATGCTCTTGACATACAACGAATTCAACCCAGATCTCGGGTACGTCCAAGGGATGAGTGATCTTCTGGCGCCAATCTACGCTGTGATGCAAGATGATGCCGTCGCCTTCTGGGCGTTTGTCGGGTTCATGGATCGAATGGTATGTTTTTCAGGCTGCACAAAGCCGCGCTCTCTAACTGATGCGAATATATAGGAACATAATTTCCTCCGAGACCAGTCTGGAATGCGTGGTCAGCTGTTAGCCCTGGATAACCTCGTCCAGCTCATGGACCCGCAGCTCTACTTGCATCTGCAGTCCGCTGACAGTACCAACTTCTTTTTCTTCTTCCGCATGCTGTTAGTGTGGTACAAACGGGAGTTCGACTGGAGCGATGTCCTGCGTCTATGGGAGACGCTGTGGACCGATTATCTGTCCAGCAGCTTCCACCTGTTCATTGCGCTCGCCATACTCGAGAAACACAGAGATGTAATCATGGATCATCTCAAGCACTTTGATGAGGTGCTGAAATACAGTATGTTGAATTCTGGATGTAATAGGTATTGATTTCAAATTACTAACGTCGCAATCTCCAGTTAATGAGCTCTCAAACACAATGGATCTCGTACCCATTCTCACCCGCGCGGAATCACTCTTCCACCGTTTCCAGCGTTCCGTGCAAGCCATCGACAAGAAAGACAACTTCCCCGCTGCGCCAACTGCCCACCAGCGTCGCCCAGGCGCAACCGGCCAAGATTCACCTTCAGGCAGCAAGGGAAAGTCGCCCCAGCCTACTGTTGGATCGAGCAGCGGAGTCAACGCTGGCCCCTCTAATCTTCAAAAGGCAATCGACGCCGACAAGCCAAAGGTGATCTCTCCAGAGCTACGCCAATTACTTCGGAAAGACATCCCCTGGAAACGCCAACAGACGTCATGATTTTCATATGGTGCAACCTATGATGATTGGTTTAGATGTCTTGGTTGATACGGATGTGATTACTTTTTCCTACCACTGTTCTCGAATCCTTGGCTATTCACGATTTACGATTGTCTCATGTATTTTCTTCCTTGATTTTTTCTTTAACGACTCAATTTTACGGAGTAAAGGGACATGGATCAGGGTGTTTTGCCATATCACACTTTTGTTTTGGAATGAATTACGCATCGTCTTCATACACCCGCATTCAAATGCAATCAATGATTTATGGGCTTTATTTATACCAATAGAAATATCTACACTAGTGAGACTTCGTATAGCCACATCCTTCAAAAGGATTTAAGTATTCAGGTACCTCGTTTAAAACAGGAAACGCTATGGTGGCCGTTTAGGGCCTACGTAAGCGATCAATAGAACAAGACAATTACTAAGAGCTAAAGCTGAGAACTTCAAATTTAATAGAAAAGCACAATCCCCAGATCCTTCTCTCGAGGACCGTTCGTTGTCTGAGCTCAGACTCATTTCAGTGATATTGCTGGGCACTTGTTGCCGAAAAGCCTGACGGCAAAGTAACTTGAGCCGGAGTTAGAGGCAGACTGGGACTCGACTCCCTCGGTCTCCTGTAGTAGTTAGCGCCTCTTCAAAATAAGGATCAGATGGGCATACTGGTTGAACCGGGCGACGAGGACTCCTGCTGCGAGCCTGTTCTTGCTCTCGTGCATGGTCGGCTTGTTAAAGTCTATCCTAGTATGGACTCGCGCGATCAACGGCACTCCTAAGCTGTCCTCCTCGGACTATCTCGGTGATTGATAGAGTCTGGGGATTGGTAGGATGGAGAGTGGTAATGAGCGATTGATACTTATTTATACAGTCAGCTACACGTATAGTTATCATTTGGAGTCTTGCGGTCATAACTCATCGTTTTGTCAGATCACTGGTAGTTGTCAGGTCTTTAATTGCCCTCTTTGTCTTCTGTAAAATATATTAGAACCTCACGACCTGAATCTTTATTTGCTTTCAGTTGCCTTTCATTACGCTACTTTGAATCTTTCACGTCTTCACTTTTGACAGGCTCTCTAGACGACGCCCTTTCGAGGGAGGGCACTTGTTACCTAGCGTCCGGTGCTGCTGTCGAAGCAGCTCTACCAAGAACAGAAGCTCTGTATTGATACATTCAATATCAGGCAATTCCGCACGCGGTTGTCGAGGCTAATGATGAGACTGATAATGAACTTTTCTAGGCAATTTTTTGCTTTCTCGTCACTTCTATTCTTTATGACATTTCCCTTACCTATCTCACTTTTCTACACCTCTTTTGCCCCTACACTTCAAGTATTTCCTCTATATTCCCTATAAGATACCCATAAATAATGTGAGACTACTCAAAATCTCGTATACCTACCCCTTTACTATCATATGAGGCTTTCCACTTTTCACTGTCTTTCCTTTTTACTTCTCTTCATCCAGCCCTCAAGTTTCTATCTTCTTCTTTTGTGTCTCCTTTTTGTTTGCTCATCCGTTCCAGCCACCTATTCAAAGTGCCATCAATATTGTGAGTTTGTGTGAATGTTATCCAGTGTGCTATGATTGAGAAATATAGGAAGAGGCTGCCGCTGGCGATCTGGCAAGAAATGAGAACACCGCCGATACCAGGTGGCTAGTTCGCCTGCTCGAGCACATTGTAATACTTGGACTAGATATCTACGCACCCAGTGATGTCAGTCAATATAGGTGACTGTTCCGTTACACCGAGAAAATTTACCTCGAGGAACTTGTACAGTGCGAGATACCTCAAACATTATTTCATCCATTGAATCATACCCTCCCATTGAACCAGAGGGCTGGCTGAGCTTCTGGTTTGCATGTATGCCACCAGTTTGCATAGACCAGTCACACTGGGTCCAGCCAGGAGCGAAAGAAATCGGCAAGAATCGAAAGGGCCGGTTTATTTCGAGCAGACGCGGCAGTCTCCTAGAAGCGTTTGGATACAAGGCGAAGATAAGTGAATAGTGAATATCAATGAAGCAGGGAAATAACGTAGAAGAGGAAGTCCCGTTAATATAGTAAACGAGTCTAGAAAAGATGCGATATATTAGTTAAAACTCTTCATAACCAGTCATGTTGAAGCTTACTCTGAGTTCCTCAACTTTGGCTGCTTGGAGATGGTCTGTCCATATACTTACCTACTCAAACCTGTTCATGAATTTTCATACTAACAAGTTGTGCAGGTCCGAGCTGCAATGGTACCTCGAAGCCTTCTAAGTGAATGTACAACCTACCTCGCCAACTGCTATCTCAACCCCTATTCGATCAGCAATGCCGAATCCGGTGAGTCTACCTTAATGATATAATGTGCCATGATTAACGGATATAGGATGAGGGTACCTGTAGTGCTGCTAGAAATGAATTAATCGCCGCCCATATGATTGCTGAAGTTGAAGCAGCTCCCTTCAGACAGCCGGGACGGCTGAACGAGCCGTCGCCCGAGTCCGGGTAATTACGTGCACAGATGTTCTTCGCTGAGCAACGGAGGAAAGTGAAGCTGTAAGTTCAATCTCTACTTTTGTTCTGTCAAGTATGCAGGCACCATGAATTAATCATGCCTAAGATCGTACCACGTCCTGTCATAGCCTTTACTCTTCATGTCTACGTCTCGTTTTCTCGATGAATATTAACATTACCATTCTTCTTCATAATAGTCCAGGTAATGTATTCTTAACCTCGAGCCTATATACCTTGCTCGTTTGGTGAGAACTGCGTCATGCCTGTATAATCTCAAGACAAACTCAAGGGGCATATTCTCTTCAACTGTTATATACGCAGATTCCCTCAACACTTGGACATTTATTATTTAATAGCCCTCTTACCCTTCTTTCCTTCTTTACTTCCTTCCACCCCATCACTCTTCACGTATTTCTTTCAAGGGCTTTTCACATTCACACTTTCATACCCGAATTCTTATCACACAAATCCTACCATATTGACTTCTACAATATCCAACATCCGACATGCCTACCCATGTGAGTCTTTCTTGATAATTCCAAGTGCTATGACTGACGAAGATAGGATAACCGTCCCTGTCTTCCAGCTTAGACTAGCTGCAATGGATCAACTTCCCTACACGCCATCGTCGTAGCAAAGGCATGATTCACCAAGACTTCATACTTGTATTCCATTGTTCTGTTAAGTAGAGAACCAGCACCATCTCTACGGGCAACATCTTCCATCTTTATAGGCTAGTCTAGTGATTAACTTGGTTCCTCGGATAAGAGATCACACATTAATCTGAGGCCACAGAGTGAGTGGGTTAGATATCAGACATTAACCTGAGGAAGTGGATTTTAGAACTACTCTGAAAAACGTGTATAGAAAATAAAATGCAATATGTATGAAACTATTTGTAAATGCAAAGATCTTTCTATCAACCAAATAACTGTAGGGTATTGTTGAGCTCTAACACCACACCAAATCCCGAATCAAACACAAAACCAATTGAGAACAGATTCGCCACGCTGATGCAAGTAGAAGAGATAAAAACCCGAGATATAAAAGAACAGTGTCAAACATGTACTGTCAATGTCCATATGTCCAAGAGCCCATGGCTCAGGATGATGCGAATAAAAATAAGTGCAGACCGGTCCATGATGGGTCCAGCGGGAAAATAAGAACAGCGAAAAAATATGGCTATCAAAAAATATCAGAATTTATATGCGAGGGATCACAGCTGCCGAAGTTCACGGTCTGCGAGATCCAAGACCTTTCAGCACGATTCGCCTGCTTGTGCCGATAGACCCGATATCACCAATGCTGCGGACTTTTGGTAAGGAGTGTCCAGCCACGCTGCCTTCGCCAATATCAAATCGGTCATCAGCATCGTGGTCTGGCGGAATGCTCAGTGCGAATTGGGGTGGGTTGTGGGAGCTGGAGCGGCGGGTCTTTTGGAGGACATCTGCAACCCAGGCTTCACCCTCTGGGCTCATGGATTCGTACCGAACACGCGGCTTAGGACCAGCTAAGCCCAGTGGAGTGGAGCGAGATTCATTGGCCATGGAGGCAGCAGCGGTTTTGCCGGGGGAGTGGGCGTCCCCGACTGAATAGCCGGAAGACACTGAAAGGCGTCTTCCGGTTGAGGAAGGGAGAGGGGCGACAGCGGGTGGGGGCGAGGTGAAGGAGGATATGTGGCCTGTCGTCACTGCTCTGGTGCCCATTGCATCGGATGCAGTCGAGCCTCGTCGTTTCTTGTGAACGGTGAGGGATGAAGGTGGCCGAGCACTGACCATGGATGGTGGTCGGGAGGGGGTAGCCCGGCCGGATGTAAGATACGTGGTAGCCGGGGTCAGCATAGTACCAGGAGAAGTGTAAGAGGGCGAGGAACGTGATTTTATGCCTTGCACCTCCACACGGGGGTTTCAGACACCTTGCGGCGACCATGATGAATGACGTATTCGCGAAGGTATTCGCCAAGGTCGGCCCATCCACCGCCAACACGAACCATCACTCGCTGCCCCTCTTCACCAACGGTGCGAACGAACAGTTTTGTCGGTGCGGACTGGCCCCCATGGTGAAGGTGATAAAGTTTGACACAGCTGTCCTCTGTCTTGAAAGCATGGGAATGCCGTCTCCGGCCAGCGGGCATCAACGTCAGAGATGGTGCGGGAGTGCTGCTGCGAGTTGGACCAGCGGGGGATTCGGATCGGTACCGCATTCGTCGGTCCAAGGATGACGATGACGATGATGTTTCCACCTCGTGGTTGGAGTCCACCATGTGAATATTACCAGGCAACGAGTTGAGAATCGAGTTAATCTTTTCGTCGAGCTGGTCTCGCGGTTGCTTGCTGTGTTTGGTTGGCGAGGAAGGGCGGAATCCGAAATCGGTGAGCTCAGATTCATGTTCTTCTACATAGGAGAGCTCTTGTCTCTTCACGCCCAGACTTTCGAGACTGGGATGAGCCGTCAGTCGCTGCCGCAACCGGAGAGACTTGGGCTGAAGGAGGTGCTCCATGGCTCTTCGGGCGGAATTCATCCCGAATGTCCTTTTGTTTCGTTCCGCAATTTTTGCCATCTCACTTTGAGATTTCAAGTCAGTTGCAGACTTTCCTCGGGAGAGTTGATGATGGCGAGTAGGGAGACGTGGAACCGGCGGAATGGACACAGCTGAAGTATCTTGGAATGTGATTTTGGTTCGTGTCTAAGATAATCAATTAGAGATGAGCATATAATCAAATGTATAAGTTGTTCACATACTTTTGGGGGTTGGGGGAAGTCGGCAGATGTAACAGAGCGTGTCCTAGTCCTAGAAGGGTTCACACTAGCCACGCCGAGCTCCGACTCGCTTCCAAGGCCCAACTCCAAGCGTTCGTTGATAAACCGCTCGAGGGGTAGGCTGACTGTGCGACTCTGTTGGAAAGAGATTCGCGGGTCAGGCTTTTGATTTTCCAGACGACGCAAACGATCCTCTCTCAAGGTATAGTCACCGTGAGAAGGAGGATGTGTAGACTCAGGGCGAGAAGATGCCCCAACAGGCGTTACATTGGAGGAAGCAGTGCGCGGCTCAAGTGCCTCGGGACTGGATATGAGGGAAGAATGGTCTGAAAGCAAGGAGCCCACAGATCCAGTAGACGTACGACGACGATGCGTAATTTTGTGTGCCACTTTACCATCTTTATCCAGATCAACCTTCCCTGCCCGGGATTTGGAAAGTTTAATAGGGCTCTGTAACGGCTTGCGAACAGTCCGTTGACAAGGTTCTGCTTTTCTTTCATTCGGCGGTGGTTGAGACTTGATGGGCGTATGATTTGAGCCCGATTTGGGTGACGCCACAGCCATGGGTATTTGAGAAGCTCTGCCAGACGGTCTCGATTTCGGTACTCGGATGTCTGACCAGCTCGGCGTGAGCATCGGAGAGATAGTTGCTGCTACTGGAGTATCAAACTGATTCTGTCCACCTGGCCCGATGGGCGATTTAGGGTCTTGATCAACTGAACGACTGATGGTATCAGGCTCAAGGTTGAGTTCGGTTGATTTGGGGTGCGCAGAAGGTTGCTTTTCCTCGTTATCGGAGTTCTTCTCGTTTTCATCCGCCACAGTATCACGAAGCGAGTCTTTGGGACCAGCAGAGGCATGGAGCTCTTCCGCGGCGGTTACACCAACAGAAACAACTAGCTCAGGAAGCTGAACTTCCATTTCAGATGAAGCGGAATATTGAAGCAAAGGATCCTCGGCTGGAGGCTTATGCTCGGACAATGGACTTGGTTTTGTTGATGCCTGGGTGGGTGGTGATATAGCTATGTCTAGCTGTTGGAAGCCGGGCGGAGGGATGTTTTCCTTGTTTTCCATAGTGCGATCAATTGCGCAAGGCGTATGTGCAGGAGTCGAAAAGAGCTGTCGACTGATCGCAGGAGCTGGCGGAAAGTCAGACTGTGTTGGTGTCTCTAGATCCTCTGCCACGGCCACAGGTGTGAGATCTTCTTGCTTCTCTTCGATTGGAGACTTCGATAGAGATATCGAGAGTTTTAGGGTTGGCGAAACATTCCCTTTGACGCAGTCTTTGGGAAGTGGCGACTCTTTAAGAGACATCGTTGATTGTTCAACAGTTTGTGGGCTAGTTGGTATTACGTCACTGGACGAGACTGGAAGGCCACACTGGAGTTCAGGCTCATGTTTATCAGCCTGATCCGGAGGAGGGTAGAGATCATCGGAAGGTTCTGATATAGCTGTATCAGATGTCGGGTCCTGCCCTGTTTCCTTCAATGACTCTGCGCTCTGGAGGTCGGCTGCACGCATCTGAGCCATTTGGGCCTCGGCTTTTGATCGCAACCACTCGTTGTGAACCTTGCATTTATCAGCCTCCACCACCCATGTAGCAAAGTCGGACTCAATGGCTTCCAGGTCATCAATCCATTGTTCGGGTAAAGAGTCCGGACGGCCTTCCAACGCGTCGAGAACTCGGTCCATCCGCCTCCCCACAGCCACAACTGCGGACTCCAGTTTAACATGCTCGGCAGCTAGGGATGCATCGGAGGATTCGCTCGAGTTGGAGGCAGAAGAATGTGAGATTTGTAAGGCGTGGAGGGAGCAGTCAAGGGCGGAACGGGTCAAGCTGAGCTCTCTCAGCAGACCAGGAATTTGGCGCAAGACAAAAAGGCGAACTTCCCAGGTGGCAAGTAGGGCGTTCAGCCGCGATAGATATGGAAGTGCTCGTAGGATTGTCGCGGTAATGACCGCTGTAAAGTCACTCAGCTGTACGTAGCTGAGCGGCGGTGGCACGGACACACAGCTTGTGGCGGACGAGGGCCGAGACCTCGATGGAATGTGGGCATTCAAAACGTGTTCCTTTAATTCTTCCACGTTAAGATCGTCCATTCCATCGCGGATTTCATCGGCTCTCTTCTCGTATCGCTCAACCACGCTGGCTAACAAGCTCCCATAGTAGCTTTCCTGGGTGTTGCTAGGGGGAGCCAAGAAGCCCGAAGGGATGGGATTTCCACCAGAGTGCGACTCAGATGGAGGAATAAACCCCATCCCAACCTTCGCGTCGCGCTGATTTGGCCAATCCCATGATAGAACCTCTTTGTGCCATATATTCAAGTTCTGGGCAGCTACTGCCGCGCGTATCCCGAGGGCGCGTTCTGAGGGTGACACCTGGGAGATGCTTCGCGAGAGGATATCATGAGCGGCTTGTTCGTTCGAAGGGACCGCATCGGTGGAGGTGAGGGCTTGGAGAGTTGATTCGGGGGAGAGGTTGCTGAGGAGAGGGTCGAGTTGCTGGTAGATGGAGCTAGGGGTTCTTTCAACAGAGGCTGAGCGCGAGTTATTTCGGGTGTGGGAGGGGGAGAGGCGGATAGTAGGGCGATCCGGATTTATTCGACTGGCTGCCATGCCGAATAGATGTTCAGCCTAAGCCGGAGGTGTAAAAGTCACAGAGAGCCTCGACTGGCTCGAGGATGGCATGTAAGTGACGGACGTCGGAACGAGGGCGGGAAAGAGGACTGTCGAGCCCGCATGCTGAGACGCGCGTCTTAAAAAAGTGCAGAACTTGGCAAGCAATAAGCTCGAGGAGATTGAAGAGACAATAAAGAAATAGAAAAAAAGATGGGAAGTTCGAGGAGTTCAAGTACAAAAGATGAGAGAAGCGAGGGGAGTGCGGAGAGAGTGGCTGGTGCGAATTGGGCACAAATGAGCGTCAAGGAGAGAAAGACCTGCTTTCTGATCACAATATTAAAAAAATCAAAACAATCGGAAGATTTTCTGATGGATTATTTTGACAATTTGAAGTGGAGATCCGATCAGGGGAGGGCTAAGGTGCTAGTGGAGTTGCCGACACGAACCATTGCCGGAAGATCCGCCTTACTATGGGGGAAAATACTACTCCGTATATTTATTTTTCATATTTTTACTTATGTAGCATATCGGAAGGTTGGAAAAAAAAAAGCAATTCTCCTTGTTTAAACGGTGAGGAAGCAGATCAAAAGATAATTTCCTAAAGGGGAAAAACAAGGCTATTTGAAAATAGCTTCAACTATAGACGCAAGGGGAATATTTAAATATTTGTCCAATTATTTCCTATATACTCTTCATATCAGATATAGATATAGCAAAACCTAAACAAATTACCTATTTGAATCTATTTCTACGATCACTATGTGGTCATGATGGCGTTCTCGGAACTCATGGCGCACATCCTAGCCCTGAATAGAGGGAATATCCCCGAGACCCCGAGACTCTCCAGAGCTGCAGAGCTGCAGAAGTATCTTCTACCAACCCATCATGCAAGGGCTTCGATACCGCCCAGATCTTCTAAATGGTGTTGCTGAAGAGCTCACCAATGAACTCATAGAATATGAAGGATGGTTCTTGCTCGAGCCGCCCAAATTGAAGGTGATCTCAGATCATTTCGCCCAGGAGCTGGAGAAAGGCCTTACTGTTGAGGGTGGGTCTATTGTCAGTACCAATTGACCCAAGATTATTTGAATATCGAGTAGATGCTGACTGGATTATCGGCGTGATGAAGCCTATGAACGTCACATGGATCATGAGATATCCAACAGGCCAAGAGAAAGGACGCATTCTCACAGTTGACCTGGGAGGAACCAATATCCGTGTATGTGATGTCTGTCTTTCCGTGGGGAAGCGAGACTTCGAGCAACGTCAGCGGAAATACAAGCTTCCGGAAGAAGTCAAGACGAGCACAAAAGAAGTCCTGTGGGGGTTTATTGCGGACCGAATCGACTCGTTCCTCCGTGAAAATCACTGTGAAATCAGTGCTTCAACCCCACTGCCGCTAGCGTTCACGTTCTCATTCCCAGTGGAGCAAAAGTCTATCCGTAGTGGGATTCTGCAGCGCTGGACCAAAAACTTCAGTGTCTCTGGAGTGATAGGTCATGATGTAGTACCCCAGTTGGAAGAGGCACTTGCAAAGAAGGTAAACTCAAATTGAATACCAAGAGAAGTCGAAGCTGATCGATCTAGAACGTCCCAGTGAAACTGGTCGCCCTCATCAACGACACAGCGGGGACCCTTGTCGCATCACATTACCGGGATCCACAGGTAAAAATTGGTAGCATTTTCAGTACTGGCTGCAATGCAGCGTACATGGAAGAATGCCGGAATATCCCCAAGCTGCATGATTCAGGGCTATCCGAAGATGCAACTGTAATCATCAACACCGAGTACGGCGCCTTTGACAACGAGCGCAAGGTGCTGCCATTGACTCCCTTTGACCGCCAAATTGATGCGGAGTCCGCCCATCCCGGGACGCAGATATATGAGAAGATGGTCGCTGGTCTGTACATAGGAGAGATGCTGCGCCTGGTAATGCTGACAATGCACGAGAAAGGTATACTCTTCAAGGGCCAAGATGTCTCGCGTCTTCGGACCGCCAACTCATTGGAGACATCATTTCTGTCTACTGTCGAGATGGACATTTCAGACAGTCTAACTGACATGAAAGAGGAGTTCAAGGAGAGCCTCAATCTGGAACTTTCGCTAGACGAGCTGAAGGCGTGTCGTCATCTTATCGGCCTTATCGCGATGCGTGCAGCGCGTCTCTACGCGTGTGGAATTGCGGCCATCTGCAAGAAAAAGGGGATCCGTCAGTGCCACGTTGGGGTTGATGGCTCAGTATTCAGTAAATATAGTATGTTGAAGGGACGGGCAGTCCAGGGTCTTCGTGATATTTTTGACTGGGAGCCAGGCAGACTGGACTTGATTGCCCTGAACTCGGCCGAGGATGGGTCTGGAGTAGGAGCAGCTTTAGTTGCAAGTTTGTCTCTTGACCCGAGTGAGCTAGCAGAATGTAACACGGAGGAATATATGTAAAATTGAATACCATCGAGTTGTGAGAAAGTTGTGAGAAGAGACCACGGGAGTTGTGTCAACATCGCCATTTCCACCATAGACGATAGCGATAAGCACTTTAAGTGAAGTCGACCCTCCTCCCTCCATCATCAACCCACACAATGCGGTTCCGAACACAACTAAGAGACAGCAGGACCTTCTCCAGTAAGCCCAATCGTTAGAAGAAAAGACGCGAGCTGACCAAATCAGAACTCACCGCGTCACTGTCCTCACTGGGCAAGGTATGTTGGATGCGCCTGGAGTACGAGGTGATCCGCTTTACCATCATACCCGACCAAGGCACACAAGTGTGGGCGTCAATACCAGTTGTATGCATAATAATAATCAAACCTATCAGTTATATGATCTATATATTGACCGTTTGCCAGGGAACCATTTTCGATGAGACTACCTACGAGCTAGAATCCAATTCCGACGCTATCAACATCGAAGTCAACATCAGTGTTCTAAACCGAGCCCTACGCTCCGCCTGGGGCTCAACACATACACAGCTTCGCCTAACTAAAAAAGACAAAACTCCCCTCTTGGCACTCACAGTCCTCTCATCAGAATGGACAGACGGAAACATGGCCTTGGCTACCAACAATGACGCAGATGGCATGGGCAACCCCAACCCAGCAGCTCCAGCCGACACAACAGGCGATCGAGGACCACGCGAGCGCCAGACATGGATCACGCAAGAAATCCCCATCAAGATCCTCCACGAGTCAGCAGTCGAAGGCCTGCACGAGCCACACTGCCCAGACCCCGAAGTGCATATCATCCTACCCAATCTAGCGCAGCTGAAAAGCATATCCGATCGCTTCACGAAACTAGCATCCACAGATAGTAAAAGCCGACAACCCGGCGTGATGGCGCCTGATGCGCCGGGTATGCAGTCTGTTTCTTTCAGCACGGTGGGCGCTAGCACAGCTGCCACGGCACTGTCCACCAACTCATCTCCCAAGCTTGAACTATCTGCTAATATGCACGGCTCGCTACGGCTTGCTATTGCTACGGATGAGTTGCGCATTGCGAGTGTCTGGACTGATCTCGTGAACCCGCCTTTGGACCCTGCGCAGATGAGCCAGGAGCAGATGAGCCAGCTTCCAAGTGAGCTTAATCGGAAACGGGAGGCGAGTGAGGGATTCGAATCTGGTTGGGCTAAGGTGCGAATTGATGGAAAGGATTGGAGTCGCGTGCTCAGTATTGGGAGACTCAGTCCTAAGGTTGTTGCCTGTAAGCTTTCTTCATGATGATACTTGGAATGCCGCTCGCTGGTGCAAATGCTGACTCGATTTTCCATTCTTCGTGGTTAGGCTTCGTCAATGAAATGGCACTGGTCCTTTACGTTTATCTGCCAGGCAGTCGGGAGGGAGAGGAATCTTGTTTAACCGTGAGTCGAGATTGGCCTAAGAATGTATTCCAACAACCAAGCCTATTAACAGTCATGTTTTAGTATTATATCAATTCATTCACCACATGATGGCGTGGTGAAACATGATCTACGCTGTCCATCTTCTAAAGGTTCAGGCGTTCAAAAGTCGGAATGAATTATTAAAAATCGTTATTAAGACAGGTGCATGTCAAAAGTCATGCAAGAAGAAACCTCCAGATCCAGAGAGTTCCAGCAAGCAACACAATGCTAGGCCAGAATATAATAGCAAGGGGAGGAGGGTGATATACACAATGCCAGGAGTACGAGCCCTTGACTCCATGGATGACGTCGCGCCAAAGAACAGCAAAGATCAAGCTATGTGCAAAAGCAAGGCTTCGAATGACGTTCAGTGAGCGAGAATGCAGAGAGATGGCGTGTCTGCCGGGGCAAGAAACAAGACACATGCAGTATGATAATGCAATGACAAATCGGGTAGTAACAGGGGGTTGTATTATTCAAGGGCAGGGGGATGCGGTTCATCAAAGAAATCATGTAATAACAAATAGAAGGCATAACAATGAAACAAACATAATGAAACAAAAGAAAAGGACATTATAGCACTTGGCTAGTCGGAAGACTGGTAAGCACTATGTCATCGGCCATTGAAATAATGTCTGATGATTATTGGGCCATCACGTCAACGTAACGGCCCTTCTTCTTGCCGCGCACAGTGTTGCCCTTGCGGGCCTGAGGCGCACCGATCAAATCGTCGATTGAGCTAGCATGGGTCAAGGAGGAGGAGGGCCGCGGCGGGCCGTTAGAACTACCAGGCGGTGTTGGCATAGCCGCACCCGTAGAAACGGACCGAGGTAGAGGCTGAGGCGCGAGACCAGAGAGGCCGGGACTGGATGACAAGAAAGGCGGGGCGGCTGTGGAGGAAGATTGAGGACGGCTCCCAGAGGCCGACATTGGGGGCATCGCAGGCATGGGAGGCGCACCGTTTGGCGGCATGCTGCCCGAGCTCGCAGTCCGACTGGGGGGAGCGGATCCTCGAGGAGGGGGCGGGGTGGCACGGACTGGAGCGCTACTGCTGGGATCTTTCTTGTTGACCCATTTCTTCAAGTCCTTATCGTAGTAGAATGAGCTCTCTTCGCCAAGTTTGGCTCTGATAGGACCGCCACCGGAGTTGTTTTCTTCTTTCTTAGCTCCGCCGAACCAACCACCAAACCAGCCCTTCTTGCCAGACTGATGGGCACCCTTTTTAGCTGTAGCAGAAGTCGGATTAGCAAGTGGGCTGAGCGATAGGCGTTTTTGATACATACCATCTTCCTCGGCAGCTTTCGCGAACGCTTCATTTGCTTTACGATCATTCTCCGCCTTTTGGATAGCCGCTGCCCGGGCGGCAAGATCATCATCATCATCATCCATAATTGACTGCTTCTTTGGCTGATCTGCAGTAGGTGGCAGATCGTCCTCCTGGGCAACATGGCCCATGTCTACACCAGCTGCGACCGGCTCGTAAGACGAGCTGGCAACGGCGGGTGCGTAAGGGGACTCTGAGTCTGATATACCAGCTGGCATACCAGGAGGGCCTTGATAATAGGGAGATTCGCTGGATGTGGCGGCCTGTCCTGGAGGCTGGTAAAAGAGTCCATTGACCATAGGCTGTGCAGCTGGGGGTACCTCAGCGGGTGACATAGCTTCTTCTACCGGGGCAAGAGGAATGTAAGAGGAGTGGGGTGGAGTTGGTTGATAGCCGCCTGCGTTTGGTGAACCATACATTGGAGCTCCATAGGACATCTGTTGATCAACCGAGGGCGAGAGTTCTTGTGAGCTTCGACGTTGTCCAACAGGCGGAAAGTAGGAAGCAGATCTCTGAGAATCCATTGAAGATCGGCCCTTGAACTGCTCGGGCGAGGCATTTGGCGCATATTGGCTCGATGGGTGATACTTGGACGGGCCGCTGGTGGCAATAGGCTGCGCTCCTGCTGCTGCTCCAGGATAAGAACCATAAATGTCAGACACAGAAGGTGAGCGGCTGATTGTTGGGGTGCCAGCGACGTTTGCAAAAGGACCAAATTCCGCTTGCTCGCCACCCTTTCCGGATCCAGCCGACGCAGCATCACTTTCATCGCCTGCCACGAAGCTATTGAAACGAGCCCACATAGACCCAGAGACCTTCTCCATGCTTGGCCTCGAGATCCAAGAGCCAGTATCGCTGGTTGTTTGGCGCAAACGTGCAGACAGCTCTTCGACCTCCGCAAAGAGGTGTTGGTGATAATAAGGCGAGGGACGAGTGGTTGCTTTCAATGCCGATGCCACTGCGTCGCAATAGCCTTGCGCCTCTAGGTTGTGACCCTGGTCTACGAGGCACCTGGCATTCAATATCTTAAAGGCCAACAGGTGTGGCAGATTGGCTGTTGGGGAGTTGCCGAGAACAGAGGTAGCATACTCATAAGCCTCAGTCAACAAGATAGCGTCTTCATCCATCAAGGAAGAAGGGCAACGCTGATGGTCAGCGCCAAGGAGAACGATGTTGGCCTGTGGATCATCAGGGCCGCCGAAAACAGCAGCACGCGAGAAGATGTAACAAACGTGAGCCGCCTCTGTCCGTCCATAAGAACTAAGCAGACGGCCAAGGGAAAGCAGTGCCTGGTGATCCTCAGAACTTCGGTTACTCAAAACTAGTCCCAGGGTATCCTTCCACTTGTCTAAGCCCTCGAGGGCATTCTTAGTGGAGCCATGGCCATCGGCCTTGCTGATCAGCTGCAGACCGGCTCGGGCAGACGGGGGCACGAGTTCGTCAATGCTTTCTTCGATATTGCCAGCGAAGATTTCGTATAGGGCCGCAAGTGACTCGGTGTTTGCGGCTTTGGATCTGACCTCGCGGCGGACAAATTCCTGCGTGACCTGTTTCGAGATCGACCTGTCCATGGTGGATGAGATGATCATCGCATGTCCCCAAAGCCGTCGGTCAACAGCGCTCCATACGGCCTTCTCTCGATCACCACGGATCAAGTGTAGGCGAAGCTCTTCCAGCCATTGTCCGTCAACAGCATCAGGCTGCGAAGGGATTTCCGAAGGGGCAAGTCCCCCCGAGGCAGCTAAGCTGCTGGTGTATGATCCGTCTACGTCGGGGTTGGGTAAGCTGGGGAAGATGATCTGGCGGAGAGACTTCTGGATCTCAGGGGAACTCTCCAGGTTGCCATCATTCTCCACCAGAAGCTTGACAACCTTCCAAAGAAGGGTTTTTTCCTCCTGGCGTTTGTGCGTATCGGACTGCACTTGTTCGTAACTTGGAAGGTCCGAATTTTCGAAGGCCGCAATCTTACTAGAAAGCCAAGCAATCAAGTCCTTCTTCTTCGATTTTGCCTTGAGGGGCCCAGGGTGCTGCACAATGGTATCAGCAGAGGGCAGCCATTCGCTCAGCTGGGAGATCTTCGGTTCGCCAAGAGTGGGTTGAATCATTGGCGCCACTTGGCCAACAGAGTAGCGAGGAATGTGTCTGGGGAAGCAAGATACTACAGATCCACCGAAACCGAATTTGAAGATCGGAGCACCCTTCCATCTCTCCAGGGGATCATGCTCCTGTCCATCATTGGGGGCGATGAATTCCAGATGCTGGGTGGGAGCCCGGGGCTGAGAAGCAGCCTGCATAGGGGCATACGGATTCACGGTTTTAGTAGGCGAGCCTGAAACTTGCACCGAAGCCGGCCGTTGGAGGGTATCGATGTTCTGTCCGTAGGAACGCGGGCTCGTCAAGTCCCGGGCAGGCGATTGGGTCTGGGACCTACGAAGAGGACCCATCTGAATATCGCTAGACGGTGGGGACATGTATACATTCGTCGCGGGAGCAGGAGGAGGAGCGGATTCTGGGGCCGGCGCAAGACGCTGGGCGAATTCATTGAGATATTCCTGAGGGGCATATCGACTCTGAGGCGGAGACGACTGCACGGGTGAGCCCGCACTTTCTCTCCGTGATAGGCCGGCAGGGCCATTGAGATATTGCGGAGAAGCAGATGGGATTTGTCCGAAGCCAGCTCCTTGCACGCGCGATGGAGAAAGATTGATCGCAGGCTCGAGAGACGGTGGCTTGTGTCCTTGATTGGGTTGGTAAGAAACCTTTTCATGATGTGCAAGCGGACTTGACGTCCGTGGCTGGAAAGGTAAATTTTGGCCAGGGACATTAAGTGGCTGAGAGGCATATCGATTGCGACCCGAAGAGGTGGGAGGGGGCGCAGGGGAATATCTCGGCACCGAAGGTGGCTTTGAGGGCGCTTGCAAGCCGGTAGGCTGAGGAGAGTACCTTGCAACGGCAGGCGGTCCGGCCGGAGCACTCGATGCTAGGCTAGCATACGGGTCCAGCTGTTCAGGTGGCTGGAGTGTAGATTGGATTGGGAGCGCGAAAGGCTGTGGCGCCGGTGGTGCGGCAGCAGCATATTGAACTTGGGGAGGAGGGATAGACGACCCGATCATCGTCGGCGCCACCTGCGGATTAGGGGTGTACCGACCTGAGCTGGCAGGCCTAGACCGTGGTGGCGCCAGAGGCAGTTCCTCGTAGAAATTCTTGGGCGCAGGGGGAGCAGGAACAGCTGAGGGAGGGGCTGCCGCAGGGGGAAAGCCAGCTGCAGCAGGAATCGGGACGCCAGAAGCACCTGGGGGAGGAGGTGGGGGCATACTTGTCACTACTGGGGGAGTAGGCTTGTGAGTAACGACCGGCTTTCGGGGTCGGATATCATCTGGAAGGTCGTAAGGTGATTTGTAACCCTCTTTTGGCCGCTCAGCAAAACTCTCTCCCCTGGTTGCCACGGGGTTCGGCGGTGGCTGCGAGAAGTATGATGACATCCCTGCGGTGGCTTGCGGCGCAGTTCCTGCGAGAGGAATACCCTGCAATAGATCACCAGTGGACGGTTGGTGGGGTGTGTATATGCTAGGAACAGGCCTTGGCTGCGAAAAGGCCTGAGGGGTCTGAAAGGGACTATTCAAGCCAGCCGACAGACCATTGGTGGTAGGTTCAACAGGAGTTTGATGAATATCCTCCTGTGCAGAGACAGGCTGGGTGGCTTCAGTCTCGAGCAGTATATCGTCATCGTCCAATTCCGCCTCCCAACGAGCTGCCAGGTCATCCTCCGGTAAATCACCTAGCTCAGCTTCCCATCGTGCCGCTAGCTCTTCCTCCGAGGGGTCGGCTGTTGTCTGGGGATGCAAGGACGCAGCCTTCAGGGCATCATTGAACTGCGCTGCAGCCGAGGTGTCACTAACTGGGGAGTCAATAGCAAACCCAGCCGATTCCAAAACCTGAGATGTGCTCTTTCGGGTGAGATGAACGGCGGGTTGCTCCTCAGCCTCTTCCTTTGAAGTAGAGCCGAAGAAATCCTCATCGTCATTCTTTCCCTCTGGCTTTGGAGCCGAGCTGAAAAAGCCATCTGCGTCGTTTTCATCATTAGAAAACACACTGTCGATGGATTTTTCTTCCTTCGGTGGGTGCTGAGGCGAAGCCGGTGTAGATTCATCCAACAATGGGACACCTTCCTCGAACCTGGACTCGGCTTCCGCAAAGATAGGCTTTGTCTGGGTGTTGAGTTGATTGAAAAAGTCATCCTCATCAGAGTCAACTTCACCGCTCGGCTCGTTTTCCCAGAAAGGTTGATCCTTAGTGTTTGTATCCGCGTCGGCTGCGGCCGCATCTGGATGGGTATCGTTGGTTGGTGCAAAGGCCTCCGCGATAGGAAGGGTTGAATCGGTATTCTGAGATTCGGCATTTACCGAGCGAGATACGAGATCATGTTGCTCATTCTCAGTCGGAACAATGGCCTCTTCGGTGGAGGTGAACACACCAGTACTCTCCTCGTCATTTTTCGCACCCGTGGACGTCGTTTCCTCTGGCGATGGACGTGTACCTTCTTTAATAAGCTTGGGCTCATTACTATCCTGGATTTGAGTAGAGGTTGAGGCAAACTCTGGGATAGTATGGGAGGTTTCTCTAGGTGTAGCCTCTTCGGCGGAGGGCAGAGTATTGCCAAGGTCCTTCTCAAAGCTGGCCCAGGGATCCTCCGAATCGGCAGTCTCCCCGTCTGTTTGTGGGAACAGTTCTTCGGTGGGAGTGGACACAGTGGTATATTCATGTTTAAAAGTGTCCAAAATAGGCTCGGGTGCTGCTGTATGTTCCTCCTTTGATGGTGTAGTCTCTTTCACAAACGTCGACTCCAGGGTGGTTTCTTGTTCAGGTACGACAGTGGGAACGGCAATATCAGAGGTTCCGGTCTGAACGGATGCTGCCCCATCTATAGTGGTCGGAAAGCTATTACTACCCTCCACATCGGATTGGACTGAAGGTGATTCGGTCTGAACTGGCTGCGCGGGCTGAGTTTCGGGCAGGGTCGGCTTTAGGGCGGTGTCTGCAGTCTCAACAGATGGCACGACAGGTGTATGAGCCGTTTCGATCGTCTCGTCGGGGATTTGACTGGTCTTATCGACGGAATCAGTGTCTGGACAGACGGCCTGATCTACCGTTGGTGATACATTGTTCACTACCATGTCCAAGCTAGTGGGTTGAGGCTGAATCGCGTCTACCTCATCGGATATATCCCACGCAGAGAAATCCTCACTTTGTGGAGATATGGCATCGGCGAGGTCCTTGGGCTCATCCGCCGCAATCGGCTCAGGCAATTCACCCTCGATCGAGCTCATAGTAACAGGAGTGTTATTCTTCTCGGGTCGTGATGCCGGATTCCACGACTGCGAATCATTGTCGATCGCTTGGTGCGCCATATGTGCAAAGTTGTTCTCGATTGCCAACGTGACTGTCGATGGGGCGCGCAGTCCGGAGGGGCCAACCTGACACGTCTCCAATGACGCCTCAGGTGATCAACAATCGTAAAGAAAAACGGGGGTCGAAGGCGTCAACTTAAGAATCCATTAAACGTTGTAGATATAAAACAAAGCAAAAACTCGAAGAAATAAATTGATCATGAATGCATCAGCTGGTGGCGCAAAAAAAAACCAAGCAGTCGGATTGTCCTGGAACTCTGCGACAGTGAAGGGCGATTTCAGCCTATGATACCCCCGGGGCCCCGGCCAAATGAAGTCGCTGAGTCATCCGGATGCTGAACCTTGGTTGGAAGGTCCTGAATAGGAAAAACACAAACCCGTGATTCGGATCAACAGATAGTCCGGATAATTTATGCCTACAATGAGAAACCTTAAAAAGTGCAGTATTACGTCAACTAGTTATGCACTGTGGCTGCGTGTCCCGACAGGCAGTCATCGATTGTCCTTGAAAGAAACCTCAACACGATCCTCCGATTTATATATTTCTGGAATTTTTGTGATTGTGCCGTTGACTGCATTTGGCACAAAGAAGCTTTTTTTTTTTTTTTTTGACCCTCGCAGCATCCCTCCAGTCTTTTATCATCATGCTGCATATGCGTTTTGATCAATACCACCGCACATGACAACATATACTTGAGATGAACCTTCCCTTGATGCAAGGCCCAAAAGCACCACCCTGCATACAACTAGCAGTCGATTTGACTTGAATCATACCAGATTTCAAGAATGCCTTCCTCATCCGACTACCTACACCCCCTAGACCATCCCGATGCGCCAGACGCCTTCTCAGACTCGGACGATGACTTGGATCTAGAAGAGCTAGATCCCAGTACAACATCGCCTCAAAAGCCTCATGACTCTCGGGACTATACTGGCCGCAAAAGAAGCTATGGACCAGGTATCGCGCTGCGTAACTTGCGTGTCGGAGCGGCAAGTCGGTGGAGACGCAGTGCGTCCGGGCGCGGAGACTTGGAGGATGATACCGATGCGCTTCTAGAGAACGGGGAAGAACAAGGCCTGCGGGATTCACATGCCAGCTCTCGGAATCTAGAAGACGACGACGCACCTCTCCTAGATCGCAGAGTCTCGACTCGCGATTTCAACGATGAGCCTCCCAACAAAGGCAGCCGCTTCCGCTTCCCAGTATTCAAAACTCCCGCATTCCTCCAGGGCACATCATTTCAATTTGGCTCAGGTGACAATGACTCTGAGAACCAACCTCCCCGTGAAATACTTGTCGGGCAGTACCAAGCTACTAAGTATCCGGCCAATGTGGTCTCGAACGCAAAATACACACCCTGGAGCTTCCTACCGAGAACGCTTTACAATGAATTCTCCTTCTTTTTCAACATCTACTTCCTGCTTGTGGCTTTATCACAAGTCATCCCGGTGCTACGAATTGGTTATATGTCATCCTACATTGCGCCTTTGGCCTTTGTGGTTTCAATATCATTGGGTAAAGAAGCACTCGATGATATTGGTCGCCGGCGACGAGACGCCGAAGCCAATGCGGAAGAATACTGCATTCTAGCTTTAGGGAGGTCCAACGCGATGGAGGTCACAAAAAGGTCGCGAGACTTGAAAGTGGGTGATGTGCTGAAAGTCCGCAAGAACCAGCGCCTTCCTGCCGATGTGGTTATTCTGAAGAGCATCTCAAATGACTCTGGCACTCCTCGTCATTCATTAACGGGAGAATCTATACCCGGGGCGTCTCCCGACTTGCTCGAACCAGGCCAGGGATCGTCCGAGCCCATAGCCAACACTGCATCGAAGAGTGGTGACGGTGTTGACAACTCACCTGCAGGTGATACTTTCATCCGGACTGATCAGTTGGACGGCGAGACTGACTGGAAGCTTCGTTTGCCTTCCATGCTCTCCCAGTCGCTCCCTCTGAGCGATTTAGGTCGACTACAGATCACGGCTAGCGCTCCTGATAAGAGAGTCAACGAATTCGTTGGGACTATTGCACTGGGACCGCCCACTGGATTCTACGATGCTCATGTTGACAAATCATCTGGGCCTCCAAACAACGAAGGAACGCCTGGGCCTGTGGAAAGTCAATCAGCTCCCTTGACAATCGACAACACCGCCTGGGCCAACACTGTTCTTGCGTCTAATACCATCACCTATGCCGTCATCATATATACAGGATCTCAAACCCGGGCTTCGCTTTCGACTTCTGCTTCCCGGTCGAAAACCGGCCTGTTAGAACTCGAAATCAACAACCTCACCAAAATTCTCTGCGCCCTCACACTTACTCTTTCGATCATTCTTGTCGGATTGCAAAGATTCCAACCAACAAACGACAAGAAATGGTACGTTGCGATCATGATCTATCTCATTCTCTTCTCCACGATTATTCCCATGAGTCTTCGGGTCAATCTGGACATGGCCAAGTCGGTATATGGGCGGTTCATCGAGCGGGACAAAGACATTCCAGGAACGGTCGTCCGCACCAGCACAATTCCAGAAGATCTAGGGAGGATCGAATATCTGCTTTCGGATAAGACAGGAACGTTGACGCAAAATGAGATGGAGCTCAAAAAAATTCACGTTGGCACTGTATCATATGCCAATGAGGCAATGGACGAAGTCGCCTCGTTTATTCGTCAAGCTTTCGCATTTTCGGGCAGTACCTTGATTACCCCTTCCACCGTCTTCGGAACTCAGGCCGGCCATGCCACAGCGCCGCGGACAAGAAGAGAGATTGGTTCCCGCGTCCGGGATATCATCTTAGCGCTTGCTCTCTGCCATAACGTCACACCTACCACGGAGGAGGAAGACGGCCGGAAGGTAACGAGCTATCAAGCGTCGTCGCCTGATGAAATCGCCATTATTCGATATACCGAAGAAGTCGGATTAAAGCTAGCATATCGAGACAGACAAAGTATCGTTTTGGAATCCACCGACTCGAAGCAGGTTGTGGTCCGGGCTCGAATTCTCGACATCTTCCCATTCACATCTGACTCCAAGCGAATGGGGATTATCGTCGAATTCCAGCACGATGAAAACAACCTTGAATCCGGCGAGGACGATAGCGAAATTTGGTTTTACCAGAAGGGTGCAGACACTGTTATGACAACTATTGTTCAAGCGAATGACTGGCTTGACGAAGAGACTACGAATATGGCTCGTGAAGGATTGCGAACTCTCGTTGTTGGACGCAAACGAATATCCGCACAGCAATACGAGGCCTTCTCCGCTGAATACAAAAAAGCGTCACTATCTTTCCAAGGCCGAGATGCGGGCATGGCGAAGGTTGTAAGCGAATATCTTGAACAAGACTTAGAGCTTTCCGGTGTGACTGGTGTGGAAGATCGGCTGCAGCGCGACGTGAAATCCTCTCTCGAGCTGTTACGCAATGCCGGTGTTAAGATCTGGATGCTGACTGGTGACAAAGTGGAGACAGCACGTTGTGTCGCTATTTCCGCCAAATTGGTCTCCCGGGGTCAGTACATTCACACAGTCACCAAAGTCACTAACAAGTCAACTGCCCAAGAAGCTCTCGACTTCTTGCGCAACAAGACTGATTGCTGCCTGCTGATTGATGGCGAGTCCTTGAACCTCATGCTCGGCCAATTCAAAACAGCTTTCATCTCTGTCGCGGTGCTACTGCCCGCCGTGATCGCATGCCGATGCTCCCCCACCCAGAAAGCTGAGATTGCCGAGCTGATTCGCCAACACACAAAGAAACGTGTCTGTTGCATCGGAGATGGAGGTAACGATGTCTCGATGATTCAAGCCGCCGATGTCGGAATTGGTATTGTGGGCAAGGAAGGCCGCCAAGCCTCTCTGGCTGCTGATTTCAGTATCACGCAGTTCCACCATATCACCAAGCTTCTGGTCTGGCACGGCCGCAACTCATACAAGCGGTCTGCTAAACTAGCACAGTTCATCATGCACCGTGGGTTGATCATCAGTGTTTGCCAGACGATGTACAGCATCGCCAGCCACTTCGATCCCAAGGGCTTGTTCATCAACTGGCTCATGGTCGGCTACGCGACTGTCTACACAAACGCACCCGTTTTCTCTCTCGCCTTTGATCGGGATGTCGACGAGCATCTTGCCAATCTCTATCCGGAGCTCTACAAAGAGCTCAAGACAGGGAAGAGTCTAAGCTACCGCTCCTTCTTTGGCTGGGTTCTCATTTCTGTCTACCAGGGTGCAGTGATCCAGGGTCTCTCTCAGATATTGTTGGATACCATCACAGGGCCGCGCCTAATTAGTCTTTCCTTCACGGCCCTCGTCCTCAATGAGCTTGGCATGGTCGCCACTGCAATCACAACCTGGCACCCGGTCATGATCGTTTGTCTGATTGGTACGCTGCTTGTGTACGCAGGCAGTGTCCCCTTCTTGGGCGAGTACTTCGACCTTAGTTATGTGATCACGCTTGACTGGCTTTGGCGAGTTTTCGCTGTGCTAGCTGTGTCTCTGGTTCCGGTCTGGGCTGGCAAAATGATCAAACAGTCATGGCACCCGCCAAGTTACCGAAAAGTCCGTGGATAGAACCGGTGTCATGATTTCGGTGTATTATAGATATTCTCTCGCTTAGATTTTTCATCTCTCTCTTCTTCCATTGCCCTACCACCGATCTAGTACTTTGTGGCTCTCTGTACATTTTAAGCATCTTGTCTTGTTGAGCGCATCTAGCATGGGGCCCCTCCGGGGCCATACTATTAGATTAATATATCACCTCGGTTCCATCCCTGGATGGTTGATCATCTAGACAGTACTTATCAAGTTCTTGATTTTTGTGAATACCCTAGTGTTGTAGGGAAAGAGTAGTCCTTTCCTTTTTGGCACGTCCCGAGGTCCTTCTAAAACGTCTATAAGACTGTCATAGATCCAAAATTGATGTATATATTCTGACATATATACCTAGTGGCTACTAAATATTAACCCGCATTCCAGAAATCCTCGATAAGGCAAGTAACATCCGACACCTTCTCTCTAACAACACCATGTCCGACCTGCGGAATGACAGACACATTCTGCATCCCAACTGCAGCTAAATCCCGCACACTACACAAATCATCCAACTCTCCCAGAATACACAGATTCGGGATTCCCTTCTTCGCCGCCTCAGCAAATTCTGCATCTCGATCAAACACTCCACCATCCCGAACAATCCCCACCACACTAGCTACATGGCCACCATGCTCTCTAACCTCCCAATCCCGCACTGCCTCCGCAACAACCTCCCCCCTCTCAACCCTCTCTTTCCAATCCACAGGAACAATCAATTTCCCTCCCTCCAACCACTCAAAAACCCACTCCCGCGCCTGATCCTCCAACCCCTCCCCACCGTGCATATACCTCCTCTCCAATTCTCCCAACTGCGCCGCACGAACTAACCCCGCCGGCGCAACTAGCACTATCGACAAAACACGCTCGCTGTGCCGAGCCGTAAACGAGGCTGTCGTCGACCCTCCAAACGAGTACCCCACAAAATGCGCATCAGGCCACTCCAGTCGGTCCATAAGTGCTAAAAGCAAATCATGGAATAACTCAGACGTGTGCGCCAAAATAGGCGTGTCGCTCAATCCGTGGCCCCATAGATCAAGTAGTACGCAGTGCGCGGATGGGAAACGCGCTGATAGAGTCGTGGCTAATGGCTGGAGGCCGATTGCGGATGTCTGAACACCGTGTACGAATAGTACGCGTTGTATGGGATTGCCTGGTGCTGGTGCTGAACTTGAGATTGACACGGGAGGTAGAGAGTAATATGCTGCTCGCCCGTTTGGAGTCTCTAGGTATGATGCCTTTGGTAGGAGATTGCCGAAGGTTGAGGTGAAAAGAGCCTCGGATGGCGCTCTAATTGGCTTTTGGGTGTGACTGGGACCTTTTGTCCCTGGGCGAGGGAGTACGAGAGAATTTTGCGCCATTCTGTTAATAGACAGTTTGTAGTGTTGGGGATTTTGAAGCACGGGTCTAAGCCATATCCACTACTGCAAAGGGTTTAGCGTATTACTCTGACAAAAACAAGTACATTTGCTAACTAAATGGCTTCAAGTTTCATCCAGAGAGCTATTTCGATTTGTCTACTCCTTACTCTTAAATATATCAGCAATGTGCAATGTTGAAGAACTGGCTAATACCGGGTATCAGACATTTTTCTATATATATTTTTGATTTCTATTTCTCGAACATTCGTATCAATTGACGTATTGATTTGGAGATACAACGCACAGGACAAAATATGAGGCTGTAAATGGAATGCAAGTACAAAGTCAACCTAAGACCAACTTTCTCCTCTCAATGTGTCTTATGGATAGGCACAGCGAAAATATCCAATAGTACCCAACAGCATATTCGCGTTGATTTCCCGTCCAGTTTCTTATTTCCAGTGAATCTACCTAATGGGAAAAGGTGTCTAATTCGCTCGAACTCGCAAAATCTTCATTTTCGTTTACATAGTCCCTGCTAGCTCAATGAGCTTCGCAGCTAGGAAAGTTGTAACCACACTGTCGCCATACCAGCCGAGCATGTCGTATTACTGCAAAGAGCAAAATGTGCAAATCGCCCATCCTCAACTCTAGTGTGCGCAAGTGCTACGGCTCTATAAGCCTATCAAGGTGAAGTATGGAGTTTAGTTTAGATTGCTGACTTAGGAATTGTTTATTGAATGAAAAATAAAAAAGCCGAAATGGATTATTCCAGGGGTACTCACCCAAATCACAACAAACCCATGTCCACTTCCAAGCCCTTTTCCCCATTACGACCAATAACAATGCCAAGTAAATGCTCATAGAGAGTAACACGCATATGGTTAGCCTAATGATTATGGTGCATCGCTGATCTTGCAGGAATAGCCCCGGGGCTGACCCGGCAGCTCACGTCAGCCCACCATGCACGGTAGATATCTCATACAGACAGAGAATGTGTGGGTCGCAAACTACTTCGGCATGAACGGCCCAGATGTACACAGCCAACCATGGGAAGGTCCGGGCTTATCGCGAAGAGCTTGGGCTAGATTATGATGACAACCTCCAACATCGTAGGATCAGAAAGCCGGAGATGTATAAGAGGATGCTCAAGATGCTTGCGGGAGATGTCCAACCAAGGTTCACGCAGCCCAACATCACATCAGGAACAGCAAGATGGTCATCAATCACGCAGGAGGCGAGAACTATTCCCTCCCAGGGCCACTTCAGGAGGAGCCAGTTGCCTCCAAAGCCCCTTACCGACAAGATCCAATCGCAGTGGTTGGGCTAGCAAATCGTTTGCCGGGCCATAGCACAAATCCAAGCAAGCTATGGGAGTTCCTCGAGCGTGGAGGCGTTGCCGAAAACGAACCTCCCGCTTCGCGATGGAGCCTCAAAGGCCATTACGACGCGTCGGGAAAGCCCCATACCGTTCGAACACCGGGTGCCATGTTCGTCGAAGACATTGATCCGGCGGACTTTGATCCGGGCTTCTTCAACATATCAACTGCTGATGCCATCGCCATTGATCCACAGCAGCGACAGTTACTCGAAGTGGTCTATGAGGCGATGGAGAACGCCGGATTGTCATTGGAATCCCTCAACGGAGCCCCCTACGGCTGCTTTGTGGGATCTTATGCAGTCGATTACCAAGATATGCAAATGCGTGATCCTGAGGACCGAGTCGATGGGATGACGATCGGGGTAGGTCGCGCGATTTTGAGTAACCGCATCAGCCATTTCCTCAACCTGAGCGGAGCGAGTATGACAATCGATACCGCATGCTCGGGGAGTCTAGTCAGCGTTGATGTTGCCTGCCGATTCATTCAAACTGGCCAGGTTGAAGGCGCAATTGTGGCCGGAGCGAACCTTTACCTCAGCCCCGACCAGAATCAAGACATGGGAGCCATGCGTGCCGCCTCCTCAGCAAGCGGCCGCTGTCATACCTTTGACGCAAAAGCAGATGGCTATTGTAAAGGTGAGGCAATCAACGCCGTCATTCTTAAAAGACTCGATGCAGCACTGCGGGACGGTGACCCTATCCGCGCCATCATCCGCGGGACTGCCACAAACAGCGATGGATGGACACCAGGCATTGCCAGTCCAAATGGGGATGCTCAAGTCGCCGCCATGCGTGCCGCATTCGCTGCCGCCAGCATCACTAATATGAACGAAGTCGGATATTTGGAAGCGCACGGGACAGGTACTTTAGCAGGTAAGACTTACCAGTCCAGTCTTTTTTTTCCATCCTGAGACCTGATGCTGATACACATACAGGTGACCCAATCGAGGTCGCGGCTGCCGCTGCAGTATTCTCTCCCACCCGACCCGCCAACCAACCTCTGATAATTGGATCAATCAAGAGTAACATTGGACATTCTGAGCCTGCCGCTGGTGTATCCGGATTGATCAAAGCTGTCCTGGCGGTGGAGAAGGGTATCATCCCGGGAAATCCAACATTCATCGATCCAAACCCAAAGATTGATTTTGAGGGTCTCAAAGTCAAAGCTTCCCGTGTCGCTTTGCCCTGGCCGAAGGGTTTCACCTCTCGGGTTGCATCCGTAAATTCTTTCGGTTATGGCGGCTCCAATGCCCATGTTGTGATTCAAGATGCCGGTTCCTTCTTGGGCCAAAAGCAGACTCCACACGTGTCCTCCTTTGCCAAAGTTGAGTCTTTCTTTGACGACGACGTGGATTCGCCAAACACACGACCCCAGTTACTCACCTTTTCTGCAAATGATGATGTTTCATTGAAGAAATATATTGCGGACCTTCAGCGCCATCTCCTCGACCCCCGAGTCAAAGTCCAACCATCAGATCTGGCCCACACCTTGGCCCAGAGAAGTAGTCTCTTCACCCGTGGCTTCCTGCTCACCGACAAGTCCCAGCTGGATGATGCCTCTCTTGTAACCGGAAAAAGAAGCCCCGAGAGGCCTCGTGTTGGCTTCGTGTTCACAGGTCAGGGTGCGCAGTGGTCTCAAATGGGCAAAGGTGTGGTGGACCTATTCCCACAGGCTAAGCAGGTTCTTGAGGGCTTGGACTCGGCACTACAGAGTTTGCCCCAGGCACCTACCTGGTCATTGCTAAAAGAGCTGGTGGAACCCAGAAGCCCAGAGCATTTACGTCAACCCGAGTTCTCTCAGCCACTCGTGACTGCACTACAGCTGGTCTTGGTTGACCTTCTCAAATCCTGGGGAATTCAACCTGAAAGTGTGGTCGGCCATTCCTCCGGAGAGATTGCTGCGGCCTGCGCCGCAGGTCTCTTGACAAGCGAAGATGCGATAAAGATTGCCTTCTTCCGTGGTCAGGCCGCCAAAGAATTGGCTGGGACACAAACAGCTGAAACGGGCGTCGGAATGATGGCTGTGGGTCTAGGCGCAGAAGATGCTCTCAAATACATCGCTCCTAACTCCGACACCGTGCAAATTGCCTGCTTTAACAGCAGCTCTAGCGTGACGCTCTCTGGAAAGGTTGAACATCTCAATGAAATCAAAGACCGACTCGAACAAGATAGCCACTTTGCCCGCTTGCTACAGGTCAATCTGGCCTATCACTCCAAGTATATGGCTGAGATTGGTGACCGGTACATCTCTTTGCTACAAGCCCATTGCGGGAAACCTCCGACCGGCTCTTCCGCGGTGAAGATGTTCTCCTCCGTCCTTGGCTCGCCGATGTTAGGAGAGGCCGATCCAGAGTACTGGAAGACCAACATGGTCTCTCCGGTGCGTTTCAACGAAGCATGTAGCTCCATGCTGTCAACTGGATCAGCGGACTTCTTGATTGAACTCGGTCCCAGCGGTGCTTTAGCTGGCCCCATTTCCCAAATCAAAAAGTCACTTTCAGGCGACGCTAGCAATGCCACCTACGTTGCAGCGTCAAAGCGTGGCCCAACCTCAGCTCTCTCTCTGTTTGACGTAGCTGGTCGACTGTTTATCGCCGGCGGCCCGTTGGATCTCAGCGCAGTCAACAGAAATCCATCTGATGCTCAGAGTCCGGCCCTGATTGTTGATTTGCCAAACTACGCGTGGAATCACCAGACAAAGTACTGGTATGAGTCTGAGGCCTCAAAGGAATGGCGATATCGCCCATTCCCTCACCATGATTTGCTCGGGAGTAAGATTCTCAACTCCCCGTGGAGTGCGCCCACCTTCCGCAAAACACTCGACCTCAGTGATCTTCCGTGGCTCCTGGACCACAAGATGGGCACTGATATCGTCTTCCCTGCGTCTGGATTCTGTGCCATGGCTATTGAGGCAATCTATCAATGCACTCAGATGACCCAGCCAGTTGAGGGAGTCACTCAGGCAGATCAACTACGCTACCGACTCCGAAATGTTAGGTTCGACAAAGCGCTTGTCCTCGAGGAGGGGTTGCCAGCGAAAGTCACTCTCACACTCACCCCTCATCCTGGGACCAAGGATTCCTGGTACGACTTCCGGGTCGCCTCTTCCAAGGATGGCAACCGTATTGAACACAGTCACGGCCTTATTCGCACCGAATCACACCCAACTGAGATAGGATCCCCTTCAGATATTCGACCCCTCCAGCATCCTACCAAGGCATCAATTTGGTACAAGGCCCAAGAAGATGCAGGATACGGGTTTGGCCCATGTTTCCAAACCCACCAAGAGATTGAGTCGGTCGTTGGTCAGCGTCAGAGTCGTTCCCATGTGTCTCTCGAGTACCCACCGTCCAAATGGAGCCCTCAATCGCTGTATCCTTTGCATCCAGCTAGCATTGATGCATGCTTCCAGACCGTTACACCTGCGCTGGTTGCGGGCAAGCGCACTGTGCTGGATGCGGTGCTGGTGCCCGCCATCATTGACGACCTTGTCATCAATCCCAATGAGCAGGCTCCAAAGGTTGGTCTTGCTAATGCGACTTCAGAATACACGGGTAAAGGTCGTCGGGAAGAGAACAAGAACTACTTCGCTTCTTCCTCGGTCTACAATCCAGAGACGGGTGCTTTGGTGGTGAAACTGACTGGTCTACATTTCCACCGACTTGAAGCCAACCAGACTGTGCCTGCTCAAACTTACATTCGGTCGGCCTGGAAGCCCGATATAACTTTCCTCACGTCTGCGCAAATCCAAGAAGTTCACTTGGAACAGGCTGCAACACGCATTGAGTCCATCATCGAGCTGGCCTCGCACAAGAAACCCACATTGACTGTGCTTGAGGCAAACCTCGCCCGAGATGACGTTTCGAGCTGGTGGCTTCAGAGCCCCAATCTCGCGGAGCGGGCAGCTTGTCGCCAATATCTTTTCGCTTCATCCGATCCCAACTCCTTGGTTGCGGTGCAAGAACAGTATAAATCCGCCAAATCCGCGTCGTTTGACCTGCTCGATCTCACACGGGATGACCTCCCCCTACGGAGTGACCGGTTTGATTTAATCATTGTGAAACATGATGTACTTCACCCTGAAGTCCTGGCTACGATCTCACGCAATGTGAAAGCACTACTTGCACCAGCAGGGCACGCTTTGGTCATAGAAACCTTCCCCGTCCAGGGAAATCAAACCCTTGGTACTATTAACGGGCACACGCCAATCGAGCAGATCCCGACTATTTTGCGCGAGGCGGGCTTCCAGACTGTTGTCCCCATCCCTAGCGGGTCTGTCCAGTGGGCTTATCTCTGTCATGATTCCGAAGCTTCGACTGAAACCACCAGCCGCGCGGTTCACCTGATCCGACTAGGGCCCAAGGATCAGACCGAAAGTGTTGCTGGCCCCATTACAGACGCCCTTGCGGGTCGAGGCTGGAAGGTTGTGGAACATGGATCCTCTCTTCATGACCTACCAGTGGGAGCCACAACAATTGTTCTTGATGAACTATCCTCGCCCGTATTGACAACCGTTCAATCGGACCAGTGGGATGCCATCAAGGAGCTTGTTCTCAGCAAACGGACTCCACTTCTGTGGGTTACCAAAGGTTCTCAATTTGAAGTCACCCATCCTGACAACGCCCTGGTCCATGGGTTGTTCCGTACAATTCGTGCTGAAGATCCAAGTGTGCGCTTAACAACTCTTGACGTTGAAACTGCCGAGAGCTCGGCCACGTTTGCAGCCATTCATCATGTCCTTGACCGAGTGTGTTCATCAGAAGTCGACTCTCCCCTGGACAGCGAATATGCAGAACGTGGTGGGGTTATATATGTCAGTCGACTTTTTGCAGATGATCAGGTCAATGCAGTGCAGGCTGCCAAGGGCAATGGTGCTGAGTTGCAGGTGAAGTCTCTTCATGACCTACCCACGACTACCAGGCTGCGCGCTGAGCGTCTAGGCACATTGGATGCGCTTCACTACGGTGAAGTCGTTTCAGCAGAGCAACCTGTGCGCGATGGCTGCGTTGAAGTCGAGATTTATGCCGCAGGTTTGAACTTCAAAGACGTAGCCGTCACCATGGGCATCGTGCCTGAGAATGAGCACTTGCTGGGACTGGAAGGTGCGGGCATTGTTCGCCGCGTGGGTAGCAATGTGCAATTCAAGGTCGGCGATCGAGTTGTGGTCTTTGAGAAAGGCTGTTTCGCCAACCGCATCGAGGTGACCAAAGAACGCACCCATCTGCTCCCTGACTCTTTGTCATTTGAGGACGCTGCCAGTCTGACGGGTGTCTATCTGACCTCGCTCTACTGTCTGTATCACCTCGCTCATCTACAGAAGGGACAAAGCGTTTTGATCCACTCTGCGGCAGGTGGTATTGGTATTTCGAGCATTGAACTGGCCCAGTATAAGGGGGCAGAGATCTATGTCACTGTCGGCACAGAGGACAAGCGCAATTTCCTTCATGAAAAGTTTGGCATCCCGTACGAACGCATGTTCTCCTCACGGACTACCCAATTTTCCCGCGAGATCCTAGCAGCTACTAACGGCAAGGGCATCGATGTTATTCTTAACTCGCTGACTGGTGATCTACTGGATGAGTCCTGGCGCATCTGCGCTGACGGCGGCATTATGGTTGAAATCGGCAAGAAAGACGTTCTTGACCGAAACAAGTTGTCCATGGAGCCATTCGATCGGAACTGTTCTTTCCGTGCCCTCGACTTTTCACACAAATCAATTTCAGATGCTTTGATTGCCAAGTGAGTTATGGTGCAACTTTTACGCCGATGTTTGCTAATCTCTCTAGTCTCTTACATGAGATCTTTGTCCTGTATGATGGAGGCTATATCCATCCAGTTCATCCCATCAAATCATTCCCCTTCGACAACATACCTGCTGCTTTTGCATACATGCGAAGTGGTCGGCACATCGGGAAGATTGTTATTTCTAGCAGTGAAACCGACAAGATTGAGGTTCCGGTGCGACCTGTGGCTCCATCACTTCAGCTCAACCCCTCTGTCTCCTACCTGATCGTAGGAGGGCTGCGAGGCCTTTGCGGCAGTCTGGCAATTCATCTGGCTGCTCACGGCGCGAAGCATATCATCGCTTTGTCTCGCAGTGGCATTGCTGACGAGCGTTCTCAGTCTATTGTCAAGAGCTGTGCTGCCCTCGGATGTGCCGTTTCTGGCGCCGCAGCTGATGTTTCAGATGCCGAAGCTGTACTTAAAGTGTTCCAAACGGCCTCTGTTCCTATCGGTGGAATAATTCAAGGTGCTATGCTGCTCAGGGTAAGTTAATTCTGTCGCACTCATTGGCACTCGCTAACCATGGATATTTAACAGGATAAACCGTACGAGATCATGACAGTCAAAGAATACCATGAGACAATTTCTAGCAAGGTCCAGGGAACCTGGAACCTACACCGTGCTGCCCTGCAATTGGAGCTTCCTCTTGAGTTCTTCACGCTACTTTCGAGTATCTCGGGAGTGGTCGGCCAGAAAGGTCAAGCCAACTACGCTGCGGCCAATGCATTCCTTGACGCATTTGCATTATATCGACTAGCCCAGGGCTTACCGGCAAATTCAACAAACCTCGGTGTTATTGAAGACGTCGGTTATGTGGCGGAGCAGGGTGGTATGCAACAGCACTTTGACAAGACTCTTTGGACGGGCATCAACGAACGCACTCTGCATGAAATTCTCGAGCTCTCTATCTGGCAACAGCAGACGCCGGCTCTAAATCCGGCCAGTGCAGCACAGCTTGTCACTGGAATTGCAGTTCCTTTACCACAGGATGCCGACCTCACCCGAGATGCCCGATTCTCTCCTCTCCTCATCCAAACCGACGGAGAGACCCGCGACAGTGGTGCCGGCAACGACGCCAATAAGGCTCTACAGGCATTCTTCCTCCTGTTGAAGTCTGGTGCTGATGCGGCAGCGCTCCGCGCCACCTGTGTGGAGGCGGTCAATGAGCGGTTTACTAAGATGCTGCGTCTCACTGAGCCGATGGAGCCGGGCAAGTCACTCAGTGCGTACGGACTAGACTCTCTATCTGCAGTCGAGTTCAGAAACTGGCTGCGTAGTGAGCTGGGCGCTGAACTCTCAACACTGGAGGTGACTAGCGCGAGTTCCCTGTTTGCTCTCTGTGATAAGATCATTGGTAAACTCACCAAGTCTTGAGTTGGGGCTTTTGTTTCAGGTCATATGCTATCATTTAGAAATAAATTGTCATACTCTATTATCTTGATTGCCTTCGTGTCAATACGTTTATGGGACCTCACCCTTATATGTTAGTAGTATTGTGAGCTATATATACCCGACAACAGCAGCAAGTACGGTGTACTCAACGAGACACTGGACTTGGGGCCATGGTTTTTTGGGATGCCTTTTTGGTGTGTTGAGATGCATGATCCCATTATTATGCGGAATACATTACAACGCTAATATATCACCAATATTACATTGTTAATTGGCCTGGATATGCGGGCCACGACCAAATGTCTACTGACCACCATGATCCAATTGCCCCCTAGACTTCCCCCGTTTTTCATGTAGAGTTTCGTATATCATTCTCTGTATTCCTGTAGTCTAGAATCCAGAGATCTCGCACTTTATCATCCATTCTCTAGTATCCATACTTACTCACATGTATTCATCATAGTGCCTCAAAGACCACATCAGCTACAGCACACTGGGGCTTTCTTTCGCTCTAACAATTGATATACATTTGTTGGGGGGAAATCATAATTCGAAAAGAACGATCACCTTACAATGTAATACTTGAGTTTCATATCGTAAATTTCCAGTCAAACTAAATATCTTTATCTCATAAATTCACCTACGTAGATGCCATGCCATCTACGCTGCCATTTTAACAATCACCCGCACACCCTTACTCTCCAGCCGGGCATGGGGGACCACCCAATCGTAGTAAAATTCCACATCCTCACGAGTCGTCTCGAACAACTCAAAATCATATCGGCGAATCAAACTCGCAATCATCAGATACATTGCCGCATAAGCCAATTGCATCCCCAAACACATCCTCCCTCCACGACCAAATGCGACATTATACCTGCTCAGCTGCTTGACACCATCCGGGCCCCGTGGATTTCCCAGCCATCGCTCTGGACGATACACATCCGGATCAGGGAAGATACGCTCGTTGGTGTGCATGTGGTAAGTATCTTCCGAGACTGGCGTACCAGGCGGGATGGTATACTTGCCGTAGATGAACGGTGTGGGGGCGATCCGGGGGCTTCGTTGGACTGTACCGAATGCAATACGTAGTCCCTCTTCGATACAAGCAGTAAGATAGGGTAGTTGTTGCAGCTGGGCCCATGTAGGAATCTGCGATGGGTCGGGGATGGCAGTATGCAGCTCCTCACGTAGTTTGCGATAGATTTCCGGGTTGGCCAGAACGTGGTACGCGATTGCTGTGAGCATCTCACGCGTTGTATCAAATCCTGCCCCAACTATGCTCACCGATTCGTGTTGCAGGCGCGTTTGGGTGAGCTCCTCGGGCGGTAAAGAAGAGCTGAGCAGGACCTCGAATAGTGTCGCGTCCTCATCAGTTATTTTTTTAGGCTGCTTCTTTTCCTTGGGATCAAAAAGACGTGCAATTCGTTCATTGAGAGACTAATATTGGCATTAGTGGGACCATTATACTTTCATTAATATCGAGAAAATGTAGGGTCTCACCTGGCGGAATTCCACAACTGGCCCAAAAGACGGTATCTTCAACAATATCGACTCTGGGATCGCATTTGCTAGCGAAACCATAAAAGGAAACTGACTGTTCAAGTGGGTGGACTTCACCAGAGCATCCATGGCACCCACGAAAGGTGTTTGCCACGTAGGAGTATCAATGAAACTAGGTTCATCGCCGAAAGCCAACGACAAGATGGAATCCGCGGAGAAGCATGCAAAGACATGGTTCAAAACAAGGGGTGTTTGCTGCTTGACATTTTCCGACTCTAGACGCTTGCAGACCTTGTCGATGAGTTGCTGTAGAAAGGGGGCGCGCGCTTGAATTCGACCTTTGGTGAAGAAGGGGCTCAAGGCTGCTCGACGTTTCTTGTGTATCGCATGAGCAGCTGTCGAGAAGGCTGCAGATGGGATTCCAAATCGATTTTCAAAAACAGCTAATTTATCGAATGGAGCAGACGAGGGATAAATGGTCTCGTAAAATTCCGGATCATCGATGTGAAGTTCCCACGGGTTTATCCGCACAATGGGGCCATATTGGTCATGCAGCTCCTTGATATGTCTGGTAAACATGCCCCCTCCACGATACCACATCTCGTAGTATGTCTCGTACCATTGCGTTGCGGCGGCCAATTTAGGACCGGGGAAATGGCGTAGTGGACTGAGATACACCCGATAGACGACAAGACCCAGTAGATAAAGTCCGCCAGCGATGGCTGCATAACTAAAGGGGAAAAGCAAAGATATCGTCATAGTTTGTAATCAATGGATTGGTAGAGTAAACAGTCTAGGATACTGCATTATATCTATCTTAGCTGTTCATAATCTTACATTATGTTCTAGATGATTTACTAACATAGTTGACGATCTAACGTCGCGATGTTTGATTGGTGGGTGTCATGCATTAGCGTGCTTATCTTGCAGATGACCTTGCATTAGCGCCATTCCTATTATCCGTATGAGATTCCTGTCATCTCTCGATCAAAGAATGATTACATCCTAGAGATGACCAATATGCTTGGATAATTTTCTCGAGGTTGCATCCATATTACCAATGCTCGCAAATCAGAGTGAGTAATACAAATCCAAGTTCAAGTTATTTATATGTAGTCACTCTGGAGAGCAAGAGGATATATATCTCAACGAACATTGTCTACATACTCCAGTTTATCTCAAACATAAACACACAAAGCACATCATGTCTACTACTATCTTGATCTCCGGTGCCAACAAAGGTAGGCCAAATCCGCAAATTGACTCTATCTATACTTTCAATGTACTAATTCTCCCAGGAATTGGCCGTGGACTTGTCTCCAAGTACCTGGCTCGCGATGATGTGACTGTGATCGCAGCCGTCCGCAACCCAACCTCCTCGGAGGCAACCTCTCTCTCTGAGTTTCCCACTGGAAAGAATACTCGATTGATTATTGTCAAGATCGACGCCAGCTCCGACACCGACGCTAAGGCTGCAGTGGAGACATTGCCTAGCCAGGGCGTGTCCGCTCTAGACATCGTTATCGCCAATGCGGGAGTCTTCGACACAGCCGCTTTCACCACCGTTGCCGAGTCTAGTATTGCACAGATCCAAACTCACCTAGATGTGAACACTGTCGGCCCTGTTCGCCTCTTCCAGGCTACACTTCCTCTCCTTGAGAAGTCTTCGTCTGCTCGCTTCGTCCTCAGCAGCAGCTTCATGGGAACGATTGGAGGAATCAAAGACATCCCGCTCAAGATTGCGCCATACGGTGCTAGTAAGGCGGCAGCAAACTTCTTTGTCCGGAAAATCAACTTTGAGCATGACAATATTGCGACCTTGGCTATCCACCCTGGGTATGTAGCCTTTATTAACTCCTTTTCTTGTGTTGAGCATTGATTAATATTTTCCTATAGCGCCGTCAAAACCGATGCTGGAAATGAAGCTGCCAGAGCTGCTGGATACCCCAGCGCTTTCGTTGAAGTTGAGGACAGCGTGAATGCAATTGTCGCCAAGATCGATGGCTTGACCAAGGAGAATGGAGCGGGAGAGTTCTGGAACATTGATGACACCATCATCGGCTGGTAGATACCAGACATTGCATATAGACAGGTGGTTGAAATGGGTGCTAGTGTCGGGCCAGCTAGTTCAGAGAACTTGCCTCTTCCTCCTATGAACAACTCTCTTTCCTGTCTCTTTAACCATTTCGCCTTGTGGGCTTAACACAGAGTTATATAGAAACATTCAAATGGTCTACAATACACAATGAGATATCAGAAAGTGAAAGGAGCCTTGCTTCTTCCGTTCCAATTATATACTCTCGGCTGCGGTACGAGTTAGAGCTTGAACTAGTCTAGTTCTTTTGATTCTACAAGAGTACAGTGTTATGTGTTGGATATCAGACCGTCCCCGGATCGTCTTCGGACCGTGTTTTGACTTGGTTGTCAGACTGAGCGTTTGCTTGATTGACAGGGTATAAAGAACCTTGTCTCTGCTAGAATGAACTACAAGGATTCTTCTTCCTTTCCTTCCCTGATGCCAGTATCCGTAACATTATGATCATGATATAGTTCTATATTTCTGTGCTAAACAAACTACAAAGCGAACTACTTGCTCCGAATTTTGTAGGGATGGAAGTAAATTCTCATACATTGATGGGCCAAGAATTTGCTAATAATACACATTGAAATCGGCTAGTCAATCATCCCCCGTAAGTTACTAATCCCTACTTATTTCAAGACACCCGACATAATGCACCGTTTTTCTCCGCCCACTGGTCAGCTCCAACGCTTAATGGAGCATAGAAGATGCCCTGAGGGTCCCAAGTCCGCTGAATGCTGTTGAGTCGATCCCAATTATCCCCGAAGAAAGCTTTTTGCCAGTCTTTCTGACGGTAATTGGCCTCATTGCGGTATGTGCCACTACCAGGAGTCAATTCCTCAAGTGTAGGGATGATTTCGTTTGTGAGGCGGTCGGATCGGGCATCCATCTCCGTCCGGGAGCTCCAGTCCCATGTCGAATAGACAAGGAAGTGCGCAATGGAATCGCGCCAGGCCGGGTGAACCGATCTATCGGTAGTACTGGTCTGATTGACATTGAAAAGCTCGACGGCGACGGTGTATGTTTGGTTTGGAGTGATGGATTTAAGCAAATCTTGTAATCCTTGCGTGCTTTCGACCGACTGGAAAAATTCCCTCGGAAGCAGGCGGCTTCCAACCAAGTGGGCGACTGGGTAGATACCATTTGGCAGTGGCCCGAAATAGCGCGAGAAGAAGTCAAAGTATGAGGGATCAGTCTGCGCTGTGAGGGAGTACGCGATTCCTGTTTGGTTCAGGTGGCCGGTTATATAGGACAGCTGTGTATTCAACACCGATTCGGTCACACTCGGGGCTGCAATAATGACCTGGAAGGTCGTGTTGGTGATCTGAGAAAGCAAAAACGAGCCCGTATCCACGAGCGGTGTGGCACCGGTGAGGAAGACCGAAATAGAGTCCCAGAAGGCGTTGGCAGAGGGTGCAGCATCCAGTTCGAACACCAACGAAGCTCCCGCGGTTGGGGCATCAACAAAAACTCGGGAGGTCATGGACACCACCACACCGAATGTGCCTCCAGCACCACCAGCCAGTGCCCAAAAGAGATCGGCGTTCTTGGTCGGCGACGCATGCACGAGGTTGCCATTGGCAGTCACTACCTCCCATTCCAGGACATTGTCGGCCCCTAAGCCGTTGACCGAGCTGAGAGCACCGAGTCCGCCTCCTTGGGTAAAACCACCGGCCAGACCGACAGTCGGACAGCTGCCGCCCATCGCTCGGTAGCCATTTTCATGAGCTGCTGTATACGCTGCCGCGGCCTGAACTCCTGCCCCAATTCGCATAGCTGGTCCATTGTAGGCTGGGCTTTGGAAGTCCTTGAGGACGGTGATCTCGTCGAGATTGTGTGTCCAAAGACCTAAGGCGCCGGCAGAGGTGCTGCGACCAAGGAAGTCATGTCCGGTGTTCTTGATGACTAGTCGCAAATTGTTACGTGCAGCGAAGCGTACTGCCTTCTGTACATGGGCCGTTGTCGTCGCATTGACGCTGTACTGAACGAGATTCCCGAGGTGACAGGGGTCGGACCGGGGATGGAAAGGGTCGCATGTACCATTTTGGAATACAGGCATCATGATTGAAGAAGGATTGTTTGCATGAATGGGGGCGTAGTCCCATTCATCTGCCAAAGTCGAGCATTCCGTTCCATTGTAGCTGGGGTCGTGGCATGGGCTTCCAAGTGGTACTGTGGTGATCAAGTGCCCGTCAAGTGTTTTGTTGAAAGATTTCCAGTCGGTAAGTGCAGGCCAACAGGTATCTTTCACGGTACATTTGCAATGAAGGTTGCCCTGCAAGGGGGTTGCCTCAACTCCCAGAAGAGCGAGCGACAGGAAAATGACGTTGGAAGCCCACATTGTGACGGAATGTCGATAAGCGTAGGTACATGATTTTCAACCTCGGACATGCTTTATACGGAAACATAGTCCAACCCCTTGAGGTCAACGGCCCCCAAACCAAATGCTGAGGATACGAAAGATGAAAGATTACTCCTAACCTGGCGTCATCTTCGGGGGTCTGGAGTGTGGAGTATAGTCATCTGCAGAGTAATCCTCGGGGGCTGCCCTAATGCCGGGTAATCAGACACACCTATTTAGGTTAAGGTAAGATTCACCTTATGCAGGGGCACTGAGGAATATTTATCTTTCTTGATTGGAAATCAAATATTTGGCTGAGAAATCCATACATGGCTGACACTTGCACTAGAATCGACCAGGGGTGTTAGCTGAAATAACATGGAAGTACTAAAAACCGCCCCCAATCCTAAATCTGTGATTAATTTCTACAAATTTTGAGAGAAAGATCTCCCATTATTAGTCCACTATGGTGAAATCCGACGAGAGTTCAAATGAGAGTTCAACGAGCGAGAAGGTCCCGACTATTGTGCAGGATGAGCTAGATTATCCCTCCGGCGTTCGTTTGGCTGTCATTATAGTGGCCTTAGTGCTTACAATGTTTATGGTGGCTTTGGATATGGTCAGAAAACTGGAGCCTTCCCTGAGTGATTTACACTAACTCTGAAAAGATAGACTATTGTCGCGACTGCAATTCCACGTATTACAGATGAATTTCACAGCCTTGACCAAGTGGGCTGGTACGGTTCCGCTTTCTTCCTGACATTGGCCACTTTCCAATCAACGTGGGGCAAACTATACAAGTTCTGGGATTTGAAGCTCGCCTTTCTCGCAGCAGGAAGTCTCTTTGAGATTGGTAGTCTGATCTGTGGTGTTGCTCCCAATAGTACAGCTTTGATAGTGGGTCGTGCTATTGCGGGCTGGGGCGCTGCAGGCCTCGTTGGGGGCTGCTACACTGTGATTGCATTTGTGGCACCACCTTCCAAGGCGCCAAAATATACTGGACTAATTGGTACTTCCTATGCTACAGCCAGTGTGGCCGGCCCATTACTTGGAGGAGCATTTACTGATGGCGCTACTTGGCGATGGTGGTAAGCCGGCCTAGCCCGTTATACGCCATATACCTGCATGATCAGCTAATTCGGGCCGCGGCATAGCTTTTACATCAATCTACCTATCGGAGGCATTTCACTCGCAATTCTGGCCTTTTTTTTCGTCCTCCGGCCCATGCACGGCCCGTTGCTGCGCCCTTGCGAGAAAAACTCCGACAGCTTGACCTGCTCGGGGCAGCATTGACCATCGGCGCTCTTGTCTGCTTTCTACTGGTCATGCAATGGGGCGGTATTACTATGCCATGGAGCTCTGCAAATATTATTGGCCTTCTAGTGGGCTTCGGTCTATTGACTCTAGCTTTTGTGGCTAGCCAAATGCTCCAAGGAGAGCGAGCAGCCTTAGCTCCACGTCTCATACGCTCTCGGGTGGTGTATGGTGTGTGCGTCTTTGTTTTTTTCCAGTCTGGGGCCAACTTTCTTTTCACGTATTACCTCCCGATCTACTTTCAGGCTATTGGTGGAATGAGCGCAGCGGCCAGTGGTGTACGGAACTTACCATTTATCGTGCTTTCCGGTGAGTTCAGTGTTCTTCACATTATTTCCTGCATTGGATCACATCCTAATCGAGATCGCAGCTGTATTTGCTGCAATAGCTGGTATTGCTATTACACGCTTTGGATACTTCACAGCTTTTCTAGCTCTTGGCAGTGCTGTGTTTCTGATAGGCTCCGGGCTTATCTATACACTTGAAATCGGCAGCTCTTCTTCAAAGTACCTCGGATATCAGGTGCTCTTAGGTCTGGGACAGGGATTGGCTATTCAAATTCCGGTCATTGTTGGACAGGCCTTCTCCATGATGGAAGACATTGCATCTGTAACTGCGATTGTTTTGTGTAAGTTTTCACTCTGAAGTCCGCTGAGTATTATTGACGTTGGATTCAGTTTTCCAAATGATGGGAGGAGCGGTATTTATATCAGCCGCTGAGTCTGTATTTTCTAACCAATTGCTACCTGCCCTTGCAGTGTATGCTCCGACTGTCGATGCTGCACGAGTGCTTTCCATCGGCGCTACTGGACTGCGCAGCGAATTCTCAGCGGATATATTACCCGGTATTCTTCAAGCCTACATGGTAGCTCTTCAAGATGTATTCCTTTTTGGGACAGTGACTGCCGCGTGTGCGTTCTTAGCCAGCTGGTTGGCACCTTTCCGAAGCATTTTACGTGGAAACCAACTGTCCACGGCGATGATCGCAGCATGAAAAAAAGATAGAGCTTTTCAAGAGTAAGATGTGTATTTTCATATCTTAGTGCAAGAAACACGGGGGAAATGCTTTTGCTTCATCCTTCTCTCCCCGCAAGAACTAGTTCTTCTATAAGATCACACATTTCTTCCGCTGCACTGCGCGGAACCTCATGCCCACCACTATGCTCGAAACGATAGACCTTTCCCCCACACAACTGGATCATAGCAAGACTCTGCTGGCGCCACAAGATATCGCGGCGCCCATAGATGTGTGCCGTTGGAGTTCTGATACGGACTGTGTCCACATCGGCGTGAAAGAGATTGTAATAAACAGGTTGATCGGGATCACGAATCTTTTCCGTCCGTATGAAGTAATCGTGTCGGACAACGAGCGCTTCATCCGGCAACACGTTTGGTCGCTTCGTCGGGGGCCCAGTAATCCCAAAGTAATCCCGAACATCAATTCCATATTCCGGAGAATAGGTGGATGGTAGCGTGGAGCAAATCAGCATAGCCGCTTTAAAAAGTGGTGGCTGTCCAGCGAGCTCGGTATGCAGCATTAAAGAAGCTGCGAGTGCTGCCCCCTGGCTGAATCCAATGACAAGATCAATAGGATCCAAGAGATACTTCTGCAGGTATGCGTGGGCATATGCCACTTGCTCGGTGGACGGGGTGCGGATCCAAGCAAGGTATGGGCCATCGTAGATATTGGCTACTCCGGGGAAAGGGTCACAAGTCCAGGGAGCATCGGGAAAGATAAATTCACATTCTGTAGCGGAAAGTAGATCCAGAATTGGCTGCAGCTGGGCTCGAAGTATGGCCGCATTGGTGCCCATTCCATGGAGACAGAGCACCCGAAATGGCATTGCGTAGGTGGTGAGTGGTTCAAGGTGGGCTAGTTTACTTGCCTGGAGTACAAGCCGTTGCTCTTGAAGGACCAGGCAGAGGGGGAGACCCTTTATATATTGAATTCGGCGGTTCAATAATCTTCCCTTATCTAGGCTGACCACCTGGGGATTCAAACTGCAGATTTACATAAGCTACGCATATATTCCAAGTTATATCCTGATAAAATTCCACGGATGAATAATGGCGTTGTGACTAGGATATGATATCTAAGCCAATAGGACTGCCCGTACGGATCGACAGCTGCTAGTCCTGCAGAAAGTCAATCTGTACCTGCATCAACCGGGCGAACGACTCTCCTCCAAAGATATTCATATGACCCTTTTCTGGTTCAAAATGCTGGTGCTTTCTCACATCTGCCACGATTGAATCAAACAGTTTAGTTTGCTCTTCGGCTGTGGAGATGATGTCGTCCTGGGGCGTAAGAAGCAGAACTGACGCGGAATCCAACTGAGAGACCAAGCTGAGAGGATTCCACCCCGCTATCTTGTAGTAGGTCTGTAGGGTAGTTCTATTCTCATATGTGGGCGCGTTCCGAAAAGCGTCCATGATGAGGCGGTAGTTGTTCGCGTCAGCCGCACCACCGAATCCCGCGGGGTTCAATCCCTCCTCAGTCAGAACAGGGAGCGAAAATGGTGGATTTCCTTTGATGATAGACTCTCGATCACGCATAGTTCGAGCCAAGACACGAGCCCGCTTACCATCGAAGGTAAAATTGGTCAATGGACAGCAGGCAACCACCCATCGTACCCGCGAGTCCAAGGTTGCAGCGCTCAGTGCGACGATTCCACCAAAAGAAAAGCCCCAGAATCCAATGCGGCCGGCGTCGACTCCTGGCTGACTGGCCAGAAAGGTGAGTGCATCGCTATAGTCCGAGACCTGTTTGTGTGGGTCAAGTTCTTGGCGAGGTTCTCCCTCGCTGGCCCCAGTGCAACGTGGGTCGTAGGTCAACGCGGTTATACCCGCATCCTGAAACTGGGCCGCAATGTCTGGAATGAACATCTCCTTGACGGTGGCAAACTACATTCAATGTCAGTATTGCGACACCACAAGACTATACACACGTAAGACCGACTCCACCTGTGAGAATAATGGCGGGCCCAGGGGCCGTGCCGCTTCCGGGGTAAAGGATTCCACTGAGTCTAAGGCCATCGATTGTCTTGAATTGGACCTCTTGGGAAGACATTACTTTGGATTGGACAATTCGAACTGCACAAAAGATTGAAGTTTTTGAAGCTCAAAGAATAGACCTTCGCATATTTCAGACTATATGAGACTTTTGTTTCTTAAACATCTCTAGTGGCTTTTCCCGTGCTGACAATAATTCGCCATAAACATTATGACGCCAAAGCTAATGCAGAGTCATCATCTTTCCTATTTAACATTTGTAATCTACACATGTACGGCCTCGGAGGTGTTTGCAGGATTACGGCCCAGCTTATCTTCAGACCACCCGAGTCCCTGTCAGATTCTACCTATGCTTACTCCGAGATGGCGGTATTAATCCGTGCATTCAGCCAAGATAACGTGATTAACGTTACATCCTGTGATTTGTCTAGGAGTATAGGCTGCCTGTTAGAGAGGAGTATATAGCTTTATTTGCGTCAAAGCTTTTTTGGATATGACTGCCTCAGTTTCATGCGGTTTCACATGAGCATACTTTTGTCAATACCCCCGTATTTAACGTTGGAAATTGAATATTCCTCTTCCAACCCTTCAGATGGATCTTTCATTCTCTATCCAAGGTCACTATCCCAGTCAAGTTCCACTAGTGGAGCTCTGCATTCCAAATGAGCGATATGAGCGTCGGAAATTGCAAAATCGTCGCTCCCAGCGGACACATCGTAGTACGATCACCCCCAATTCAATGTTAAATGCACCAAAGTGCACATATACTGGCCATGAAAAGGCACTAGCAGGCACTGACTGACATCGATAGGTCGGCGAGGGGGGAAAACTTCAGACCAAACCACCGGGAAAGGCGACGCAATATGCCCATCAAATCAATCAAACTTTCTCGTCACAGAGGTACAAGGGAGCAATGTTCCCCAAGCAAATCACGGACTGGAACCGTCCCTTCACAATGATTGCTCTTACAATTGGCCACCAATCCCGAGCATCTCCAGGACGGATGCTGGATCGATGCCATTTCTTCTGAATGATCTTGATTTGGGGAACCTGACTGGAGGACAAAATACAAATTCACACTCAGCGTTTTCACTTAATTTGGGAAAGCACCACGGCTACATCGATCCAATCCCTTCATGGGATATAATTAGCTCGGTACAAAATGAGCACAGGACTAGCATGACCCACGAAAAAGTGAACACGGATATGAATTGGTCATTTAATCCTCTTCCAACGCCGGAGGAGCTACAACAGCATCATCTATGGGCACCCGAATTGTCAACCTCGATCCACGGCGAGCAAATGACTCAGCCTCCAGGTCAACCCAGCATGGAGCCAGCACCATGCTATCCCCTTACTCCCCCACAATCTCTCCCATCCCAATGCGCTTCACTCCCATCACCTCGTGGTCTCAAGATGGAGGCCGAGGAGCAACCTCAGGACTGGCACCTGCCTTTGCATATAGCGGTGGAACAAGGGCATGAATTAATTATTCGCGAGCTTCTGCGAGCGGCAGTGGGCATCAATGAGAGCGACAGCGCGGGCCGGACTGCAGTGCACATAGCCGTTCACCAGAAGCAAGAAGGCGTATTAAGAATTCTCCTGGAACATGGACCTGATGTCAACGCGATAGATAAAATGGGCTGGACACCCGTTCATCACGCAGTTCAAAATGGTTTTACGTCGGGACTGAAGCTTCTAATGGAACACGGGAGCAATTTGGCACTGCGGGCCCCCAAAAGATCCCCATGATTTAGGCTATGGCCATAATGAAAACACTGAATATGTCAAAAATTAACCTGGGTATTGGACAAAGTGAAGTAGGTGGCTGGGACTGATTGATCTCCTGACAGCCTAGAATATATAGAATGTGTTTAGGTTAAAGAGCATTTGTCTTTCCCGTTCGTTCTAATATAGTCATGGCTCTACACCCGATAATCAATTCTGAGATGTCCGTGGTTGTTAAATTCAACTAGGTGGATGGCCTTCAAAGGCGGATCCTTCCCGGTGTCCAATGACGTTGCGCATAGTCGATAAGGACACACGTGATCACCCTACTCAGGAAGGCGGTCAATACATATCGAATCTTTTTTTTTTCTTCGGGGTCAAACATCTGCTGCGTAGACTCCAGGACCAACCACTTTTTTCGGTTGTCAATTCCTCGCCCATCATGTCTGACGAAATTGTCTGGCAGGTTATCAACCAGCAGTTCTGCTCCTACAAACTCAAGTAAGTATTAATCCTGACTCGCTGGCTATTCAGTCCGCAGGTTTAACTCCATTATGTATGGACAGAACAAGAACATTTTACTAACCATTACACCTTTCTCTTTAGAACGACCAAAGACCAAAACTTCTGTCGCAATGAATACAACGTCAGCGGTCTGTGCAATCGCCAGTCCTGCCCACTGGCCAACTCGCGGTATGCGACGGTGCGAAGCGATCCCGAAACAGGTGTCATGTACCTGTACATGAAGACCGTCGAACGAGCCCACATGCCCAGCAAATGGTGGGAGCGTGTGCGCCTATCTTCCAACTACGCCAAGGCCCTCGAGCAAGTCGATGAGCGCCTCATCTACTGGCCCAAGTTCTTGACCCACAAGTGCAAGCAGCGTCTCACCCGTCTGACGCAGGTCAGCATCCGCATGAAGAACATCGCCAAGGAAGATGAGCGTCTTGGAGAGCGTATTGTGCCCAAGCTGGCGCCGAAGATCCGCCGTCGTGAGGAGACCCGTGAGCGTAAGGCCGAGGCTGCCGCTAGGGTCGAGAGAGCCATTGAGCGTGAGCTTATTGAGCGTCTGCGCAGTGGCGCTTACGGTGACCGCCCACTCAATGTCGAGGAGGGTATCTGGAAGAAGGTTCTCCGTGGTCTTGAGCGTGCTGGTGACGGTCAGCGTGATGTGGACATGGATGACGGCGAGGAGATTGAGGAGGAGGAAGAAGAGGGTGTTGGTGAGGTCGAGTACGTCAGCGATCTCGATGAGGAGGAGGACCTCGAGGATATGGAGGACTGGCTGGGCGTCGACTCAGCTGACTCCAGCGACTACGATGACGATGAGAGTGACGATGATGATGACAGCGAGGACGACGAGGAGGCTAGTGCGGATGAGAAGAAGCCCAAGCCCAGTGCCAAGCGGAAGCATGTTGCTCCCCAGGCGAAGCCTCGCAAGAAGGGACCTCGCATCGAGATCGAATACGAGACCGAGGGTGCTGGCAAGGACCAGGTCATGGCATGATTTTGTCGATGTTAAAGAGGATTTGGGAAAAGTTTACCTGATCTTGCATGGCGTTCGGGCTGTCATTTCTTTTTGTTCTATATTCTTATTCTGTGCTAGTGATTGGGCATCATACCCTGCTATATTGCATCCACTACAACTCACGATCCTAGTTCTTCCAATGTCTATTTTATCTTCAGCTGTACCGCTCAATGCTCAATATCTTTCCTGAGATGCCTGAACATAATTTATTTGCGACAAGACCCGGCTGTTGCTTTATTTAGGTGAAACACGTGATCACGTGTTGACTAGCTATTGCCTAATGAATGTCCACTTGTCGCCTTTCATTTTCCTTTGAACGACTTCACCTCACCCCAGGAGCCGGTTCTTCTGTTAATTTTCCCTTTAATAATCCATTGCAATCATCCTCATCTCTTATCCAACTCTTTGGCCCTGAAGCCCTTGCATTGGGTCCCCACAAGTACAGCTCCAGCTCCGCGCCAACCCACCCCGCACCGAAGCTGCCCTTCTAGAAACCGCGCATTACTCAACCACACCACTTGGGTGCTGCAAGATGAGCTCATACTTCTCATCCTTGACCACCTCTTCGGCCATCTCTGGCCTAGGCTCACGACTCACCAACCTTCGCCGTGCCATTACCCTAGGCGACGAGGGAGACGACCCTGACAACGAAGACTGCTCCCACATCTCCAACGCCCTTCGAGCTTACTACACCGAAAAGGGTCGTCCATTCCCACCATGGCTCCCAAAAGACCCTAAGGGTCCGTCTCCGACCCCCTCCCGCCCGATCGCGACTTCACAGCTACCCTCCGGTAACTACAACCAAGGGTCCGCCAACTCCGGCCGGAGCGGCGGTTTAGGCGATCTATGGGGTGATTCTCCCACATCTCAAACATCGATCCCACAGACAGCCAGTCTTCGTCGCGGACGTGGTGGCACAGCTCCGCCGCTCGCCTCTGCCAACAGCGCGCCGCCGGGCCCCTCCCCCTCCCCTGGTCCGGCCATCACACTTTCTCAGTCCCACTCGCCTGCTGGATCGGGCTCCCCCATCCATCTGGAGCGCGGCCATTGCCCAGCCAGCGAGCTGGTTCGCATCAGTCTTCCCAGGCTCGTCCGAATCTCGATCGTGTTGGGTCGGGTGGTGGTTCCGCCCAGGACCGACTGCGGGCCAGATTACAGGGAGGAAGGTCTCCTAGTCCCAATGTTGACCCCAGTGTTCGGAAGCCGGTTGGAGCGCCTGGAAGACGGTGAACGTGTAGAGGCTTACATTGCATGGTGCAGAGCATGGCGTCGGGAGTTATTTTATGTTCAATGTTTACCCAGTACATACATAATGACAAAGTTCATTCAAATGTTCCATCATGGATGGTCAGGTGGTTCCTAGATATGTACCGAATACATTATATGTAGCATGATATTGTAGCATGTTCCGAGAATTCGCGCAGATTGACTAATTTGACATTCTCCCCCACGCATCAGGGATATTTTAGGCTGAATCTCTCAGAATACTCACCACCGATACGGCAGAGATCACCCTTTCCAACATCCAACGAGCCAAGATATCCGATGGCCCCCATAATTGGCTATTACAACCCGGGATGTTTAGCCACCAAAGCCAAGCAACAGCTGGCGAATGAACATATCGGCTTGCCCTGGGGAAAATCCCGCATTTTACCCGACCCCGACGCGGCCATCCCGCGTTTCGCTGAGGGGGCGTTATACTCCGAATATAATAATGCACCTCGGAAGCTTGTTTCCCTTTCTTCGAGTACAGGTCATTGGCCAAGTGAGAGCAGTTGACGGGCCCAAGCCCAGATTTAAAGCTTGATTAATCGAAAAGGTCATGATATCCCCCATTTTCCCCGAGATGTCGCCGATATATCCCAGTCCTCTCCACGGGGACCCCAACCCCAGTTAGAGCCCGAGTCCTAGCGCCCTTCAAGTCCAGGATTATGTTCGAGATGCAGCCCTTGATTAAATTCTTTGCTCGGCTGTAGACATATTCGTCTTCCAGTGTCAGGATTGTCTTCTTCCGCAGGATTAACTCCGTTCAATGTACCCGTGGATGGCTATACCGTGATATATGCCGACGCAACGGGAAGCCGGGAAGATTCCAGAAGTATGAGACCACATTTGACAGCAATGTCAATCTGAGGTCTGAGGGTCAATCACACGGATTGCCTGTTGTGTGCCCAGGAATGGTCGACATAAGCTTTGATGGCACACGATTCGTCAGAGCCCCCATGTCTTGAATTCCCCCATGTCTCTCCACATTCCAATCCCTACTGTTCAAATACGGAACACTGCATATTCCAACTCTAGACCTGTTTCTGTCTCCCGGTGAGCCCGCGTTTTCGTTCTTCCCCTTCTCCTCAAACTGATCATCCCAGACTGGCCTGATTCCCCACTTCTCTCCACGCATGGGAGAGCACGAAGTGTATACTCCAGAGTCTGGATTACGACTTGGCCGGTCTCTACAATATAGCGCATTCCCGGCAGTTTTTGACTTTGCTTTTAGGCCGAACCCCCACACCGAGTCTTTGTCGTGCGTAATGTCAAACAACTGTCGCTGTGATCGTCATCAGGACGGCCTCGAATAGTCTTGCTTTTCCCCCCCCCTTGGCTCTTTCAGCTGGTATAATCTGTTGTTCCATATTTTCTTTCTATTCTCTATAAATCCCAGTCCCTGCCCGGGCCGAGCCTGAAGTGACAGTTCCACTCCACTGTTATACTTTTTATCCTTTAGTAGACCCACAACCCATCTCCTGAGAAGGAGGTCTCATTCATAATGGCCGACCTCAAAGATATCGAGGCGCCCCAAAACGCGCATAGCGAGGATAAGGACGCCGTCGCCTTCGAGATGGACGATGTGGCGGAGCAAAAGCTTCAAAAGGGAATGACCGAAGCCGCCATGGATGCGGAACTGCAGCAGCTTGAAGAGCAGGTGCACATTCTTCCAAAATCCCGCTTCGAAATGACCTTGTCAAAACCTGCTACCTTCACCTACGTACTCGTCGCTTTCGCGTCGATGGGAGGTATGCTGTCTGGTCTTGACCAGTCACTTATCAGTGGTGCAAACCTCTACCTCCCTGTTGATCTGGGCCTGTCTTCAGCAGACAACAGTCTAGTCAACGCTGGTATGCCGCTCGGAGCTGTCGCTGGTGCTCTTCTCCTCTCTCCAGCAAACGAGTACCTTGGTCGTCGTATGGCTATTATCGTCTCCTGCATCCTATACACTATCGGCGCCGCCCTAGAGGCCGGCGCTATCAACTTCGGAATGGTCTTCGCTGGCCGATTCATTCTTGGCGCTGGTGTCGGTTTGGAGGGTGGTACCGTCCCGGTATATGTTGCAGAGTGTGGTATGTATCGTATTACCGCCAACTCACTTATATCCCTAATTTTAACCCCAATATCCAACAGTCCCCCGCAGACTACGCGGTAATCTCGTCTCCCTGTACCAACTTAACATTGCTCTGGGCGAAGTCCTTGGCTACGCCGTCGCCGCAATGTTCGTCAGCGTTGAAGGAAACTGGCGTTACATCCTAGGCTCTTCACTGGTCTTCTCGACAATCCTCTTTGTGGGCATGCTCTTCCTACCGGAGAGCCCCCGATTCCTAATGCACAAGGGACGAGAAATAGAGGCATACGCAGTATGGAAGAAGATCCGTGGGTTCAACGACCTCGAAGCCAAAGACGAGTTCCTCGGTATGCGTCAAGCTGTCACAGCCGAAAGCCAGGAGCAATCCCAGACGAAGAAGTATCCCTGGATGGATTTCTTCACTGTGCCTCGTGCACGCCGCGCGATGGTTTACGCCAACATCATGATCTTCCTCGGACAGTTCACAGGCGTTAATGCAGTGATGTACTACATGTCGACACTGATGCAAGCAATCGGTTTCGGCGACAAGGACGCCGTATTCATGTCTCTTGTCGGTGGTGGATCGTTGCTGATCGGCGCCATCCCAGCTGTGCTGTACATGGAGCGATTTGGTCGTCGGTACTGGGCGAATGCGATGCTTCCAGGTTTCTTCATTGGTCTTGTGCTCGTCGGTATCGGCTACACTATCGATGCTGAGAAATACCCCGCCACGGCGCAGGGAGTTTACCTCACCGGTATTGTGCTATATATGGGTTTCTTCGGCTCGTACGCTTGCTTGACGTGGGTCGTGCCTTCCGAGGTTTTTCCTACGTACTTGCGTTCATATGGAATGACGACAGCCGATGCTAACTTGTTCCTGTGCTCATTTATCGTTACATACAATTTCACGCGCATGATGGAATCTATGCAGCGGATTGGTCTGACGCTTGGGTTCTACGGTGGTATTGCTGTCCTCGGCTGGATTTACCAGATTATCTTCATGCCGGAGACTAAGAACAGATCCCTTGAGGAGATCGATGAGCTTTTCTCACTTCCTACTGCTGTCATTGTTAAGCGGAACTTGAAGCAGACTGCGCAGGTTATTCGGGACTTATCGCACTTCCGCCTTAAGAAGGTGTTTTCTCCTGAGCCTTACAATTAGGCTGATGGTACATATTTGTTTGCGGGATTGGATGATAAGGAAACCGGATAATACTCAGGTTGTTGTTTATATGTGACTCCTACGTCGTTGAAAACGATGTAATGTGGTGACGACTTAATACACTATCATATACCCCGTTTGATATCTTCGGGATTATTATTATTTCTATTCACGTCCAGCAGAAAATTTTCGGCATAGATATGCTTCGTGCGATATGTTTAAGTATGTAAACAGTTTTTCTGCTCCTCATCACCTGCTCGCCGAGTTTTTCTTCCACTTTCTCCCCTTATTGTGACATCTAGTTTTTACTCTCTGCTCTTCTTACCCCACTTGTCAAGACTTTGCTTCCGTATTGCTTCTGCTCGTCTCTTCTACATCTTCTCGTGGATCCCTTTGCATTTGGCCCCGACTTGACAGCCTTCCAACGCCCACTATCATGAGCTCTCAGCTGAAATTTCCCTTATTTGGGAACTGCTCAATCGGTATCCCAACCAGCGAAGAGTTCGATAAAATATCACAATATCTACCGCTCTTGAAGGCCTTTGAGGCATCGCTCAAGACTCGTATGTGCTCGTGTTTCTCGACACCCTCGCTTTTCAACAACAAACTAATGTATATGTAGGGGTGAAAGAGATGTGGGACTTCAGCACTGCCTTTGAGGAACTGGTCAAACAAGATACTATGGTTTGGAAGAGTCTTGGGGTAGGCCGGCACCCTCATTTTGTACAGCCCAGTGGCTCCATTAAGTCTCCCCTTGCCGTCCATCTTTTCAACCCGACATTTTTTGTTGCAGATTCACATAGTACGGTGACTGACGACCTCACAAATCCGACAATTTGCTTGTCACATGAGTGTGGTCTATCGTCTGACCACTGCTTCATGTTCGATGAAATTTGTCGCCGAGAACGAACCGATGATTGCCTTTTTTTCTACACAGAGAATCTACGTCGCCCCCACCGAGACTTCATTCACAAGGTCCGGGAAAATATGTCGGCGGCTGTGGAAATTTGCTTTGGAGAAGAAGTTTTCAAAGAGATACGCAAAACTGCTCGTCTGGTTCGTTTTCCTCTGTGGGGAATGTATAAGTCTGTAAGACTTTGGCTCGAAGTTGGTGATTCGAGTTACAGTTCTATGAAAAGATTCATCATTCAAGCCTACCACCCTCAGTTTCTCTCCAGACCTGGACGCTTCGCTAAGACGAGTTCTGAGTTCTTTGAGACTTACGGAAGACCACAGGATTTGGCGATTTTGATGGCTACCCAGCTTGCTGGGCTACAGCATATCATCAAGACCAGGCTTAATTTTTTTGCAAGTCATTTTGTCCGAGGCAAATATTCTCGGCTGAGTGCTAGCCAGGACTTGGAAAGGCAGGAGCATTTACGAGAAGCTCTAGGGGCCTTCCAGGTGGCATTTCCGAAAAAGTTCGAGTTCGAGCTCAGGGAAGCTCGCAGAAAGGAAGAGAAGGGTCTATTAGAAGGACTCAAAGATATCCCCTCTAGATCTGTAGTTCCTATGTACACACACCCGAATGGCCCCATTTCTGAGCAAGAACAGGTAAGTCGTGTTCTCTGAGCTTCAAAGTTTTAGTCTAATCAACCAGTAGATATTTCGTCTGGATGCAAGAAATAACGATCTACTTTCTACCATTGCATCTTTTGAGAAAGTTATCAAAGAAATGAATCTTTTTCACAATGAGGAGAGCGATGATTATGTCGAGTCTGAGATTTTCGACTTTGGGGATATTCCGACTCCACTTCGATCATGGCTCCGGTCCCAGGATGGGCTTAAGATTCATAGTGCGCCAATAACAAATCGTGAGACACTGGAATTGGCATTTTCCCTTCTTGGCAAAGGCCGCGTATCGAACCTCGATCAACTCTCGACTGAATATCTCGCCCGCATGGTCGGAACCATTTCCATCCGGAAGATCACCCGAACTCAATCAGGATTCAAGCAAGGCAAAGCGATCCCGGGAGAGCCGGGGAAATCAATACATCTAAGGTGCAGGGGTTGCCAAAGGCCCGTTTTGGACGACGCTTTCCCTTTCTTTGTTGCGGAACTGCCAAATTGTTATATTATCGAGGTTGTTCGAAGTGCCCAGAATGGTGGTAATGGCTGTGGGCAAAACGGCTGCAAAGGAAAGCCAGGTCTGGTCCCTGCCAACCACGCAGTGCAGAACCATACTCGTATGGAAACTAGGGCCATTTCCCAGACTAAACGCCGCAAAGCAAATTGGAAGGCCCCCCTATGCCGCACGGGCAAGGACCTGGAGGGCTGTGCTGAGATTGTTCGCGTACGCTGCAGGGGTTCTGGTCAAGGTAACTAGAAAGTAGAATGCGGGCGCGAAAGAGATTACGATACACCAGAGTGGACAATTCACTCACCCGCTCGCCTCGTTCAACCTCGGCTCAAATGTGATTGCGACGGGAAAGATAAAGATCATTACTTCGAGCCTGTGGACAAGAAAATTGACATGATTTCTCTCACAAATTTGCGGAAAATCCATCAGGGCTTTCTGAACGCACACTGCGACTTGGCCGATTACCCTAAGCTTCCCGGCATAATCTTCGACCTCGAGCCAAACGGAGACCCCAAGAAAAAGCCTAGGACGTATCGAGAAAGATTCGAATACCTGAAGAATGCCAAAATGGCTTTAACTGGCTCGAATTAAGCATCCTTACCACAGCATAGGATATGCATAGCCACCGCCCTCTATCTTTGATAGCTTTATTCAATACCATGTACTATGTGCGGTTCTTGGGATTGTTATACTCCAAACTCTAGTAAGCAAAAGATGTCCACAACGATATTCTAAGCGCTCTCGATTGAGTTGAGCTCAGAATATTGTATACTTGTGTAGACCTCCGCAAAGCCCACAAAGCCCATAATAAGCACCAAACAATGCAAATATGTAAAAGATTTAATTACCGTATGTTTAGACCCCGTTTTAGCCCTTAGATTGTAGTTATTGTTTTATTATTTTAAGTAATAGTTACGTTGTTAATAATTAGTTAGATTTATAGCCATATTACGTTTGGACACGCAAAAAAACGCGTTATTTAGATAAGTCTTAAGTTATTTGTGCTCCCGTATGAATCCTAAATATATATCTATCAAAGCTTCAATATTAACCTTTTTTTTTTTTTCGATATCCACTGGTCAGATTTTGTTTAAAATTAGAATATACACCTATATAGGTACTTTAATTCTAAATTCTGATTTTGAACCATATATGACCAGTAGAAGGGTCAGAATACAGCGACTACAAGATGCTAGTTGAACCAACCCCCTGAATGGGATTTGATGGGGGCCCAATACAATAGCCCATGGACTATTTATTGGGTTGGGTTGGGCTTTGGGCCCGGGCTCGGGCCCATTTATGGGCTTTGCGGAGCTCTAGTTATACTTGTGCAGGTGCCTTGTCTGTCAGGCTTTCTTGCGCCTTCCTTCAATGCTTAACTAATCTAGGCAGTTAGGGCTACAGGTATAGATTAAAAGCATGGTCATGCTAAATAAGCTGCCATCTGATATCCCAACATGGGGCGATAGCTCAGTTGGGAGAGCGTGCGACTGAAGTTCGCAAGGTCGCTGGTTCGATCCCGGCTCGCCCCATTTATGTTTTGTCATTTTGCTTCCTTCATACTTACTCTCTATGCAGATTACACAAGTTGATTGGGAGTCACTTCATTTCTGCCTTAGGTTTTTTCATTACAGTAGAATTCGAAAACAGATTACCCCGCAAGACACACGCTTTCTTTCCCAGCGCCCCACTTTATGACGCTAAACCTGATTGGGTCAGGAACGGTCCCACCCTGTTGTCTTCGATGTATCTCTAGTAGATTACCAAAATTGCCGTAAATACAGGTTCCGGCATTGCGCAGATCATACTTACCGGAGCGCCCTGGAGTGGAGATATTCGAAGATACAGTATACATATTTCCAGGCACTTAACTATTATTTGTTTGTAGGCCGTTACATAGCCCCCTACCTTCTCATAACAAACCAGTAATTTATGAACAGTTCCTATTTGTCCGTCTACTATTTCAAAGATATTGGATTATAGCGTTCGATGAGTCATTGTAAGATGGTGTAGATTTCTATGCGGACTGCTAGTTGGATAAATTTGGATTAAGTTATCTGATATCAACCACGCCTAAGACCTGCCTTTCTTTCTTTCCTTCTCGTCCTCTCTTTTGTCTTTCTTCTCTATTTATAAAAGATAATACTACCACTTTCGCCTACTTTTGTCCCCTGCTCTATATTGACCGCTAACGGCAATAAAGCATCGCTAGATTTAAAATGGAAACCCTAATAGATACTCTTGCAAACACTCACTTGAGTGGGCCACCTAAACAATCGGAACAATTACTTTTTAGACCCTAAGTAGGTAGTGGGTTGGTGCCGACGGCTTTAGATAACGTTCCTCACTACTTGTTTCGGGTTGTCTCCCCGAATTCCGTCGGAACAATAAATAAGAAGTGGGTGCATTTAGAGTCGGTATCTTAGAATTAGGGCTCCTCTATAGAAGACGTATTTTTTAATTTGAATAATAAGAAACGGACGACCATAGCTCGAACACTCAACTTACATCTCCGATGGTGGCTAAAGGATGGCACTTAGGACAATTTCGTTTTATGGACTAGCTCCTTGCTCTTCGCAATTTAGTATATCTACTACCGGCACTTAAACCCCGAGGATAGATCAAATTTACAGCAGATCAAGTTATATACGATAGATACGAGACAGTTTCCTAAAGGCACATTTCTTTGCGATCTAGATCTAATTAATACTTTTTAGGAATCCGACGATCACCTATGTAGAAAAAACCTAGAGAGCTTACGATACCTTCGCAACGAAACTCAAAATTACTTTAGTGAATATCTTTCTCAAGGATCGCTAAAGATTGAGGGTAAATACGAGGTTATCTGCGCCCAGTCCCTCTTTAAAAATGATCGATTACGTCGCCTACAACCTTATTTTCGTGAATTCCAGAATCTTCTATTTAAAAAAGGAAGACCGACCTAGCTACAAGAAGTCCTCCGTCTTCGTGAGAGTATCTGGCAACCAGCTAATCTACAGAGCCTATCTTCAGCCGATATAGGGGACCGTTCAAAGGCCGTCAAAGAGATTGTACAAAATCTTGAACCGCGCTAGAGATTGCCTCTTACTATGTACTTCACATCACTTATTGGCTAAGTATCCTTTATCGAAGAAAGAGGTGCGGCAATTCATAATATCTTCTTCAAGGTTTTGCAATCTACCTTTCCTAACGGTATATCTATAACCAATCCTATATTATGCAAGGTGATAATATATAACCACGGATACTAACAAGATCTTAAAGGACAACGAGCGTTGCGTCCTTACGACGTTAAAATCATCGCCCCAGATACAATGCCTAAAATAAAGCAAGTAAAAGGACTTATTCATAAAATGTACAAATACCATGCGTTGGAAAATGCGCTAGGTTAGTGCGATCGCTAGATATTCCGCTCTAGATCTGTTTGTACCCTATTAATAGGAAGTCTAGATCGAGTTGCAATAGTCGAAGCGAGTATTCGTGGCTTACATTTTGACAATGTGTTCTTAGAGGATAAGCATGCCTTTGTTTTGGCCGATCGAAATAAGCTACTAGATCGAATAGGCCAAAGTCTTTTAACGAAGCTCCGCTCAGTATAGTACCTATGTGAAAAAGTTATCTCGGCTATTTCATAAAGTGCGGTAAAGAGAGCTATTTTATCATTCCTTTCTTTCCCAGCCATCTTAAGTGACAGCATAATATAGCTAGTGTTCGTTGGTTTAATCTTTTAGTGATATACTACTTACTATATATGAATTTGTGGTAGGTTATTTCGATCTTAAGCTTAATGAGTGGATACGACTGTAAAATGTTTTACTGTGATACAGAGATAGGCATGTGGCTTGTTTAACACTGATATAGATAGACTCATTCATCTACATTAAATATAGTGTTTCAGTAAACGTGATCTGCCTGATTCCGGAACCTGTATTTACGGCAATTTTGGTAATCTACTAGAGATACATCGAAGACAACAGGGTGGGACCGTTCCTGACCCAATCAGGTTTAGCGTCATAAAGTGGGGCGCTGGGAAAGAAAGCGTGTGTGTCTTGCGGGGTAATCTGTTTTCGAATTCTACTGTACTAACTAGTTAGCATTATTAACTCTAATATTAACAAGAGTGGACAGCCGTGATATCTTTTTAATAGCTCATTCATTATTATTTTTGACCCTTTTCAATACATTTTCTCCCTTCTCGGTTTTATAGGGGCAGAGCGGTAAGAGCTAATTTTTGAAAGTGACTTCTCTATATAAACTTGGGATAGTACATTCTAATCCTACCAGTAATATTTAGAGTACTCTATAGTAATGTTATTATTACCCTGCCTACTATAAGCAGCATATAGATGTTAGAAGTATAGATTTAAATAAACCGCCATCAGATATCCCAACATGGGGCGATAGCTCAGTTGGGAGAGCGTGCGACTGAAGTTCGCAAGGTCGCTGGTTCGATCCCGGCTCGCCCCATTTTTGTTTTGTCATTTTGCTTCCTTCATACTTACTCTCTATGCAGATTACACAAGTTGGTTGGGAGTCACTTCATTTCTGCCTTGGGTTTTTTTCATTACTAGCATTATTAACTCTAATATTAATAAGAGTGGACAGCCGTGATATCTTTTTAATAGCTGGCCTTAGATATTATCTTTGACTGTCTTTCAATACATTTTCTCCCTTCTCGGTTTGATAGGGGTAGAGCGGTAAGAGCTAATTTTTGAAAGTGACTTCTCTATATAAACTTGGGACAGTACATTCCAATCCTACCAGTAATATTTAGAGTACTCTAGAGTAATGTTACTATTACCTGCCTACTATAAGCAGCATATAGATGCTAGAGCTATAGACCTAAATAAGCAGCCATCAGATATCCCAACCTGGGACGATAGCTCAGTTGGGAGAGCGTGCGACTGAAGTTCGCAAGGTCGCTGGTTCGATCCCGGCTCGTCCCATTTTTTTGCATTTCTTTTTTTGTCCGATCATATCATATCGGACATGCATCATACTACATACATAGCTTTTCCTGCGTGACGTTGGAAGATATTTTCTGCTTTATCTTTAAGTTTGTACCATTTCATACTAGATCCGAGGCAAAATCGTGATCTCTAATGACTATGTATATTTAGATCACGGTAGAATCATATCATAATCAATGTATTCATTCGGTATAGCGACTTTACTTCAAAACGGATACTCATTCTTATTTATGTCTTAACCAAAAAAAGTCTTCAAACAGAAATATGGCTGAAAGTGATGAGCCAGCATGAAATGATACAGCTATAGCAGGCACGTTTCGGCCAGCATGGCAAAAGCCCCAGTTTGCTGCCGTAGAAGGGAAACGAGGAGCACATCGGCTACAACTCTACCACCAGCTTCGTGGCACTGACACCCGCCTTGCACTTTTCCAACGCAGATTGAACATACTCTAAGCCCTTACCGACGACCAACGGGGACGGGAGGCACTGGAGCTTTCCCGACTGCAACGCAGGAGTAACATAGTCCTCCCAGACAGGCGTCGCAACATCGTTGACAGCAAAGATCATACCGGCAATCACATTCGCGGGGAGATCGGTAGCAGGAGGAGGAGGATGCACGGAAGCAAGGTTTCCTCCACCCAGCTGATCAAGAATGGTGATGTCGTGAGCGTAAGTCTCGGGACTACCTACAGCATCAAAGATGCCAACAAACTCGCCACCACTCTTTCGAACTGCGTCGGTAACCTTGTCGACAAGTGAAGCATCATTGCGGTCGAATACTTCGGCTGCGCCGCACTGCTTGCTGAATTCGAAATTGTGTGCTCCCGCAATGGCGATGACGTGGATTCCGGTTGCTGCGGCAAGCTGGGCTGTCATCGAGCCAACGGAAGAAGAGCCACCATATATAACGAGCGTCTTTCCACTGGATGGCACCTCCTTCAGCGAGGGATATGGAAGGCCCAGTGCCGGTGTATCTACACCAGGCATGGCGAAGCCGGGCTCCTTGAGGGAAAGCACGCAGACAGCCGCCTCCAATGCAAACGGCACCACAACACCATCTGTGAAGGATATTTCATCGGGGAGTATGGCCGCTTTGTTTGCAGGAATTACCGTGTACAAAGCGAATGCGCCATCCTGGGGGCGGCCACTAGTCAAATTGATAGCATGTCTGTGGAAGAGAGGTCAAATTAGTTCAGGATGATTTGGTTTCGATATACTTTCAAATAACATACCCAATTACACGATTCCCTTTCTTGAAGCGTTCGACGCCATCTCCCACTTCATGCACCTCACCGGCGATATCGCAGCCGAAGATGGCGGGCCATTGCTTGACAAAGACACCGGAGTCTAGCATATGACAGTCGAGAGGGTTGATAGCAATTGCAGCGTTTTTGACGACGAGTTCTCCTGGACCAGCTGTGGGCAGTGGAGCATCTTCCACCTGTAGGGGAGAGCCAGCCTTGATGAGCCACGCAGCTAGGTTCTTTGGGGTGGACATTCCGAGAGAAGAATAAGAGAAGGTAAATTTGGCTTGTACAAATGCTGGAGAACATACAGATGTTTGACTTCAGCAGATAGTTGGATACTAATTAAAAAGCAAATTTGGGGCAGGACCTGCCGAACTATAAGTACTCCATGGCTTTCATGTATTTGAGGATAGAAGCCTAAGGAATAATTGTAATCATAGGCCTAAAGAACTATTCTTTCAAAGCCAGTAGATAGTAAATATTACCAAGTATAAAAAATGTTAGAACCGCATGTGCCGTTCTCCTGAGAACCGTATATGCCGTTCCTTAAATCCGACTATTATGTCCGTAAATTACCACTAGAGCGTAAAAAGCAAGCCCCTTGTTTTGGTGTTCATGTATTTATGTAGAACAGGCATATAGACTTGGAGACAGTCGTTCACTAGTAGTGATAGTAGTGATAAATTGTTGCTACGTACGAGACCTTACCGATTCACCGTTGACAAATTATTCAACTCGATCAAGACCTCATAATGTTTTTTTAATACAATGAACTCTGAATACGTACACGGCGGCGTATCCCCGCGTTATCTACAATCTTCCATCCTCCACCCTGGACAAAGGGCCACCATTTATAATGCGACTCGGTCCACGAGAGCTACTCGAGTATAACGCGAAATACAAAGTGATTATCTGCCGAGAATGCCACTACGCTATTCAGAAAAATGCATTGGGGAGCCACTTGCTCCGCCACAAAATTTACCGAGAAGAAAAGCTTCGTTTACTCTCCACCATCCATCAACTCGACATCGTTGAACCGGGTGAGATTTCACTGCCCAGCCCAAGTACACGGCCAGTTGATGCCCTACCCGTAGTGTCTGGGTATTCCTGTACCATGACCGGGTGCAGACATCTCTGTGCAAGCTCTAAACGTATGATACGCCACTGGAGTGATATCCACAGTGTTACTGGGTTGAATGATTTTGCCTCTCATGCACGCTCAGTGAACCTCCAGACTTTCTTTCGCGGTACAAAACTTAAGTACTTCGAGGTCTCTGAGCCAAGTAAAGCCACAGAGTCACTGGATTTTGAAGAAGAGGATGGACATGACAGAGAGGGCACCGGTGTGAATGAAGTACCATCACCAGCACAGCTGAGGTCACTTTCCGAGACTTCTCCAGTGGTGGACCTAGAGACATTGGCCTATTTCCATCATTTCACCAATACAACGTGTCTGACACTTCCTACAATCGATGATTCTCTGCCAGGGTCACAATACTGGGGGATATCCATCGTTTCGTTGGCGCTACGACAACAGTGGCTGATGTGCGGATTGCTGGCCATTTCCGCGTACCATTTAGCTACGCTGGAGGACGAAACAACAACACAACAAAAGCACTGTGAGCGGGGGACAAAGCTCCGTTTTGAATTCTTCGTCGGGTTAAAGGAGATAATGAACAATACTCCAAACGTTGTACCCACCGATACTTTCCAGAAAACGAAAACGGCTGCTATTCAAGTAAGCAGCATTGTGAGTTGTGCACAATGGACCTTGACTGGATTCACTGCCAATCAAGAGACCAACCCGGGTCCTGCCACAGCCCCATCTTGTCTCAAATCTTTAATATGCAACATTCGAGATTTCGCGTCTTCTGGACTAGGAAACTCTTTAGAAATCGAGCAGAACAAGGGTGATTATCTTCAAACATCTTCGGATACGAATAGCCCACGAGTTACCGCCACAGCACCGACTGTGCTACTCAATCGTCTTCAGATGCTTCCTTATCGCATGGCCGAGATATTCGGGAAACCCGATAATGAACGAGATGCCCCGGCTATACTACTCGGCATTGGAGCGTTGCTCCGATACTCCAATGATTTACCAAATGCGTGGCAAAGTATAAGCGCATGGTTAAACAAGACGACCGACCACTTCAATCATATGGTTTCACTTCAAAATCCAGCCGCACTTATCGTGCTAGCCCACTGGGCGGCCATTCTGTTTAAACGGACAGAAGTTTATGAATGCTGGTTTATACATGGCTTTTCAAGAGCAATTGTTTTACTCATTTCCGAACATCTTTCTACGAACGATGGAGTTCGAAGTTTGGTTGAAGGTTTGCTGGAGTGAATGGGTTCATGCGGCTCTGCTAAGCTACTTATAGACCCATGGATCTCGGTCTGGATGACCATGGAGAGTGCACGGGTTAGCGTACCTAGTGTAACAGAAAACTAATATGATCCAATCAATTATATCCATTTAGCAATAATTCATTCCCTTTTTATTCTGTGCGCAGGTCCACAATCACTGGTGCCACTGACCTCCCCCTCACCCCTCAAATATCGAGGGAATGGATTGGCTCCGCTAAATTGAAGATGGAAAAGCCGAGGGCAGGGTGGCTTCGCGTCTATTCCTCCGTAAGTTTCCTAAGCAAACTTATACTCAATATCATCACGAGCATCCCGATACTGACTGCCGCAATCAGTCCTAAAGAGAGCCATCCTAACGCCATCGCCGCGCCTCCGACATGGGCCGAGACAGCTCCATACGTGAGTGTTTCAGCCATTGTCGCCGCAGCACTGCTGTTGATATGCTGCCACAATACGGAGATAAGACAAAATGCAGCGCTGGAAAGAAAACCGAGTAGACAGGTCTGCGACACCGGTCTGCTAGGAAATGGCTTCACCTCGCGCACTGAGCCGCTGTCATCGATTTCCTCAGTCCATCCAGGGAACGACGATAGCATGAGAAAACAGATGAAAATCAAGACTATCACGATATATCTAAGGACCATTGGTATACTGTATCGAAATCGGCAGAGGGAAAGACTTACATCAGCCCATCGAATACAATTTTCTCCTTAAACTCATTCGCAATCATAATCAAATTGAGTGGGTCGGGTACAATTTCTGTGCTTGTCCCATTTTTGACATGCTTTTGTGCCTGGAACAAATTTGCCAACACCTGTGCGTTGGTAGAGCAGATGCGTCCAGTGTGGCTCTGCGTGACGCAGATCCCCATGTAGCCCGCTCGGACCTCTAGAGTTGTTCCGTTGCCGGTTTGCAACACATTGTGAATGGCATGCGCAATACCTGAGCTCACTTGTCCGGCTGCTGTAGATAATGGAGAGTCTTTCGCTGTGTATTCTAGCGACAACAAGTATATATTGCTTAGACTGTTGGAAGAACAGCCCGCAAGTAGAATGGCTGGGAGAATATATTAATAAAATCCAGAAAAATATATTCATTGTCCTCACATAGCATAATAACTGCAATCGCCGATATAATCATCAAAATATGATGGTAGCCTATCATAGGCATCCATCGGTCTTTTGAGTCGCGTTAGCACATGGAATTATTCCAATCTTTTGAGGAACGTACATATTTTTGTTCTCATCTCTAAGGCCATGACTGTATTGGTGTACTGGAGGTTAGGAGGGGTAATGAGAAAAGATGTTGAGCTGAACCTATACTAACCCTATTACGGTCGCTAGTGTCAGATTTTTTGCCTTATTCTATACATCTACAATTTCCTATTCAAAATCCAAGTCCTCTGGATGATTGTATCCTAGCTTTTTTTATATATATTGTTTCTAAGGCATTTCCAATGGCCCCAAATTTCATTCCATGTCTCTCCGCAAGCCTCAGTTTTTGTTTTCCTAAGAGGTGAACCCTTCGTGTAATGCCAACCGGGTGTAATCGAGCTAGGGTAGTTAAGCTATGTTATAGAAGTTTTATTTTTTTTTTGTTAACATAATTCTCTTACAAATAATTATTTATATACTCTACAGTATAATCTAAAAAGAAAATTATGTGACAGGTGATATTGTACTGTTTCCACAGTGGCGATCTTTTCCCCGGCATATTCGGAAGATATTCCACGGCATTATCTTTGTATACTGTTTTTCCCCTTTTCCCTTTCTTTCTTTTGATGCCACATCTAGTTCTGATTTGACTTCGAATGCCTCTAAGGTTGATTGTGTTCCACTTTTGCTTTTGAAATCTCGTTTGATTAGCTCTACGGAGTACGCTTAATTCTACCAAGAACTAAGAGCCAAGATCAAATAACTTGGAAGCCGTGCACGATATGGCGTTTTGGCGCTAGTTATTTCTACTTCGTATAGAGTCTAAGACACCTTAGAGTTCGTCGGCAAGTATTGCCTTGGCTTTGACATACACTGAAAACTTGGAAGATATTAGCGAGAATAAATATCACAGCGCCCCTGAAAATGAATTCATGTCATTTCTCTTCGCACTTTGTGCTTTTACATTCGTTTAACTATCAACATGGGCCGGTGGAGAGAACTTCTGCCTGTTCTGGCAGCCCTGGCTCCTTTGTCCAGCGCTATGGAGATAACTAGCACATTTACGACCGTTTTTCCAACCACTAGCATCGTCACTTCCTCGTCTGCCGTCGCGGGATGCACCGTTGCGTCTTCCATGCAGATCGCCTGTAGCAATGGATACTATAACACATGGGGGGCAGTGTGGCAGGAGACCTGCGCAGCCTCGTACAGTGGTGGCAGCATCCTCCTGAGCAGCTCGGGCCTTTCACTGCGGGCTTGTGTGTCGGCCTGTAGTGTGCGACCTGCCTGTAGCGGAGCTTTGTTTATTCCCAATATGTGTTATCTACTCCAGGGCGATGTGACCATCACTCCCGGCGGACCATACCAAGCAGCAATCCGTTATGCGCCCACGGCCAGCCCTTGTGTCTCGAGCTGGCTGGTTACAGAAACGTACACGGTCACTTCGACGGGAGAAGTAGTTTACACTGTGACGCCGAGTTCTACCACGTCTGCTACGTTGACTCCGACTCCCACCCCCGTGGTGCCTTCTTTGACACCTTCTAAGACGCCTACTTCGACGCCTTCTAAGACGCCTTCTAAGTCGCCTTCTAAGACGCCTTCTAAAACGCCCACGTTGACGCCTACTTCAACACCTACTTCAACACTTACTTCGACGTCTACTTCGACGCCTTCTAAAACGCCGTCGAGCACCTCTTCCTCGACACCACTGATCCAGTCGTCGACCGTCACTTCTACAAGATCTAGCCCGGTGTCTTCTCCTATATTGTCGTCGTCGACTCGGTTGATTCCTACTTCGGTTATATCTTCCGTATCTACAGGCTCTTCTTCTGTCATTTCTACTGGGTCTTCCCCTTCTACTATTACTTCCACTTCTTCCACTTCTTCCACTTCTTCTACTTCTTCTACTTCTTCTACTGCTTCTTCTTCTAATGCTTCTTCTACTGCTTCTTCTACTGCTTCTTCTACTGCTTCTTCTACTGCTTCTTCTACTGCTTCTTCTACTGCTTCTTCTACTGCTTCTTCTTCTACTGCTTCTTCTACTGCTTCTTCTACTGCTTCTTCTACTGCTTCTTCTACTTCTTCTTCTACTTCATCTTTTTCTCTTTCCGCTCCCACTTCTATCCCATCTTCTGGATCTTCCATCACTTCGTCTGTTCTCTCCTTTTCGTCCGCTCCTTCTTCGTCTCCCTCGGACTCTTCATCTACCAGCTCATCCCTAGGCAGTTCATCAACTGCTTCTAGCCAATCTTCTTTGTCGCTATCGACCTCTTCAGGTCCATCTGTTCCTCCAACCTCATCCGGGGAGTCTGCTTCTCCAAACGCATCTGCGACCACCAGCTCAACCGTGCTTGCCACCACAACTGTCACACCCAGTGGATCATCTTCTTCAACTCAGTCCTCGGAGGAATCAAGCGGAAGCACACCAAGTACTTCAACCTATACTGTCACGGCAACTGAGGTCCACACAATCACTTCTTGTGCTGCCGCCGTTACCAATTGCCCCGCGCACCAACAGACGACATACTTGACCACCGAGACAATCACCTATGTCACCACAGTTTGTCCCGAAGACGCTCAAACCACAGCTCCTTATGCTACAGGCTCTGCGACGACTATTTCTCATACTAGCGTGGTTCAGACCGCCAACCCCAAACACACCACTACGCAGATCGCCGGTGCTTCTTCAACTCAGGGCATAGAAATTGGTGTGCCTCCTTCGCATATGACTACCTCAACCATCTATGCTACGGAGATTGACGTAGTCACCGCCTGTCCGCCTTCCGTCCAGAACTGTCCCGTCGGGCAGAGAAGTACTTACACCACGAGCAAGACTGTTGCTATCTATACGACGACGTACTTGGTTGTGGTCACGGATTCTGCACAGGTCTCTCAGTCTACCAACGCCTCGGTGCAGCCCGTGGCAGTCCCTACTGTCTTATTCGCGCATCCGCATGTTCCCGGCCACGGGCCAACTGGTGACACCAAATACACTATGTCACAGGCTCCATCCTCTAGCGCCTGGAAAGCCGGGGTCGCATCCTCTGGGTCCACCCAAGCGGCTACGCACGCCACAACGATGAACACTGTTTCCGGGCAAACAACCTCTTCTGTGACGAGTGCCCCTGGCAGCCTCTTTACCGGAGGCGCACCCAAGATGGGGCATTTCTCTACCCTGTTCACCGTGCTCGCTGTGCTGTCCACTCTCTTTTTCTTTTAGAGGAGACTGCGCCATGCTCATGGGAATTTAGTGCATTGTATGATAAGATACCTTATACATAATTTAAAGTAATACCAATATCACATCGTATCACACTGTCAACTGACCTTTATATGTGGGCTACCGAGGAATATCTGCTAACCTCCATGATCGAATCCCCCTAATTTTACCTTTCTTTTGCATCCAGATTTTCACATATAATTCCTCTATATTGCATAGTTTTGAATTCAGAGATCTTGCATTATACTTCTAGTATATTTTCTCGCTTGTATTTGCCATATTATTCTAGTAAACACACTGTTACAGATACAGTCCCCTCTGGCCATACATAGAGACCATGCTTTTTAGAGTCTAGTGAAATAGTGCTGTATTTCCCCCCCAAGTTCCGAAGATGGTACTTGACGCATGAATTCTATTTTCTGTCTCTCTCCCAAGTCATTCAAATCTCTCATTTGAAGGGGCTGTTAGCTATGAGAACGCAGCGCTCGATATGGTCCGAGAGCGCCCAAAAGGATGAAAGTCAGCATGATTATAACCATCGTCATCACAATACCCACTGTCAGCCCGCTCTTGATGCCAATAGCTAGCGGGCGTGTCCAGATGAGTGCCAAAGGAATCACAATGAATATCGCAGTCAAGATCAGATAAATCAGGGCCATTCTAAGCCATAAAGGTGTCCGATGCACTCCGTCCACGATCAGGTCTGGTAATGCGCTCCGAAACTTTGGTTTGGATTTGAGCCAGAAAGGAACCCCCACAGTCGCTATAACAATGAACATGATAACAATACTGACAGCAACCCGGACATCTGACTCAAGTTCGCGGGTCCAGAGCACCCCGATTGGTATCGCCGATGCAACACCATTCAACAAAATGAAGCTGATTATGAAGCCGAACACAGCCCAGAGTCTTTCAGCCATTGAGCGGGTTCTTTGCACGAGCCATTTACCAATACCACCTATGATGGTACTCAGTCGACTTGCTATTGACCGAAAGATCAGGAGCATTGGAAGCGCTCGAGGTTGCACAGGTTGGCCATTTCTCGCTGCATATTTCCTGACATCATTTTTCACGGCTGCCTTGAGAGCAATCAACCAATGGCTGCGCATAGTCATACGCATCAAATAAGCAAATAATGTCACGACAACAGCCACAACAAAGAAGTTACTGATAGGGACTGGATTTGCAAATGGTTCGATTTGCATGCCAAAAACAGAGGCAGCGAAAGACATCGGGACGAAAATGAATGCGAGTTCGGTGAGTCTTGCCACAGCATGAGCCTCATCGATCGATCGTCGACTCTCCAGAAGACCCATATTGGAAGTCAAAGATGCTGATGTTCTTTGAAGTCGAACTATAATGTGATCGATGTTCTTCCAAAGTTCATGGATATCTTGCATAGGTTCCAGTCCCATGACTGCAACCTCCCGGGGAGAGCTTATAGGATGGAGTTTAATGAGAAACTCAATAAAAGGCTCCATAGAATATCTCAGCTCTGGAAGCTCTCGCTGGGCTCGGTTTATGATCTGTCGCCATAAGCCCAATCTATCCTCCATCTTGATGTCATCTAGAATCTCGATATCTATTTCGTCAAGAACTTGTCGCAGCTGGTTGAGAAGGGTCATGGTGTCTTGTTGGATGATTCGTACCAATGGCCTGAGCAGACTACCTGGTCCCTGGTGCATTCCGAGAGCGTCACAGATCTCTGACTTGGTTGACTTGGTCTCCTGGAGTTTTGCTTGCAAATCAGTCATCGACTGCAACATTTGAAATACGCAGTCTAGGTCGGCTGAGACTGCTTGGCGAGGAGCTATCTGCTCAATGATAACTTTATCTAGTACTTCGGGCTCCCTCTTTTTCTTCTCCTCAACGATAACATTCAGTACTTCGAGCTTCTTTCCAGGTCTGAAGTGTTTTGGATTTTTTCTTCCAAGGATCCAGCCCAGCGACCTAGCAAACGAAGTTTCATCCCTGACACGTTGTGGTTGCTCTTCATCCATGATAAGCTCTTCGATATAAGTACTCTGTTCAATGGATGAGTAGTGCGACGTATCACCATCATCATTCTCGCCGTTCTCTCCCTGTGAACCAGATGATGTCCGGTATTGACTCCATTCGATGGAGTGGCGCAACGCATCATCGCTATCATTCTCGGCATTCCCTTCCCGAGAATTAATGGATGGCCAGTATCCACTCTGTCTCGTGGAGGATTGGTGCGACGTATCATCCCCATTGCTCTCGCCATTCTCTCCCTGTGAATCAGGTGGTGTCCAGTATTGACTCCTTTCCATGGAGTGGCGCAACGCATCATCGCTATCATTCTTGGCATTCCCTTCCCGAGAATTGATGGATGGCCAGTATCCGCTCTGTCTCGTGGAGGATTGGTGCGACGCATCATCCCCATTGCTCTCGCCATTCTCTCCCTGTGAATCAGGTGGTGTCCAGTATTGACTCCTTTCCATGGAGGAGTGGTTTGGCGCATCATAATCACCATCATTTTCGCCATTGTCTCCCCGAGAACCAGTTAACGACGCCCAGTATTGACTCAGCTCCTCGGAGGGGCGGTGTGACGTATGATCATCGTCGTCATCATCATCGTCGTCGTCGTCGTCGTCGTCGTCCTTCGTCTCTTTCTCATTCTTATCATTATTCTCTTCATTCTCTCGCTGAGAACCGGTTGATGTCCAGTAATGGTGTATCTCAGATATCTCCGGCAAAGGGTCAAGAAGTACGATTACTACATGGCCTGTCAGTATCCTATGTTAGGTTACTTCATGTATATCACGTACCAATCTCAGTGTTTTGATCAATGAGCTTCTTTCTCCAAATTGACACTCTCTCCTCTAAGCCACACACTCTTTTCATCATCGATGTCGTTGTGGGGTCGGTCCACAGACCCCACTCTAGCCGGAATATATTTGTGAGGATTCCCGTCGTAACAGACTTCCTCCGTGTAAAATGCGTTACGCTGTCCTCAAGCAGATCTTCAAGGTCAGGGCTTGAAAAGTACGTTGGAAGTCGATAAACTGGTCGAATCCACCTGAATGATATGTAGGATTTCTCAAATGATGCTGTGCTCCAGTTTCGAGCCGGTGGACAGTCATATTTCCCGCCGGCATAGCCAGAATTCAGTAAATGCTCTTCGAAGAACTCGGGATTGATGCTGAAGTTTTCACCCAATATGTCTATCATGGGTTTAGAAAGATCTTCCACAAAGATAAGCCTTTGCTGTACATCTTCTGGAACATGGCATAGGGCTGCGATAGTCGCTGAATCATCGATGTATGCCGGTTCTGATATGAGATCGTCGCGATAGTCATAGTATGTGATTGAAGTCTTCGCGTGACGTGAAGATTTCCCGACACTTCCATTTTTGATATGTTCTAGCACCTTTCCCGCGTTTTTAATAGTTTTTCTGTATGGTTGTCGACGCGTTTCTTCTGTCACGTGAGGTGCAAGGTGTGCTGAATCAACCATTCGATCTCCTTGCCGTGGTCTTTGGGTTGATGGCGGTCTTGACACAGACAGCGAGATATTTGATGGCGGTCTGGATACAGGCAGCCGGACATTGGACGGATCTATTGGAGCGGGTGGTCGCAAGGTCATATCTTGGGTAGGTTGAGATCCATTGTCATCCTCGGCATCAATGTTAACCGATCCCTCTAAATTCACATTATCACCAGGTGTGCGGGATGCGACGGGCGCCAACCCGTTTGTTTCTGAGACACGGCCATATGTAGAAGAGTCATTGCGCAAAAGGTCTTCTAATGAATCTGTTCCATATCCTGATACAAGCTGGTTTTGAGGGGGAGGGGGAGGCTCTGATTGTGCGAAGTCAGGGTCATATGATTGCCCTGCGGCCATTTGGGATTGGCCAGATGTTTTATATAACAATGAATTGTCTCAGCGAGGGATATCTCGCATATATGCACCTAGGCCGAATTTTCCCAGCTGGGGTTTTTCTATTTGAGCTTCCGCTTTTATGAGGGTGCTCAGGCTCAGGCTCACTAAGCAGATCTCACCTCCAAGGTTGGGCACGGGCTGATCATGCCCAGCTCAGTCACGTGCAGAACTGATGAGCGACACTAATCCACTTAGGAATAAGACTAACCTTCCATGGCTTAGTTTCAATATAAACAACATAGAGAAATGTAGGTTTATGTTGTGGTGGATGACTTAGCGCCTCAGGCATTGACCTTCAGATAACCAGTTCGGGAGTTCGCTCCTCTTACAATACAACTCTCTCCCTCCTCACTTCCTAAACCTACCATTTATAGTTTCGCCAGTTTGAATATTACGAAACTTCCTGAGCTTGTCCGGCTCTAAGTTGTGGTAAGACCCCAGATATAATATAAGGGAATACTTGAGATGAATGTGGAATAAAGATCAAAGTTTTACGAAGTGGTATAGAGGAACTAATAGCTGATTCTTTAAGAAAGCAGCCTACGAAGATAATAATGAAGTGAGGCTCCGTGGAAACCTCAAGTGAGTCTCTGCGAATCATGTGGAGAGCATTGCTTACAGATTTTCGTGGACCTCCATGGAACTAAATAGTAGTAGATCTCCGCAAATAAGACCTAGTTGATACTGTACCTGGGTTAACTACCCCTTGCTGTACCAAAGTACCGATTTGAGCGTTGAGCTTTGCTCTACTAACGGCGGGAGAGGTGACACACGGTTTTAGAGTGAGCAGAGTATGTACATGTTGGAAGTCGAGGGTTCTGTTTAGAGGCCTTCCCTCTACCCCACAGGAGCATATTTTCGACATATCGAAATCTTGCTTTCTTGTTTTGGCATTCGCGTAGTCATTTTACCGAGATGAGCATTTGCCTAGACAATGAAGGCTCTCAAGGGTCTTTGCATGGTTTGCACCGAGGGCTTCTATGCGTCCCTTATAGGCCTTCTGGTATACTGTTTCTGCTTCGGTGTATTTGCCTTTGTCATAGAGAGCGTTACCTAGCCCATGGAGAGAGTGAAGCGTCTCTATATGGTTTGCATCGAGGGTCTCGTTGCATCCCTTATAGGCCCGCCGGTATGCAGCTTCGGCTTTGTTGTACACGCTCAGGACGGTACCACTCTAACGGACTGTATAACAGACGCTTTCTCGACTGTATTCCTCATTAAGTCGGCGGGAAACGACATGTTGAAAAAGTAGATATATTAGAATGTGTGCTGATAATTCTCGTGGCTGGTAGATGATGGGCGGGGTTCAGCTGAAAGTCCAGGCAGATCACATTAATTAATGTGGTCCGTGATCAACGCAAGGGGGACGTGCTCATATCCAAAAATCGGCAAGAGCTGAGCACTAAAAGGGGAAGGATTATGTACATTTGTAGATGGGCCTCAGATGAACTGGCCCTGCCGAGGAAGGGTCTAAAAAATATAAACACGAGGTTCCAGGGTTGAAACTGGTGTAAAATCAATCCCTCAACGCTTCGAAGTCCGCTCGAATTGACGAACATATATTTTCAACCAATGACATTTCCTCCTCTACCGGCACATCCAAAGCTCCAGCTTGCCAACTCACCGTGCACATCAAGCTCCCCCTTTGACACTGATCATGTTGAAAGCAAGTGGCGCACTAGTAACATTGCCAGGCTGCGAGAACACCATCTTGACGACCTTGCACTTCTGATCTGCGCCGTCGTTCATGTTATCAAAGGCAAGCAAATTGCTCAGTTCGTACGAGGAGTCCCGCTTCTGTCCAATTTTACTCAACGTCCAATTCCTGATGCTGGGAACATATCTCAGCAGACCGATTGCTTGGTCCTGCAGCCTCGCCCCGCATTCAGCGAGCTTTTGCGTCATCGACCTCGCGGCTTCCCACATCTCCTCGGACAAAATAGCCTCCGTCACATTCGGTGCTCGTGGATGTACCTCGTAAAGGCCAGATACGAAAAGACCCCATGTGAGGCCAGGCGTCCCGATAGACGCTCGCATATCAACAGGCGTTCCCGAGACAAAATTGGTTATGTCGGTACTAGGAATGGCCTTGCTTAGCGCCCGAACAATCATCTGGTGCACCGTTCCCGTGAGCTTGGTGCCATGGCTTCTTGATGCCTGCAGAGCCTTTTGTACGAGCGGAGCCTCAATCTCGATGATTCTTACTCTGCTCTGGATGGCAGCCGCCGGATCGAAGAACATAGGTGACCCAATCCAAGTACCGGCATCTAGCGTGCTAGCAGATGCGCGGAGCCCAAGAATTTTGGCCACAAACTTTGGCAAGTAAACTGCTATCAACGGCTCAAGGAGGAACTTCCAAGATATGGGAAGCCTTTCGGGTGTGTCAAAGGGTGCCGGGAGCGTTTGACTTGGCGGAGTCACTAAGAAAGTGGCTTTCTCCTCCATACCAGTAGTCTGGCGCCATGCCTCAAGGAAGGTGCGATGGAAGGCAACTCCGACCATGCCGTCTCCGAGAGTATGGGAGAACGCAAAGGCAATAAAGCATCGCGTCCCTGTGGAGTCTTGCGGCGACACCAGAGGAGAGACCACAATCCGCCAAGGTGGGATATCAGCAGGCCATGGCCGGTCAAGTATGGCTGGCATAATCTTTTCAATTGTTGCCGTCTCGCCATTGCTAGTAGCTTCGTCTTCGTGAATTATAGACACATGATTGTGGAGATCAATACTCGAAACAGCTTCGTATGCTGACTTGTCGGTATGCTTCTGCTTGACGACCACGCTTAGGTGTGGGTACTTCTCGATGCAGTGTCTCAAAGGAGCAATAAATGACTGGGCGGAATTAACATCTATATTTTCACTCGCAATCTCGTAAACTCCTGCTATGACAAGCGCGTTGTAGAAGCCGACATCTTCGCGACTAATTGTACGGCGTTCATTGGGACCTGGGTTCCAGTTAGCACTACCTATATACTTTAGGGAAATAAGTTCACTAACTTGCAAGTCTCATGAATTTGGTGGGCTCCGACATTTCTATACAACATACTCCGTACAATATAGAGGAACATCTGCTGTCAAAATACAGGGGAAAATATCGGCATAACTATCTTCCGGTTATATTAAACGATCCATTTTGGGACATCGACGGATACCCGAGAAGAGCTTGACAACCTCTAACTACTTTTCACAAATATACTAGAAATTTGCCCCACTTGCCAGATACTCTTTGCTGAATGGGTAATCCGAATAACCCACAGCTGACTCAAAGATATAAAATGTATCTCTGTTGTACGCATTGAGCTGCAAACCCTTTCTAATCCTGAATATCAGATCCGGATTGGAGATGAAGTGCCGGCCAAAGATGACCATGATGTCCTTGTCCGGATATTTCTCGTCCACCAACTTACGGGCCTCATGCGATTCATACCCACCAGCAACAAGAAAAGGTCCGTCCCATAAATCGTATGCAAAATCCAGTGTGTCATGACCACTGTAATCCTGGGAGCCGGACATTCGCGACTCAACGAGATGAAGATATGCAATGCCCGCCTGTCTGGCTTTACTGATCACATCCGTGAACTGCGGGATCGGATCCTCCATTCTCATGCCCTGGAACGTACTCCAGGGGCTCAGCCGAAGCCCGACACGTTCACGACCGATGGCATGAACAACAGCTTTGATCACCTCGTCGAGAATACGAGATCTATTCTCCACATTCCCACCGTACTCATCGTCTCGATTGTTGCTGACGTCTTGGATAAATTGGTCGAGCAAATATCCATTCGCACCATGAACCTCGACTCCGTCAAAGCCGGCCTGAATGGCGTTCTTCGAAGCGTCGACATAATCCTGGATTATCTGCTTGACCTCATCGGTGGTCATGGCTCTAGGCACTACGGCACCTTCTTCCATTGCAATAGCACTGGGGGCTACGATATCGTTGGCTTCTTTGCGGGCTAGATCGACATCCGCGGCACGGCCCATGGCAAACACTTGACAGAATATGAAGCATCCCTTGCGATGAACTTCATCGGTGACGATCTTCCAGGCAGCGACTTGGTCCTCACGCCAAAGCCCTGGTGCGTGTGGGAATCCGCCGCAGGTTGCTGATATGAATGTTCCCTCGGTGATGATCAAGGTGCCTGGCACTGCGGCGCGTTGGCCGTAGTATTCCTTCATGAGGAGTGTTGGCACTCTGTCTTCGGTTGCTCGGAAGCGAGTGAGTGGCGCCATTCCGATGCGATGTTTCACTTCCATGCCACCTATCTTGAGGGGCTTGAAAAGGCGTGATTGAGGCATTGTCAAGAATCTTTGAATGGCTGTTCTTCAGTGGGAGAGTTAAGAATATTTTGATCCATGGTTCAATCTCGGGGAGGACCAGGTACTTGTACTCGGTTTCCAAGCAAATATTTTCTGCAGTCGTCGGATGAATGTTATAATTGCTCTATATAAGTAGGGTAGAGAAATACTTCCCAAAAAGGAAAAAAGATACTTCCTATTAGGGAAAGGTCAGCGAACTTGACCATTTGCGGTTAGAGTCATCAGTATTAGGCCAATCATCCATCTGGAATGTGAATCTAGTGGGGCATCATATCCGGAGAGTTTCTGTTAACTTTCAGCCCTCGAGGTAATCGGCGCGACCTAGGCATAATTGGCAATGACAAATATAAGAAAGTATTGTCATAATATCAGTTAATTAGATGTGATTTGAAATCAATATTTCACCACTTCGGCTGTTCTATCCTGATAATTGAACAAATGGAGGCCTTGGAGAGCCAGTCTAGATGGAATTTTCTTCCCAGAAGCCCTTAACCTGGGACAAAAATGCTTTGTCAGACCATATGAACTGTTTCAGGATCACTAGAAGTTCTGGCCATGATGTATACAGCCATCTAAATCTGCTGTGATTCAAATACAACAATTGCATGTAGCCTTGCCGTATAGTTCCTGCGGGGGAAAAAGCTCCCCCGATGTATAAGAGCCAAGCCAACAGATCAGGCGAATCATCCCACACTGTATTTTCGCTCGCCGATTGTAACTTGCAAAGTAACTGCAATGAAAGGTAGGACTGATGGTATATAAAGTTAGCACAACTCGATAGCCTAGGCGGCAAATGCAGTCAATGCGATTGACTTACGGGGATGGTTGAAGTCCGCCAGATTTTGCAGCGAAGCATAGTCGAACATAAGTATGCTGCTTGATTGCAGCATTCAGAGATAGGTGAGTGAATTGGCAAACTCACTAGCCTCGACTGGATAGACGCTTGGTGGTTATCGATATTAGTCATCGGCATTACATCCTCATTGCCGAGGATGGCTGAATCTCGGATGCATTGCAATGCAAATACGTCCTTGAGAATTTCAACAAAATCCTGACCAAGTGTATGGGAGTGGTATTGGAATCCGGGCGGAAGAACAAAAAAGTTAGTATGGGAAGGATCTCTTCTCCACCGGAGCTCGGAAAACGTAGTGTGATCAACAACTCGGCTTGATCCTGTCATGACCGACCCATTCAAGTCTGACCTGTCGGCCGATGTAAGGTTTAGCCATTATCAAATGCTCCAGGCTACTTACCAGAAGACCGCACGTTTGATATCGTCACTCAGATAGACACCCTTTCTTTGGCATACCTCCAAAATCTGCTGTATTGCCCCCATATGGAGCTGGACTTGAAGTGGCATTCCAAGACGGACCTTAATGATAAAAGATTAGCTTTTGATGGCAAGCCTTCTTCCAAAAATGGTAAAATTGAAGGAAAACATGCACAAACCTCTACACCGGCGAGTAGCAGAATGGCCCCTATTGTAGACTCCGTAACAACCCTATCCAGAGAACTCATTCTTTGGCGGAGAGAGCTCAGAGCGGTATTCTGGTATTCGAGACACTCCCTGCTGGTCATACCTACTGTGAGCGTAAAGGAAAATGTGAGCATGACAGCACTTAGAAGAGCGTCATCATCTAGTCCTTTCTGAAGGACGGAGCGAAAATTTTGAAGCACAAGTTCATCAAAAATACTGAAGACTGGCTCTATTTTAGAACTTTTTGTCAGCCGTAGTCGGGGCATTGGGTGATTTCCAGGATCTTACGTCGGTTTAGCAACTCCCGTAGTATCGGCGACTCTGCAGCCAACATTTGGAACGGATCGGAGGAAGCTACAGCAGGGGGGCTGATGGTGCGGTAAGAGCTTTCTGATGCTTCTCTTTGCTCGCAGGTAGGCTCTGATCACTTGCTGGGCATAGAACATGGAAATTATGACCCGACATTTGCTGAAGCCTTCTTTTGTTCCGAAGACTGTGCGCTACAGCATGCGATCGGACTAAGCGCTTCGTTATGCGATCATTCGAACCTTTTATTGGAATGAAAAGGAATTGATCACCTGAAAACACAAGGTTAATAATAAGATATACAGTCATGCTCCCTTGAATCTCTGCCCTACCTGAAACGAGTTCATCGTGTCTGGCCATTGAAATAGAACAGTATGTGTTATATCACCTTCAATCAAAATGCACGCATATTCTTCAATAAGGAAAGTATTTCTGCGATATGCACACCGCCGTTGTCCAGGATCGATGACCGCGGTGCCCCTCCCCGGGACCCCGGGGAGGTTGGTGGATTACAAATCAGAGCTGCACCTCCCCGGGGACATACCGGTGATAAGGTTTCTGGGTGAGATCGCGGCCCGCTCGGCTAACCAAAAATGTCGACCACGAAAATGAGACAACTTTGTACCCCTTGGAGCAAACTTGGAACATCTCCGACCAGAGCTGACGACACTCTTGGGGAATCACAGATAGGGTCCAATCTTGCATTGGTGACAAGGCTGAGAAGGGTCAACTATCGAATCCCCAGCCTTCCGCCAGTCTCCATTTTCCCGCACCGACCTGCTCTCATGAGGATCAAACATTTTCAGCATTCGTTTATATTGGCACAGGCAACTAAATAGACCCTTACAGCTTGCAAAACTAGAGCAAGGAGCGACATCTACGCAGCATAACAACACATGCAAGCACATTTCCTGGTAGGGATACTGCAGCGAACAGTGGAGTAGCCTTCCAGGTCAACTCCGAGAAAGCACCGATACGGCAACGCAATGAAAGACATAATATATGCATTGATTTAAATCACCATATATGTACATAGCCTCACTACCAGGCTGTCATACCACCATCGACCCGAATATCTGCAGCAGTGATATAGGAGCTCTCATCTGAAGCAAGAAAGCTAGCCACAGCCGCAATCTCTTCTGGCTGACCGCTGCGTCCAAGCATAATCTTCTGCATCACATTTGCGGTCCACTCCGGGTCCACAAGCAAAGGTGCAGTTTGCAAAGTCTCGATAAGGCCCGGTGAGATTGAATTGGCCCGGATACCGTGTTCACGCCCTTCCATGGCCAACTGGCGTGTCATGGCAATGACACCACCCTTTGCAGCTGTGTGGGCAATAGCAGGCACTGGACGGATTGCAATCCAGCCGTTGGAAGAGCCAACGTTGATGATGGATGCACCAGACTTCTTCAGATGTGGCCATGCCACACGAGTCAATAGGTAGACGAGGTTTAACTCCTGATCAATTGTTTTGTACCAGTCATCATCCTTGGCTTCATCGAGCCAGCTCATGTAAGCCATAGCCGCATTGTTGTACAGCGCGTCGATGCGTCCATAGGTCTTGATAGCTAGGTTGACCAGTTGCTCACAGTTTTCACGTTTTGTGAGATCGCATGGGGCCAGTGATATCATTTCACCGCCGAGCTCTCGTACAGCTTTGACGGTTGCTGCATCGGTCACGATGTTGATGTCACAGCCGACGATTTTGGCGCCTTCCTGGGCAAACTTGAGGGCTGCTGCACGTCCCATGCCACCGCCTGTACCGGTGATGAGGCATATCTTGTTCAACAGACGTGGTGCCATAACGATTGCTTTGGGGTAGGTATATGTCGAAAGCAGTATTTGGAAAACTATGGTGAAAGATTTTATTTTATAAGAAGGGAAAAAGGCCACAAAGAGCCAGAAGAGGGGGTTGACCAGGGAGCAAGGACCTGCTAGGAAACATAGCCCCGATCAGTTAATATATATTTGAATGCTTGCTTTTTCGAGGAATCCAATCAAGAAAGCGCTTGGATCTAGATCTTGTTAGTTTCTCCACATTAACTAAGCGCTGTGCCAGTCGCCGAACTAGAAAACCAGTAGATGCATATTGTGGCTGCACGATGCACGATCGAGGGGCCGATCAAATTCAATAGCGTGTCGCTCTTTGTTTATCTGCCATCTTCCTTGTAACCGAGACCACTCGGCTTCGTCTAGTGCAATTAGGTTAGTCGACCTGTAGAGGACAAAAATCAATCAGCACATACTCCTAGATAATCGCGGATGTCAACGGATTTCCCTCAAGCCCCTCCTCCTTCCAAAACCGCGATGCTAAGCCAGTTTGGGGTGCTGAGATGCGAATTTATTAGCCGATATTCACCAGAGGTTTGGGATCCATTCAGCATGGAGTGTCGGAAGCTTCAAGTCCCCTTCGGGTCGCTTAATATTGGCCAGCATGTTTAGGGGTTAGCTGCCTGAGGCCTACCTAAGTTGTTCGGACGCAGATGCCTCTTCTGCTAGGTATGTTTCCTTCCTTTCTCTTTCATAGTCATATATCAGAGATCTTTCTCCTATGAGCTTCGCCGTTACGGCGTTGGCATCATTTTGTTTGTATCATTTACTGGATTTATACTTCCCAGGAGCTAGGATAAAGGTGAGAGTGCTGGGAAAAGGGGGAGAGAGGGTAATACGACTGTACTTGTTGTCGCCGCTTATTGGGGGAAAGGAGGAGAAGACGGAAGAGGACCAACCATCTACTATGCAGTCCTGCACAAACTTCTTAATAGTCCTTGCATGCTGAAACTTCTATGGCACCGAGTATAAGAATCTTCGAAAGTAGCTTAGACAACATTATAGGCTAGTACGGTGGCATATATCACACTAATATTAATTATTAAGCTTAGGGGGGTCTAAGGTTGTTTGTTTTTGACTAACTAGAGTGCTATAGAATCGAATATCAACGTGCCAGCTTGGTTTGCACATGGTAGATAATTTGGACCTGAGCGCTCTTAATTCTGAGATCTTGATTTCAGCTTCCAATTGGCTCACTCCTAGCCACGGTTTACTGCTTCTTTCCGAAAACACACACCTTTCACTCGAATGACTAATACAGACACCTTCGTATCCGTACATGGAAATGCTGCAAATCGACTATATAACACCGGGGATGGGCCCGGAGTACACACAGGTAAATGAAGCATACCGCGCCAGTCTAGCCAGGAAGCTCCTGCTGGGAATACCATCTTTACCAGCAGAGTTCTTGGTAGAGTTGCTCCTTTCCAAATGTATCTTCTAGAGTTATATCCATGGAGCTAGTAGGTGTGGTTTGCCACACCTAGTAAATACTAACTAGACTTACTATCGAATTATCCTCGTCATTCCCCTTCTTCTACCCAACTATTATAACGGCCTAATTAATCGCATTTAATGTATGTATGGCCTTAGCAGGTCTCGCTCTGTTATGTCTGGATGCTTGCGTGTCTATCTACCTTCTGGTCCACTCCTTCCGTCGCCTATGACAGATTGATCTAACACAGGTAAGTATGAGTTGAAAAAAAAAAAAAAAAGAAGAACGCTCGGGTATACAAAGATACTGTAACCGTCTAGTTCGACTAGGGGAAAAAAATGGGACGAGCCGGGATCGAACCAGCGACCTTGCGAACTTCAGTCGCACGCTCTCCCAACTGAGCTATCGTCCCATGTTGGGATGATGTCATTATCGATATAATGATACATAATCCTAAGCTTTAATGCCGTTTCTGGTGGAAATCTGTAATTGCTAGGGTTGAACTGCGACACTAAGATTGTAATCTTAAGAAAGCCAACCTTGAAAGCATTAAACTACAGTAAAGAAAAACACCATTCGGGTGATATCCTTATCTGATTCTCCTTGGTCTTCCAGGGCATGCCCGGGTGTGAAATCTTGCTTGATAATGTCGTTGCATTCAACTCTCTTGTAGCCCAGATAATGCGTAATGTACGTTCATACCTGTCTATTCTGTTGGATAGACCAGTGATTATCTAGCAGGAATGGGAGATTCTTTGCTATTTATTCGTGTTAAAATCAATTTTCCAATTTAAAAGTAAGCAAGGCGGAAATATATATATGTATCCATCTACTTTCCGGATCGTCCCTTTATATGTAATGTACATGGCACATAAATAGACAAAATACGGTAACTGAACATTACATGCTGGAGTCTGAATGATGGTCCCTGTAGGCTATATGCAGTGGCAATAGCGTGCCCCTGGTACAAATATGAGAGACCAATATAAGATGTAGACAATAATACATGTGTTATATATATATCCACGGCTAGTCAGGCAATAATGATACATAATGATTGTTGAGATGTCAGATCATCAATCAAATACTCTGAGAGCTACGCTTCTCAGATACATTTGGGCACTCTAGCTGGAGTACTCCCCGGATCTTACAAGGTTATCTATCCATTGCATTCATTCATAGACAGTGTTGAAAATACCCGAAGGGGCAAGTTTATTAGATTGTCTTTATAGTATCTTTGAGGACTTGAATCTTTATCCCAAATGGGACGATAGCTCAGTTGGGAGAGCGTGCGACTGAAGTTCGCAAGGTCGCTGGTTCGATCCCGGCTCGTCCCATTATGTTTTTGGCATTTCTTCGTCCATTGCGGGGCTAGTCTACGGACGACCAAGGTGTCATTGGATACTTACTGCCTGGCCGTACGTAGGCCAATCACCGGCTTCTCGAAGCATATCTATCTATATGCATGTCTATGCCATTTCAATTTGTATACACTCTTGTATTTCCCGAATCTACACTTCTTACTACAATTAAGGATGGACACGGTGATCCGTGGTCAGTCTTGGCGTTACATACCAAAGCCCACAACCCCGTATGCTTCGGGCTGTGTCTGGTGCATACTGTCGTCACACATCAGAGATGGCACCTCTAGGCCCCATACAAGAATCCAGGTTTTGTTGTGGTCTGTCTAGTGGTAAAATACGCTGTATTTAGTTCGACACGAAACATTAACTAACCATCGTCATTCACAAACGCCATGAAATCCAAATTCTTGTTCAAAATGAATAGATTGTTGATATGATAGGCTTTCTATTCTTTCAATTTGTCTCCATTATCGATGCTATCTACGATTGTCTTCGCCCATCGTGGGAACATGCCTCTACGCAAATTCATGGTGCCCCTAGGATCGCTTGACTATGGGTGAGCGGATTATGTTCTTCTTTTAACATCCCGACTTGCCTGTTTCGCCATGGCTCTACACCCAATCTCCTCGGCTATGGTATAAACTGGTTGTGGTAGAGTACGACTTATGGCACGACCGCTAGTAAGAAGTTTGGTATCTGTAGCCGGAATTTATCGAGATTATTTCTAGGAATGATTATGGCGAGTCCGATTATATCGGGCCTCTCTTTAAAAAAGCTATGGTGGCTTTTGATATTGGCGACGTTCTATTTAACTATGTGAACGACATATTCTATAAGAACGGAAATGCTACAGTTTAATCTAGGTTCATAATTTCAATAATCCTTGAATCTTTTATCCCAAATGGGACGATAGCTCAGTTGGGAGAGCGTGCGACTGAAGTTCGCAAGGTCGCTGGTTCGATCCCGGCTCGTCCCATTATGTTTTTGGTATTTCTTCGTCCACAGCGGGTAGGTAGTTGATCCCAATTCGCCTCTTAATTTTTTTGATTTTGTAAATCAGTTGAACTGTCTATATATCGCAACCCATCAAGGCTGCATTTGAGAGAAGATCCATCTAGGCAGCTAAATACCCCTGTATGGATCAACAACCTTGGAAACACATACTTCAAGTTCGGTAACGCATAAGAAGTCCCCGGGTAAGAGGCGTGGAAATCGGCAATTGCACAGTGGAAGCGAGAACTGCATACTGATATGGAAGTCGACACAGAGTCTATCTTATTGATGGATAGCTTGTTGTGTGCCATGACCTGCAATGTTGGATGTTAAAGAACTACAAAGGGCTAGGCACAAATGCGTCCGCGTCTTCTCTCATCCAACCATATCATATAACTAGTGGGACCATAGTAAGTTTGTTTCCTGCGAAAGAAATATGTACATGTGAGTTCTGATCCCCAACTGGCATATGATAAACTCAATATGCTAGGGAATGTTCAACCATGAAACTACTCAATGTAGACACAACAAAGAGCGTTCCCCAAACTCCCTCCCCACTGTTCCATCTTGCAATAATATATTCCTCAACCAACGTTTTGCAGCGTCGACATCCCGAGAACCAAATTTGACGATGACAGAGCCTCGCACAGAAGCAGCAGTCCATGTTTTGACAGATTCACCTGAGTGCAAATCAGCTTGTTCATGAAGCTTCCCATTTGTCCGAATACGTGGGAGACGGGAGAACTCTGCGAGAAAGAAGTCGCCAAGAGCACGAAACATTGTGCCTCGAATGATGAGAGTACCAAAAACCCCGAGATCATCCATCTCATTCTTATAGTTTTGCTTTGTAGATGATGTTTCATCCAGAATCAGACTATCTCGGATCAAGAGCTTCTTCTTGGTTCCTTTTTCTGGATCAGAAAGCGACCAAATCTCATTTCGACCCTTCCATCCAAAAAATTCCCATGCCTCGCCTCTTGCAGTTCGTCCTTCGGAAACCCAGTCTAGGACTAGTATATTTGACGAAGAGTGGACATGAAATATTTGACATTGCTCATACAAACTGTCCTTGAATGGCTGTACCGGGTCCGGTAATAGCAGGAGCCCTGCTCCTTCTTCGACCGTGACAGTGAGATTTTGGTATGAACATATTGACTTGGATGGTGTTTTGTACACCTTTGTACTTCCTTGTGTAAGAAGGACCAGTCGCGATTTCGGTCGAAGTCTGATATTCAAGTCTACACGGTCGCCGGCGACCAACCCACCACCATAGCTCATCATAAAGACGAGGACAGCATGGTCAGTTGATCTGGATGGCGGCGACACGAGTTTCAGAGGGTATGTGGATGAAATCTTGGAGATGGAAGAAGAGCCGCAAAAGGCTTGAACTTCAAGTTGGCCAGTACCTGGCTGAGGTCTTTGGGGCACCACCATGACTGTTCACATGGAATCCCGAAACTTTGAGGGATATAGTCACGCTGGAGTTTTCATTTTTACTAGCAAATTGACTTGGAATCACTTTGGGGTTGAATTTGAGGGAACCAATGGATAGAGTTCGGCGAAGGGGACCCGAGAGGCTTCTACTTGGTCCTGAAGGTACCATTGAATTATTTGTGCCTTATAATTAAGAGATCTCGCGCCGCTTGCGGATGGCCGATAGGTTGCATTTTAGATTTCGGCCTCCAACTTTTGGCCGGGCGGCGATAAAACCGGCGATGACCTATTTCATTACCCACTCTTAAAAGGCCAAAGCTTTATATGCAGGTCCGATCGAGTTCATTTGTAATTTGAGAACCTTATCCACTTGCTGAGTCCCTCTGAATTCCGACGTGCGACAAACGAGTACTAGAAGTAAACCCGTTAAGATCAACCAACCTGTATCGCCTTTGCGAAGAAAATTTGACTTCAAATTGAGACGATGCAGTTGATTGCCCGTGAGGTACAGATAAATACTTAATCTTTTGTTTCTACAGCTAACGAACCTAGTTGGATAAATTGGTCATTGCCCAAGCCGGGCTTTTGGCCCAACGACGGCTGGCAAGAGGAGTGAAATTAAACTATCCCGAAGCTACGGTACCGGCTATCTTCATCCCTTGGAGTTCCTGGAATGTTCCAAGGTTATCTAGTGATATAACTAACAACAGAGTAGGCATTGATCACAAATGTGCTACAAGAAGTATGTATGAGTCTCGGAGCCAGCACATCTAGCTCTAACCATCTTTAGATGATACGAGATGGCAAGCACAGTGCGTCAGAACTCATGTCTATCGGGAAGCATATCCTTGGGCGCCGAAATGTCCTTCCGAGCGTGGTATCAACTCTTACAGTGCTGCAAGTTGAAGGAACCTTTGTGACAGGAACGCATTTGGTTACTGTCGATCAACCCATTAGCGGCGAGGATGGTGATATTGAGCTGGCGCTGTATGGCAGTTTCCTGCCCATTCCAGAGCAGAGCTTATTCCCCTCATATCCAGAATCCGAGTACGAGCCTTTGAAGGCACCTGGAGCCATCTCACCTGGTGAAGGACGGATCGTGCTCAATCCCGGCAGAAAGCGAACTCAATTGAAGGTTACGAACAAGGGCGACCGACCAATTCAGGTATTTGTCATCTATTTTACATGCACTACGCCGATATGTATTGACAAGCTTTTGATTGCAGGTCGGCTCGCATTTCCACTTCATTGAATCAAACCCCGAGCTGGATTTCGACCGGATCAAAGCCTATGGCTATCACCTTGACATCCCCGCTGGGACATCCACTCGCTTCGAGCCTGGTGACACCAAGACCGTGAATTTGACACAGATCAGTGGTCTGAAAACCATCAAGGGTGGAAGCAGTATTGCGACAGGAACCATTGATTTGTCCCATACCAACGCAGTACTGCAACGCATCAAGGAAGAAGGGTTCCGACACACTCCCGAGGAGGTGCTGGTTGATATACAAAAGCTAGAGCCCTTCACGATGGATAGACTTTCATATGCCCTGATGTACGGTCCGACTGTCGGCGACTCGGTCCGTCTCGGCTCGACAGATCTCTGGGTGAAGATTGAAAAGGACTACACAGCACATGGAGACGAGTGTACGTTTGGAGGTGGTAAGACTCTGCGCGACGGAATTGGACAAGCTGCTGGGCGTGCAGACGACGAGTGTGCAGATCTGGTTTTGGTGAATGCGTTAGTCATTGACTGGAGTGGAATCTTCAAAGCCGATATTGGAGTGAAAGACGGGGTCATTGTGGGGATTGGAAAGGCTGGTAATCCTGATGTGATGGATGAGGTGAATCCTGCTCTGGTGATTGGATCCAACACGGACATTATTGCTGCAGAAGGGAAAATCATCACTGCTGGTGGTATTGACACCCATGTTCACTTTATCTGTCCGCAGCAGGTTGAAGAGTCTATCTCGTCGGGTGTCACAACCATGTTTGGGGGAGGCACTGGCCCGAGGTAAGATCACAAGTATTGATATTGCGGTGTTTGGATCTGACCTTCTGTTAGTACCGCCTCCGTTGCTGCCAACTGCACCCCAAGCAAGACCTATATTCGACAGATGATGCAAGCGTTAGATACGCTACCAGTTAATTTCGGTGTCATTGGCAAGGGCAGTGATACTGGCAAGCCAGGTCTTAATGATCAGTGCAATGCAGGTGTCGCTGGTCTCAAGCTGCACGAAGACTGGGGATGCACTCCCTCGGCAATCGACTCTTGTTTGAGGTAATGGATCTTATTTTCTCGATCCTGGTAGATACTAATAGCCATTATAGTGTCTGCGAAGAACACGATATTCAATGCCAAATCCATAGCGACTCTTTGAACGAGTCCGGGTTTGTTGAACGAACGGCGGCTGCATTCAAAGGAAGAACGGTACACGCATACCATATCGAAGGAGCTGGTGGCGGACACGCACCCGATATGATTTCTCTCGTGCAGCACGCCAACGTCCTTCCTAGCAGTACCAACCCAACCAAGCCATACACCTGCAACACAGTCGACGAGCATCTCGACATGGTCATGTCCTGTCACCATCTATCGAAGAACATCCCCGAAGATATTTCCTTCGCAGATAGCCGTATTCGAGCAGAAACAATTGCCGCAGAAGATGTCCTCCACGATACTGGTGCTATCAGCATGATGTCATCAGATTCTCAAGCAATGGGACGATGTGGCGAGGTTATTCTTCGCACTTGGAATCTGGCTCATAAAAACAAGCTAGAGCGTGGTCCGCTGCCTGAGGATGAGGATACTGGAGCGGATAATCACCGTGTCAAGCGGTATGTCAGCAAATACACCATTAACCCAGCCCTGGCGCAGGGCATCAGTCACCTCGTGGGCAGCGTTGAGGTTGGTAAATTGGCCGATCTGGTGATTTGGGAACCTGCAAGCTTTGGTACCAAGCCATTCCAAGTCCTCAAGAAGGGCTTTATTGCTTCGGCTCAAATGGTATGTCCTCCTATATCTTCGATCTAAGTTAAGTGCTAACAATCGTCATAGGGTGATCCAAACGCATCGTAAGAACCACTCCGCATTCTATACTCTTCTCTGCTGCTCTATTTAAATTGGTACTAACTGTCACAGGATCTCTACCGTTCAGCCGATCATTGCGCGTCCGATGTTTGCGGTGAGTTTAACACAGTCCTCGTCGTATCCATGAATTCTTCTGAACTGACCATAATCTAGCCCCTTCTACCTTCAAGTAGTGTGATTTTCGTTTCCAAGGCCGGCATGGAGAACGGCTCTGTCAAATCCTACGGCCTGAAAAAGCAGATCGAAATTGTGAAGAATACTCGCACGGTCACCAAGCTTGACATGAAATTCAACAATGCCACACCGAAGATGGAGGTTGATGCTGAAGCCTTTGTGAGTCACTACTCCTGTTTGAAAGTCTAGAATACGACACTAATCATTTACAGACGGTTATGGCCGATGGAGTGGAGTGTAAAGCAGAAGCGGCTACCTCGGTTCCGCTTGCGCATCAATGTTTCATATACTAGTCTGCCATATCCAAAGGCCACCTCTTGTGTTTTCTCTTGTATATTAGGACTCTGCCCACATATAAATTTGGCTTTAATGTGGCCGAGCGGAAAGAGAGCCCTACTTTCCACACTGTTTTATCGAGGAAGCCATTTTGAAATACCCGGGGCTGAAAATAGCTGCATCTAAGTCATTGAACTCAAGCATAGACTATCGTGACTCCAAATTACTTGGACTTGGGCTTGGAATTAGTGTATCAATCCGGGGAATGTGGGGCGTGGGGATGCGGGTCAATATTGGGGGTTGGACAGTATGTATCTTCTCATCACTTGTAAAATAGGTGCCTAGACATGAGTTAATGGGACTTTCAGCCAGGCGTACAAGCAGGGCACATCGTGCCTAATCTTGATTGGAGAACCTTCAAATAGTGGACAGGATGAAAAGGAAGAGTCCCAAAGTGGTATGAACACTAGAACCAGTGAAACTTGAATTTCCCAAGATAACTATAGAAAGAAAAAAAGTAGCCTCAAATCGAAAGCCAAACATAAATAACAAAAGAAGCAGTAAAATTGAATACATAACCGAACAGAAAAACCACAGCGGGTATAGAAAGCACTTTCATTGATCTCATTGCCTCACAAGACAGGGATCTCACGACCACCCCTCCATAGGCAGGGGAACACCCTCCCATTCACTGCCCTGCTGCATCATAGGAGCACTGACCTCCTCCTCGCAGGTCCCACCCAGTATCTCATCAGCAGCACCCCAGCCCATAGACTCGAGTTCCCGAACGAAGAAATCACGCTCTTCCTCCATCATAGACGCACCCTCATCACCGCCCATGACATCCTTGTATTGACGCAGATGCCACCAGTGGGTAAGACCACGAAGCGCCTGTTCCAACGGCAAAGCCTCTTCAACCTCCGCATCGACGTCTGAGCCGGCGAGCCAGTCGTCGCGCAACTCGGGGCGGCAGTACAGGTAGATAGCGGTGATAACGCGCATGTTACTCTGGCGCCATTTGCGACCGCAGTAGGGGACTTGGGATTTGAAGAGTTTGAGGGTGTAGAAGCGGAGGTGTGGGTCTGGGATCTTGAGACCCTTGCGGAGGATGTTGCTTGATTTGTACTGCACTAGTAGGAGGCAGCGGTGGGCTTTGTTGCGTGTGATCTTTTGCATGACGTGAAGGTAGTTGATGGCGGAGAAGAAGTTTCGGAAGGAGAAAACTTTGATTGGTTCTTTGGGGAGGGGCGCGGTTGGGTAGCCTAGTTCGTCGACTTCGGGACGTGCCGGTCCGTTGAGGATATCAGTTAGGGATTCTTCTTCAGAGAGGCCTGGCATGCTGCCGTTTGCTGTTGGATCCAAGCGATGGCGGGCGATTGGGGGCGGCATGGCTTCGTCTTCGCTTTCCGTGTCGCCGCAGGAGTCTTCTTCAGTTTCTAGGGGGAGGTCGGTGTTGCTTTGACAGAAGTGGAAGAAGCTGGTTTTCGTCAGTGGGTGAGCTAGAAGCGAATGGGGTTGGGTAACATACGACAAGTCTTCGCGGTCATTTTTATGTGCCACCGTTTGGTCAACGTCTTGGTGTGCAAACATTTTGAGAATCAAGGGGATATAGTTTGAGTCAAGTAATAGCTGTGTCATATATTCAAATTTCAAGATATCTTCATTGGTTAGTAACACGTCATTAAAAAAAAAAGATTCGGAGAGTAGACTCACGAGATCGCTTAAACCACTTAAGTAGAAGCAACAGAATTCCAGACACGGCTTTCCCGGTGATCTCGCGGAGACGAATGTTGTCTAGCTCATCAATGGATGCATCAGAAAGGAGATTGTGAGAGGAGCTATTCATGGAATGACTGTTACTGAAATTTGTGTTAGAACGCATTTGTTGTTAATTCAAGTGCCTGAGCTTACCTCATGCCCTGCGTAGTCTGGCTAGTAGCCTGGCTGACCACTGCGCTGACATTTGTCAGGATAATTTTCAAGAATACGATGGTAATGGACTGAAGATGAGATAGAGTATGGGTCTGGTAAAGAGTAAGCGAATGTCGAAATTGAGGGTTGAAAGCATGCACTCACATAAAACGAGTCGACCGCATCCAGGCGCCGCTGGATATCGGGGTCATCTGTCTCTTTCTCTGCCGGCTTGGGTTTAGGCTCGGCCTTCTCCTCGTCACCCGACAAATCTAAATGTTCAAAATCATCTGGTAGGTCATCCGAGATGTTATCAGGGAAGTGAGCAGCGTCCTCGGAGTTCCAGCCACGGTCGTACTGCATAAAGTGTTCACGCTCCTGCCAAAGCTGTCGCATCGCACGGGTCATTTTCACATGTGTCGAGAACAGCTTTCCGGCTTCAATAATTGACGCAGGGACATCGCTGCCTTCCCATCTCTTTCCAACCAAGGCATCCTGGCGTTCCGTTGTGCCCTTCCCGCCTATGCGGTTGCTGGAATCATCCAGGGGAGGGTACATGAAGGGGAAGTTCTGATTCGTCTGATAGTTCTGTTTCTTCCCAGCCTTTCCTCCTGGGCCGGCGGGGGACGGCGGTGGGGATGGGGCCGGGGTTGCAATGTGAACGGCCTGTTGAAGGATAGAGCCATTTCCACTGGAGATCGATGGGGCAACACCACAAAAGATACCACTGGACGAGTTCATCCTGGCCACATTATGTGGAAGAGGGGGTAGAATGGAATTGTTTTCCATTTCTAGTGGAACGACAAGTGGCGGAGGGTTGTAAGCTGGGTATTTGGAAGTGATTTCTTGACGGAAGAGATGGTAGTCCAGAGGAGAGGCATGTAAAAACGGAGTCCTGCGTTTGGAATCATCCTTCTCAGAGGAAAGAGCAGGCTCCAGTACTTCCTTTGCACGTTTTAAATCGTCGGTCCCGCCAAAGACGAGAAGCAGTGACTTCCACAACAACAGCAGGATCCTAGTCAGCGGGATATTGGCAGATTCGTCCCAGCGCAATCGAGCGATGATTTCAACAATGGAGACCAACAGACTAGGATTTGAGCTGGTCAGTGCATCGCGGATCGAGCTGCACTGAGGGTCGCGCGCCTGTTGCCTGCGACCCACTTCCACGGCAAAGTATAAACTTGTAAGGACTAAATTGGCCTCACGCTCCGGTGCCGCAATATCGCCAGGGCTAATTCGCTCGTAATCAGCGTCACTGGAGTCCGATCCGAGTGCCGAGCGGGTCTTATCAAAAAGACGGCACATGTACTGTACCAAGGCAGTAACGCCCGAGCATTCCTGGAGAAGGGAAACATTCTGCTCGATGCACTGAATCTGCATTGAATTGACCGGTGGTGTTTCAGCTGCTGACTCGGAATTTCCATCCGCAGGATAGTCGGGCGCTACTCTCCCACCGCTGAGACCCCATACACCAGTCACGACATAGCAAATGGTTTCAAGGGCTTCCAATCGCGCGGAGACTTCAGCAAGCTGCAAATCCTCAAGCATCTGAGAAATAAACGAGCGACGTAAATCATTGGATGCGTCAAGCCAAGACAACCCGGGAGTGTCTCGCTGGCGTTGCTGGCAAAACGCAGGCCATTTCTGGTTAAAAGTCGCTTTCGTGCCTGTCAACATGACACGATCAAAGGCGTTATACTGGAACCACTCGTCGAGCTCATCGGGGAATGATTGGGCGTCGGCATATTCAAAAGCATAGGCTGGTTGTTCGATCTTGGGCATTTCACCCACAAGCTTCCGCAAGTCCGATAAGCTCAGGGAGCTCGCACCCCGATCCGTAGTCTCCTGGGGGGGAGCTGGAGGGGGCGGCTGCATTGGAGGAGGCGGAGCAGAGCCTTCACGACGAAGCTCGGGTCGTTTCATGGATCTTTCGGGCGCAGGGGGCGCCATCTCGGAAGCGGGTGCGGCCTGTGAGGCCTGTTCCTGGCGGAGCCCCTCAGCCACGTCCTCCATGAGTTGGTCGTCTGAAACTGGCGATATATCAGTCCCAGTTTGGTCGACCTCATCTGCCTTGACAATATGATGCTCCTGCATAGTGGCTTCGGGTGGAGCTGAAGGCATGTCCCTCATTGAGGACTTGTTGAGTTCTGTGTTCCTGGCAGAAAGTCGTTCGGTGGATCACCAAGGTACCAACGCTCCATACATCAGGTAAAAGAGTGAAAAGAAAGGAGCACAAAAATTAAACGCGACTTAAGCAAATGAATCACTACACATTTTCTGAGTCGTCGCAGTGCACGAGGGGTGGTCGGTAGCTGCGGTGTTGATGCGGGAGGCCAGCTGGCACGTGATCGGATTACAAGGCCATTGTGTGCTGTTTATCTCGAGATGTACGACCATTGAGTAGAAAGAGATAGAATACAATTGATTTCATGCAATTAAATCATGCAATTAACTAAACAGGCAGGTGTCCACTCGCTAATACGGCAGGATGTATACGCTAACAGGGGGCACCCCTTACTCCGACTTCTTACTAAGACCGCGACGCTTCAATCTCTGAGCCTCCCAACGTTGCCAGCCAGCCTCAGCCAGATCCTCACTTACGACAAGATCACGGATTCTGACCAACCGGGACACAGTTGTCTCCATGGCCCATTCAATCAACCCAGTGCTTCGGAGCAGGCTGGTGACCACGAACCACCCACACGCACATAGGAATCCAGCACCACAGCCGGCAAGGACTTGTCTGGGGGTGTGGTAGTTGAGGTAGACCCGGCTGGCAGCCACACCAGCAGCTCCAATGCAAAGGGCCAGCATGACCAGGACTCGTAGGAGGACGGCGACATTGGGGTAGGAGCTGGCGGAAGCTTTGCTGTGACGGAAGAGAAGGAAGAAGGTGAGGTAGACGGAGAAGAAGGTCATGAACTGGGCGTGTGAAGATGGCATTCCATATCCCTTGCCGAACATTTCTGTGAATTACACGTGTTAGTTTAGGAAGGTGCCCACGAGACCATCAACATCGACAACTCACCCTTCGGTCGCTCTTCCTTGATGAAACGTTTGAGGACAAAGTTCAAGGCTTCACAGCCCATCTGTCCTACAAACATCAAGATGACTTCCACCTCTCTTGTTGACCAAATCAAAGTTGCATAGGAAACACATAGTGCTTGTGGAATCAGGGCCAACCATGCTGAAGCAAAGGACAGTTGGTCCTCGGGGTTCTGGAATCAAGTCAGTAAGTAAAACAGGTTTGATAAAATGCATGTAACTAACGTAGTGGACATGAGTCAGAGACAACGACGCCAGCGGAGTGTCTCCCATTGTTAGGTTAAAAAAAGAGTGAATAGGAAGTTTCCAAAGTCCCCTAATTCGGAGATTCAGGGATATCAGGGCCAAGACCGCCAAGACCTTCTCTCCTTATCGTCACGATAAGGAGATTGGGCAGCGGGGACTTCAACCTGGCAAATTATTTCCTCCATTTTTAGGCATCCGAGAGGATTTGCCATTTCTTTTTTGGATCTAATTTGGGTCTTTTTTGGTTTTTCTCTCTATTGTCTCTCCATCTATTTACTACTTCACTTTCAAACAATGACGCCGTTGTTCTCTCTCCAAACCCCAGACTCTCTATTGCATCATCTTTTAGACCCCTCCCGACTTTCTGCCGAACATTGGCCCATAGAACGAATACTCGGAACATCTTCATCTTTGGTTGGTCTGATTTTTTTACCAGGGTCTCAGTCGCAACGCTGATTCGAAGTGATCTTCCTGCAGGATATAACCCCCCTTTTGTGCCCGATCGTCCTTAGTGACAGTTCACTTGGGATCGGTCATCATTATTACTTCCGATTATTTTTACGATGAGCCAGTGTTGCTGAGATTTTTTTTGCAGGAGACACCTATCGTCTCCAAATTGCGATTCACTAGCATCATATCGGAGGCAAAAATATACCCCACCTGAGAGAAAATCTTCACAAGTGAACATATTCGGTTTCATCTCGTCATGACCGAACTCGACTTCCCGGAGGATGACCGCTCGGTCGAGCTTTCCTCAATTGCTGCGATCTTTCCAGAAATACAAATCGATCCTTCCTCTCCGTTTAAAGCCGTCCTCGATCTTCCAGTCGCACCTTCCGCCCCAACCTCAATATATTTTCAGCAATCGCTCGAACTTACACCCGCCATCACCCCTCCAACCTCATTAGACGAGTCTAAAGGAGAACTTGACCACCCACCCATAAGAGACGTCCATATACTCTCACACTTGCCTCCGCTTAACCTCGAGATTGAATTGCCACACGGTTACCCAACCGAAAAGCCGCCTATCGTTCATCTGAGGACGATCCCCTCGTGGCTACCTTCCTCCGTCATCGAACAATTATCGAGCGATTGCCACCGACTCTGGGAAGAATGTGGAAAGGACCTGGTCGTCTTTACCTACATAGATCACCTCCAGCAACTTGCAGAAACAACTTTCAATATCCAAGATCCGTCTGGGGAAGTATGTTTGTCGCGAGACCTGAAGATCGCACTACTGGACTACAACAAAAAGGCCGAACGGGAAAAGTTTGAACAGGGGACTTTTGAGTGTGGGGTATGCCTTGAACCGAAAAAGGGTACCGTTTGCTATCGATTACTTCGCTGCTCCCACGTGTTCTGTATTCAATGCTTGCAGGATTTCTACAACAGCTGTATCACGGAGGGTGACGTTGACAGTGTTAAATGCATGGCACCAGATTGTGAATACAATAAAAGACCTGCAGCTGCACCGGGCGACGGCCAGACCCCGCCCCGCAAGAAGCGTGATCGTACCCTCGGACCAAGCGAGCTACTCCAAATCCCTCTAACCGCTGAGACTGTTCAACGATATGCATTCCTCAAGAGGAAGAAGAAAATAGAAGCCGACAAGACCACAGTCTACTGTCCACGGCAATGGTGCCAGGGAGCTGCACGATCCAAGCGACACCCAAAGCCAGAAGATCCCATGTCAGATGACTTGAATAGTTCTGACGAAGAGGATGGTTCCGAGCCCCGCAACGAAGTCAATGATGGGGAGCTTCCTCCCATGGCGGAGCGTGTGTCTATTTGCGAAGACTGCAACTACGCCTTTTGCTGCGTCTGCAAGAAGGGCTGGCATGGCGAGCTTGTACGCTGTTTCCCACGCCGCGACGGCGAGCCCACCGAGGAGGAAAAGGCAACCGAAGAGTACATCCGTCTGTACACTACCCCTTGCCCGACTTGCAATGTCCCCTGCCAGAAGCAAATGGGATGCAATCACATGCGCTGCTTCCAGTGTGACACACACTTCTGCTACCTTTGCTCGACCTGGCTGTATGCGGACAACCCATATACGCATTTCAACGACCCTAAAGGCCAATGCTTCAATCGTCTTTGGGATTTGGAAGGTGGTGATGGCATTAACCCCGACGGAGCTGAAGCACTCCACCGTATCCCAGACGCACTACTACACTTTGACGATGACCCACCGGTGGTAGCCATCCACGAAGAAACCGATGAAAGCGATGACGATCACCCTGCATTTGAATTTGATAATGATGAAGATGACCTTCACCACCGACACCCTCCTCCTCCCGCCCCCGTTCCACCCCAAGTCAACCGCGGTGGCGGCGGACCTGGCCAGCGTGATCATGCAGCTGCCCGTGCAGCAGCAGCTGAACGTCAAGCCCAAGCTCGCGCCATGGCCGAGGTACGAAACCGAAATGCGAGACGACAGGCAAGACGCCCTGTCCGATGGGCGGATATTCCTGCCAATCGTCTCCCTCCGCAGGCAGGTGATCCCAGACGCCCTGTCCGGTGGGCAGAGGTTCCTGCGGAACCATTAGCAGACGAAGACGGCCCCATCCGATGGGAGGCTCTTGCAATCAGACCAGGTAGAGCACAGGCACACCCTGGTCTTCAGCGATTTTTGGATCTAGTACAAAACGACCGTGAAGACGAATGGGATAGTGATGAGATGGACGATGATTTCTAGATTGAGGTTCTATGTCCACAACTCAACATTCAACCGGACATGAGAATTTTGGTCTTTTCCTCCACTTAAAAGCGTCTTAACGATATTGATGCATACAACGAATTCATGGTCCTTTTCTTTTCTTTGTTTTTCGTCACATTTTCCCCTTCTTGCTTTTCTGATTTGTGCTTTTCATCAATTCCCCCTTTGTCTGCTTTGACGCTCCGTTTCATTTCACTCTTGCTTCACTCTTGCCTCGGTTTCAATTTGCGATTTGTTTTCATACATTTGCTTTTTTCTTACTTTCATGCAGGCAATATTCATATATACTTTCCCACACACATGGCGCGTGTTGCTAGCGCCTCATCTATTTGATACTCTGCATTTTATTTGATACTGCCATAATCTCATTGTGGTTGGTTGACTCTTGTCTTTGTTTTTTGACTGTAAAACAGGGACCTGTGGAATTACTGTCCACTTAGCGTCACTTGACATATTGTATAAAACAGCTTTGTATCGCGCATGAGTGCAAAATCGCATATTAATTATGATAATTGGCTCCCCGGATTTATAATTAAGATTCAATACTGCCTTATCTCCATTTTAGCAGTGACAATGAATGCCCCAATCTTCTAGGCCAATGACCCATGCTCTAGTCCCACATAGACCATCACTCATTATAATCCTCCATCTTCAAACCCGTCACTATCAACCCCAACTCGCAATAAGTCTCACAAATCTCCTCCCAAACAACCTCATCCGTGCTCTTCACCCACCCAGGATCCTCCGGCCCCTTAGGATCCATACACGAACCCACATAGCTCGTCGTCACAAGGACAAGATCAAGGTTCGCAGTCATAGCCCTTCAATCCTTGCCAGTAATCTCTATATCGTGATCAATAATCGGACACATGATATCAAGTGGTGTATTAACAGGCTCAGCTCCACCGAGACAAATCGCAATCGTCGCGTCATTCCACTTATAACGCCCTAGCTGAACAAGCCACTCAAACAAAGTCCCCATACAAAGTCCCTCATCTTGATGTGCTGTCATTTTCTTGTGCCAAGGCCAATTGTATTGCCCAGTCCCTGTTCCAAACTTTCCAACTGTGAAGATCGGTGGCTGTTGCGTCAGCATACGGCGCCAGCTCGCTTCAGGCCGGAGATATATCTCTCTCTTGGCTGGGATTTTTGCAAGATCGAAATCACTGAGTCTGACATTCTTCATTCTGTCGCTGGCATTGTGGAGACCTCGCAGGTCTTTTGTTGGAAACACTGAATCGAATGCTCGTACTAGCATGGGGTTGTAGACTCGAGCTTCTGATCTAGATTTTTCGCTGGGGATGAAAAACAAGGCTCTTTGTAGTGACCTTAATCTGCGGATTGGGTCTGCCCAGGAATGACAGACACGTTGGGCGGCGATTAGGGTGTGCATGTCCATTTGGTGGAGGATTGATATTACGATCTCGGAGATCGCGAGAGCCCTGGTCTGGGCTGAATCCTGGATGTGCATCTCTACAGTCTGTTGTGCTTTTTTTTTTAAAAAACAATCTGCACTTTAGGACAAGTGGTGATCTGCGGTGGTTGAGGCTCGGAGGCCTGTTTTTATATTCAAACCTCATCTGACTCGGCTAGGCCAAAAAGGGCTTTGAGGCTTGACCAATTTGGGATCCCGACGTTTGGGATTTTGTTATGGAATCATCAATAAATAACCTCGGGAGCACAAAGCACATCTCAAATTTTTATAAGGCCTAACAAGTTATGGATTGTCATCAGGACTCATCAGTAGTACAAGAAACCGTGTAAAATTGAATATTAGGCTGGCACAATCTAAAGCCCGAATGCTGTCCTCTCCACCAAGAGCACCCTCATCCCTATTATTGCCCATGGACTTCAATGGTCGAAGTCTCAATTCGACTTACACGCGCCTCCGAGCAGGTATGGGTTAGTGACCTGATCAGTGAGGGTTTGGTCCTCCTTGCAACACACGGGGTTGCCATCGGAATCCTTGATTGCTTCGGAATTGCCGTTGTACATGCAATTGTCCTCTCCATAATAGATATCAGCCCACGACTTTGGCCAGGAGAAAGTAATCTTGCACGTCGCCTTGACAGTAGGCTCAGAGGTGTTTTCTCCATCAAATTGTCCATACAAAGTTGCACTGAGCGTATCACCATGTCCTGGATCATCGATTGCTACAGATCACGCCATTAGCTTGCTTGATCAAAGTCAAAGACAGGATAATCACTTACTGAACGTATCGCAGACAGCCGTATTTTGATTAGCGGTGATCCATCCCTTATTCACATGCTATCCCGGTGATTAGCAACTAGTAGCACGTTTGAAAAGTCAAAGATGGGTTGGACATACAATGGTAGTTCCTTTGACGTTGAAGCCCTCGGGCACGTCACAAGGCCAGAATGGAGAGGTCGAGGTGAACTCCTTCCTGAGAGCCAATCTGGTCTTATCCAGGCCCTCGCATACAGGGATATTGAAGAAACCAGGATAGCGGACTCGTTTCCCGTATTGAGAGGCATTCTCATCCTTCTCAATATCAGATGTATCCGGCGATTTATAGCCGTTGATGTTGCCAGCGTTCTCATATCCGGTCATTGCACTTGCAACAATGTCATCAAGTGTGATGCCTCCCCATTTGTCTCCAGAGAGGTTGTTTCTATCCGTACCAGGTAGTGGTGTCCAGGGGGCCGCCTTTCCTCCTTTATACTCATTGATATTCACAAGGAAAACCAGCTTATTCCTCCAGCACGCGCGTGTGCTGACAGAGTCCACTTCAGTCATGGTACTGTAGTCGCTGATCTCAGGTATCTTAGAGGACTTGATGTCACAGGAGATATCCGTCGTCCTGCGGTAGGCATTCTGATTAGCACAATTTTCGCAAATAGCAATTTGAGGCATCTTACACAATTCTTGGGAAAGCACCGACGTTATCGGAAGCGGTCTTCCACGCAGTAGGCATCAGTTGACCGTAGAGCACGGCTTGTAACTCTGCTGCCATTCCAGCTGAGTCTAGTGTATTTGGGATAAAGTTCATTTTGCCGTCTTCAATGAGGAATGTAAGGTCGCCCAGTGATGAATCATCGCCGGAAAAGATGGTCTTTAGATATTTGGACTCGATATCCTTCCAAGAAGCAAATATGTCGCCAAGAGCGGAGTCTAGTGAGTTCTGAGCTCCAAGTTTATCATGGACACTATCTCGATCAGCAAGGAACATTTCAGAGGGTGTTTGAGCGTCATGGGTAGGCTTACGTAGGAGCATTATTTCTGGTGAAGGCTGCCGTGATTCCATAAAGCTGGTATGACATGTCGTTGGCATACGCTTTACCATTGAATTCCATCGGTGACCCAGTCAATGCCTTTTCTGTCCTCTCGAATGTCTCCAATGGATACTCTTGAATCTCAGGAGCAGGAAGAGGGCCTTCAGTGCCAGCTTCGCGATTTCTTGGAATACTAACACGGGCAGTGGTGGCTCCCTTGGCTATCTTTGCAATATCCTTTTCAGCTGCACTTTCGTTAGTTTATAATCTGGAGGCTTCCAAACAAAAAAGGGGTGAAGGGTGACCTCTATACTTACCGATACTGAAGAACGCTGAAACAGAAAAGCCCATCATCATGGTCAAGCCATCAAAAATTGCTAGGATGATCTTTGTGTTATCACTCTGCGGAGCAAAGATGGAAGAGAATTCGCCTATCTTGCTCTGGGTTTCAAGCATTGCTGTATCGAGTGCATTATAAATCTCACTGTGTAGCTGTAAAGGTTTTTCTGGTCAATATCTCCTGTTTAAAGGTTATATTAGGGATACCAGGGAGAGCTTACCTGATGGATACCAGAGAAAGCATTCAAGATAAGGTAGCTATTCTGCTGTCAGCACAACTGTAATGGTACTAGGCAACACCCTCTGACCGAAACATACCCTGCTGGATGATCCACGTCCTTGCACTGGACAACGGAAGAGCATGGGACGCCACCAACATTTTTACAGTTCCATTGCTCTGGACCATGGAAGAACCAACTCACGAACGCCGGAAATTCGAGGCCACGATACATGCCATCCTTAGCTCCATTCATCCACTCGCCAAGCATCGTATTCCAAGCTCCTGGAACGCCTGCCGCATACCAGCGATCAGCGAAAGCGACAGTAGCATCGTCAATAGAATGCTGGTCACATTGTGCCGAGGTCCAAAGACTTGCGAGATTCAGGTCAGAGCCTTCCGGGTTGGAGATTGTAGTTGGCGCAGCCACCGCGAACCCGACAACGCGGGTTGCCGAGACTGAAGCAGAGGAGAGTGGCGCAGAAGAGACTGCTCGGGGATGAGGGACTCCTCCATAAGGCCTGAGTGCTATACCACTGACCGGAGCCAGGAGGTAAAACAGAGTACCAAATTGGCTGAAATGCATTGGGGCGTATCACCTCGAGGCCGATGAGATGAATGACGAAATAAAATGTAGTTTGCTTGAAAGCTGGCTCTGATAAAAGCAAGGTACCATATTTATACACATTGCGTTATTAGATGGCCCCTGAATGTGTACTTTTTAAGGTGGTAGAATGCTGGGTATAGCCCATGGCATGAGAAAAGAGCCATATAGTACATACTTCGTCCTGCGACCAACTGCCTTTTTGAGAAGTTCCCTATGAGATCATTCTTCCTGGGCATGTTTTTGTGGATACCCAAGACATCTTGAGTTGAGAGTGGTCAATTGACAATGGCTACAAGCTACTGATACAGACCTTGGAATAGATGAGGACGAGGATATCTGGCAGTTAATACCTACGTTGACGCACCCCATACTTCGTACTTGGTAAATGATGCCAAAACATGGGCATCTATACCAATGGCTCTGGGTGAAAGGTATGAACTGCGACCTAAAACATATGCATCGCCGACGATCGCTATACAGGTATAGTATCCACTACCGTACGGAGTATACGGGATCAAAAGGAAACTATTGTAAGTGACCTCTAGGAACTTTGGCCATTGGGTTTTTTTACGTCCACCGCTTAGATTCGCCTTCTTATACTTTAAGATGTCTTTTGAGATGCCCATAAATATCTATTCAGAAACATCTGCCGTAAACTATATCTGGGACGGTGAAAGAAAAATTACAAAACAACTTTTTCATATGTAATATATGACTAGAAACGCTATGATAACGCCAAATAGACGTCAAATTCCTGCTGGCAATCAAAGCCAATAGGAGCAACGTTCCCAATATTAGTCGCTACTGCGATACTATCAGAATGGATCATAATATTGCTTGCTAACCATATGCATGCTTTTTATGGAGTATATTGGGATCCTTTCCCCGGGGGCTTGCGTATAGCGCCTCCTATCAAAAGCCTCTTAGAAGACTGGAAAAAAATAACCCCGTCAAGGCTTCTCTCCGATCCCATTTGCTCCACAATAAGTGCAAAGAATCAACTTTAGTCTTACATCACCATACAAATTGAGCACAGTTTCTCATTTCTACATATGAACACATATATAAGTATATTCTATCAAAGGACCCTTACCGTATAAGTGATAAGAAAACTAGCTCCGTGACTCCTAAAACCTATAGATTTATAGTACATACGATATAATGCCAAGGTTAATGCCAAGCCCGTGCTAATATCAATACCAATTTAGTGCCAGTATGTGCCAGGGTACTCCGTAAGTCAAGTTTGTCTCAAGGGGCCGAAAAGTGGATGCCGACAACCGTACTCCGAATGTAGTATCTAACTGGTACATCATAATATTGGTAAATGAATGACAGAATGAATGACCCATTTTATCCGACGCCTCATCTTTTGTAAGAAGTAACTAAAGCGAGAGAATCTAAAAATAAAAGATCACCGTACCAGGTGTGTTAGTGAGCCTCGGCAGATACTACTCTTATATATTTGTACTCTTTCTCTTGTTTTATCTAGTTCGAAGGCTGCGAAAATTTATATGCTACGAGATGCTTAAATATCTTCTGTATGGGGAACTCATACAGGTATATAATGTCTAGATATGGTATCTGCTGAGGCGCACTAACACCAGGTGTAGTGTTAGGCGCTTAGCACGGGTGTCCAAGGTATCCATCTATGTACATATCTAGGTATATATACCGGGTACGGGGTACGGGGTACGGGGTACTTTGTAAGAGATGGGGATAACTTCGAATAGAACCTTCTACGGAGTACTTTCCATACCGAACATGTACGTATAATGGGAATAATACAAGCTAAAAAGAACTCAAACTGGATCATATGACGTATTACTCATAAAAATTTAAGTTTGGTTATTTCGTAGACGTAACATTCATTTGAATGACCCCTATGTTTGGACCCACTGTGGATGGCAATTTGCATCACATGTCAAGTGCATTACCGGCGAGCCGTCCCCTTCTCGAGTAGAACGCTTGCATTGTGCTGGTAGGCAGTTGCAGCCTTTGTGACTTCGAGTATGCCAAGCTCATAATTACGGGATACCATCGGACCGACTGAAGTTGTCACTGGGCTTAGTGACCTTTTGCTTTTGGCTGCGAGCTGGTATAATGATAAAGTAAGTGTAACTTTGGAGAGAGAAGAAAGTCATAAAAGGCAAGAAATAGTACAAGAACTGCGACGGGGACCTAACTATGTATGAAGTTATTACCTGTCCCTGTGCCGTCAGGGACGGGATATCGTCTTCTATGGGGGATCTACGAATGCTCTACGCTGTTGAGAATCAGGTGCAGAGTAGAGTCCTGCCATCTATGCGTGATATATGATAGTACCTATATCACCAATATCACATTGTCAACCGGCCTGGATATGGTGTCACCATCAAGAGTTTCTGCTGACCTCCACGATCCACTTATCCCCTGAATCTTTTGTGTTTTGCATCCAGATTGTCATAATGTTGTCTGTATTACATTGTCTAGAATCCAGAGACCTTGCACATAATAATCTATCTTTCTGGTATACTTCCTCACCTAGCATTTGCCACATACTATTTAAGGGATTTGGATAGCAGCATTGAATACATAATCGAAGTTGTGAAACAAGGCTCCCGAGACCACGAGGTTGTCAAGGTGGACTTTCGAGTCGCAGCACACAGCGTCGTGGAATACAATTGGGCTGAGCTCGGAGGCTGCGCTTGATGACCAGATTATCTGGGGGTATCTTGAAAGATACCCGAGGTCCCGAAACTTCAGGTGGCTAAACTTTCCAAGGTTGGATTTAAGGTTATTTTGTGGAACCAATCGGGTTCACCTCGATTAGAGCCTCACTTAAGTCACTACTGAACGATGACATACTAACTATCGACTACGATTATTAAATTTGGTGTGGAATTTTGATGCAGATACTTTGTATTCCTCAATTATGATGATTTGACATGCACTTGTACAATTAGATACCACCATGGGTAGATCTGTGGGTTTGGATGAGCATGGCCCTTGCCCCCATGATTCAAGAAGCCAACCTGGTTTGGTGATTATGATCAGCCTCTCCAGTCGTGCCAGAACTCATAGCTCATGACCGACAAATCACTGAACAGCAAAAGCAACCTGTAATGTCGAGAAGGATGGTAGCCATGCCAGGCCTCATGAGGTTGATAGATGTCCGAGGCATATGCGTGGGTTTCAGGAATTGTGAGGTTCGGCTCTTTGGTGCAAGGGTCCGGTTCGGAGGGACTGGAAGCCCCGCGTTCGGGCGGGTTTGCGACACAGGGCTCAGTTTTATCTGGGTTGAGCAGACGGTGGTTAAATCTCATCCGATCATTGGGATTGATATCCCAAGGAATACAAGGGACATCCGGCGGTATTTCAAATCCAGGCATGGGGCTTGCAGCAAGGCCCATAAGAGGCGGTGTTGGACATTCATCGTCCCCCTCCTGAGTGGGAAAAGGGAGAAGCCAGTCTAGGCGAAAGGTGTGGCCAATTTCCTCCTGCCATGTAAGGGTGATGATGGCAACCCCACCGGCCTGGGAGGCGGCAATGACGATCCCAAGTTCAGGGAGGTACTTGACCAAGTTTAAGCGATCACAGGAAGAGAACATAGAATATTCTACCAGCGATTGCAGAGGAGACCGAGAGAGCGTCCGCGATCCATGGTCCAACGGATAAGGATCTAAAGTGATGTTGTTTCCGGAGAAGTGGAGAATGGGGAAAAATCGAGGGTTGCATGCTAAATAATAGGTTAGCATTCTAATCAGATACACCAAAGCACGTCTCTCACTTACGATGGGACACAAAACACTTCAGAACATCCACGTCGACAACACTATCCTCGCCGAATTGCTCATTTTCTTCTTCGACCAAATTCGTAATACCACGTTTCACCCGGACCGATTGACGGGGAGGAGTCACCTCATGGTCTTGTGATACTTCAGCGCGTATATCAATACTGTCACTGGCGGCAGCAGGAGAGATAGTCCCAGAGGCTTCTAGAGTTGTGTGATTATGCTCGGAGCGCGGGCGTTGCGGTCGAGATTCAGTATGAACAGAAGAGTCAGAGAAAATATCGTCTGGAAGAAACAGGCTAGAAATTGATGCATCTTCCTCATCATCGACTTTCTGAGCAGCACGGTTGGATCTGGCTATGACATCGTCAGCTGTATGAGACACGTCAAAAACCATCCGACCATTCATAATTTTTGGCTGTGGCTCGCATCCACAGGCATCAAACTTGTAGCGGTGTTGCTGAACCCTGCGAGGATGTAAAGGTAAGACAAACCAGCCCCTTTGCTCTCGAGCATCCCTTGAACAATTGTAACTGGATGAATTGACAGGAGCCAGGCTGTCCCAGACTCTCCATACAAAGACTCGGTTGAGGATATCGGTGCTGATCATCCATAGACCGTTAGGGTCTAATTCAAAGTTGGCAAATGATACGCAGGGAATGTTGTCAAAATGACCCCTGTAGCTGAGCCGCAGGTTGCGTCTTCGATGATGGGGCATATCCTTTTTCAGCTCCTCCATCGATGATGCGCTGTCTATTGATACCCATGTGCTTTCCAATACATCAGAGTCTCCCATATTCGAGGTCTCGGAGAAACTGAGACTGCTACTATCACTCTCAGACATATCATCCACCAATGCGAAAGCAAAGACGGTAATAACACCTGTGTTCGCGCTCACGGCAATCAACCGAGCAAATTTGTGGGTGGCCAAGCCCCATGCACTTAACTGAACATGTTCAGTGAAGAAAGGTTTGACTTCATGTGCATCAAATGGTCGATCGCCTCCATATTTAGCACTCCTGTTGATTGCCGAGAAGATAGCCTCAACATTGTAGCCAGTGACGTTTCCAGAGTCTGTCGCTAATAGCAAAACCTCGTCGACTCCCAAATCGTCCACAATAATATGATTAATCGTATGAGGCCTAGAGCGATCGATGTATCCAGGCGCATTGGGTTCTTTCATCACTGGGTGGATGATCATCTCGGGTTGGGAGCCAAGGAGCTGGTGAGGCCCACTAGGAATCCATACGTAAATGTCGTCGACATGAGCTGTAAAAAGCAAATTTCGACGCTGTGAGAGGGCCGCCTTTCAAAATAAAGGTCAGAACTGAGGAGAAATTATACAGTCGAAACAGCAACTAGGTCAGCATGTACTCACCAGGTTACACCTCCAAGCAGATACAGTTGGCCCAGAAACATCTCTATAGCACAACGATAATCAGTCACAGTAAATTCAGGCTGTACAAGCGTAGATGCCCACCTAGGAAACTAGCACAAGTCAGTTCATAGTTCTCACGTGAGGTAACTTGGAGACCATCATACCCGTTCCTCTTCTGTTTCGATATTCAAGATTTGTACCTGGGGCCGATATCCTGGAGTTTCCCTTTCAGTTTCTGTAGAGACACTCTCCTCGGTGAGAGGAGAAGACATTGCCACAGGCTAAGGGTGCTTGTTTCCAATGGCGCAGAGAAGAATAGTTCCTTGGATCTGAGCTGAGTGAGTGGTGAATAATAAGAGAAGAGGCTTGTTCTGTCATTTCCAAGGGCAGGAAGTCCAAGCCACAAGAGACAGAATGGTAAGAACTTTGTAAAGAGATCATGATCAAGCTGGTCGAAAACACCTCTAAGGCTGCGGGGAGGTGCAATCATCGGATGATGGAATGGCTGACCGCCCGCGCACGGACCCTGAGTACACGGATACGGCTTCGATGGTGTTGGTTTCCTCCTTTCTACATAGTTCTTCAACAAGCTTCGCATGATGGATTTGGTCGCTGGTGTACGCAAAGAAGGTAGCCGGTAAGTTGTTTTGTTATTATCATTTGAGATATGTTGAAGGTTGCTAATTTTTGTCTCAGCGGCGGCCGCAATGAGTTCAAATGGTCTGACGTCCAGAGTTCCGCCCATCGCGAGAACTACCTAGGCCATTCAGTGATGGCCCCAGTTGGTAGATGGCAACAAAATCGTGATCTGGGCTGGTATGCCAAGGGAGACGAAGATGAGGAAGAACGAATCCGCAGAGAACGAGAGGAGCTTCAACGTGTCAAGGAGGCTGAAGAGGAAGCAATGGCCATCGCTCTAGGCCTCCCGGTGCCCCCCAAAGCATCTGACAACGCCAACATGGTCCCTCTAGGAGGTTCTAGTAGTGCCGATATAGTGCCAAAAGAAGAAGAGATGCCAGATGCTACTACAAGGGAAAAGGACCACCGCTCGAGTCACCGACACAGACGTGAGCGAACCAGAAGCCCGCGACGGGAAAGACGACACGAACGAGGGGACGACCATGCACGTGACAAGGACCGCAGACACCACAGACATCATGATGATCGAGAGCGCCATCATCGTAGCCATCGTCACAGATCACGATCTCGCGGTCGAGACCACCACAGACGCCGCTCAGTCTCCCGTTCTAGGAGTCGACCCAGCCGCAAAGATGAGGAACACCAGAAACGACGACGGATGGAGCGCAGCTACTCCCCGGCTGAGCGCCGGCGACACCCCGAACGCAGACGAGACCGAGATGACCATGATCGCCGCCATTGAGCTACAAATTAGGGATATGAATTGATACATTAGCTTGGCGTTGGAGGGATCGATTCAAATGTCGGATAAATGATTGCGTACAACTATCAGAATGACCACTATCTAATATATGTGACGAACTTTTTCACATCGAGCTTCAATAGCTTACAACTCGTCATGAGTGGTCTTTCCGGATCCGGCTAAATCCGGCATGGACATCATGTTCACCACCATACTGGTCCAGCCGGTAAAGTGCTGTGTCCGCTGGCCATTGCCTGAGTCAGGATTGTACTGTTCCCAGGCGAACCCAGTCTTCTTCCACTCGCGGAAGACATTCTCGACCAAATTCTTCCGCAAGTCGGAGTACATCTCCCGCGCCTGTTCCTGGTGAGGGCCAGAAACCGTGGCAGTGTCCTGTGAAGATACTGTTAGATTTTGCAAGGAAATAAATCAAAAGATGGAAGCACTTACATAGAGATTCTTCAGCACCAAGTAGTTGATGTTAATCCAGACAGGGCTTCTCCAATAGTTCTCATCGGTCTCGTAGAACTTATCCTTCTTGCTCAAACTGCGGATACCATAATCACTCCACAACTCCTGGGGATCACCGATTAAGTCCAACACAGCCTTGAGGCGTGGGCTGTCAGGACCCAGCATACCAGTCAGGAAGGGGAAGATGGAGATGTAACCCTTGTGGCAGACGTGGACACTCTCTTCATATTCATCGATAGTCGCATCGCAGAAGGTTTGCTCCTTCTCATCCCAATGCAAGTCATCAATGTTACGGGTGATAGCGTTCTCGTAGGAGGCGAATTGCTCGACATCTTCTTCCTCGCCGAGGTTCTCGGCGATGCGACGCATAGTGCGAGTCATCATTCCCATCCAACTGATCAGATCGACATGCAGCTCACCGGGGTGCGGCGGCTGAGCTCTGGGGTAGTCATCGATGCCAGAAGTGAGGATGTGCTGGACGGAACGTCCGCGCCAGCGGTAACCTTCCTTCGTCGAGAAAGCTTCGCGGTCATACGACGTGATGTCACCGCGCTGAGTGCTCCTATACCAGTTGTAGTGCTTCTTCAGAAGCGGGTAGAATGAGCGAAGGTATGCCTCAGACAGCTCCGGGTATCGGACAGTGGCAGAGCGCAGGCTCGCAGTTGCATCTTGGGTGTCCAGGGATTCGAAGTCAGTACTCTTGTTGCTACTAGACTTGACTTTGTCCATGAATGCTTCCAGGGCCATGAACAGAGTAGGCGGATTTGCATAATGGGGATATTGAATCGTAAACTCCGGAGGAACCTTGCTGCGTGCCTCTTGACCTAGTATCTGTTCACGGGCAATCCATCCATCCTCGTCCATCAGGTGGAACCAGCTCTTGATAATTTCGAGCCTGTATAAAAGTCAGTATATTAACCAAAACCAGTAAATGAACCGAAGTAGGTGTAAACGCACGCAAGATCGGTATCGTATTCGATCACAGGAATCAAATGGAAACCTTCATCCCAAAGGAACCCTCTGGGGAAGAACGGCCGGGAGGGAACGCAAGTGAAAAGCTCCTTCGGGCCTTCGATAACAGGCTGTACGGCAGCCCTGGCCTCGGCGGTCTCTTCCCAGAAGCCTTCATTCTCCTCTTCATACGCAGGGTTTGCGGACCGATCCACGAGATCATCACCGTGGAAGAACCCAATGCCACCAATGAGGTTAGACAGCATTGCCTTGGAGAAGCTCGAGTACTTTGGCGAGTCAAACGGCGCCTGTGGCGGGAGAAGGTGCTCAAAAGTTTCAGAAAATGAAGCTGAAGCATCCTCAATTTCCTTAGTGAGAGTTTCCGAGGTCAACGCTTCGGGGGCGGAGCCGGAGGAGAACAGGACATCAAACTCGAATGCACCTGTGAAAACCTTCTGGACAAGATGAGCATTGCCCTGGCCAGGCTTATGCTTGATAGTAAACAGCTGGGCTGGGGGCGGAACATTCTCTTTTCCAAACTCTTCAAGGGCATCGTCAACCTCGGCCTTCAATTGGGTGAAGAAGATTCCCTTTGCTTGCCAAAGCTGCTCCTCTGGGAAGGCCACACTAGCTACAATGCTGCGATGCAATGGCTTGTCTGTGGAGCTAGGATGATTGTAGCGGGGATGAGAGTTGGTTTCCGGTCCAGTAGTGACATCGATAGCGAAATCACCAAGTTCAGTGGTATATCCTTCGAGCTTGACATTTCCTTCGACGCCAGTGGACCCAGCAGATTCAGAATCAGCTCCCAAGTGACCTAAGCCCTCGAGAGTGGAATAAAATACCATCGCAATGGACTGGTCGGGATTTGCGCCCTCTCTAGGCGTGCCTTTGACTCGGAATCCCCAGCTACCTCCGTGCTGGCCACCTGGAACTTTGATGAAATCAATTGTCAGGTCCAAGTTGTTCCCGGCGTCATGAATTGTCTCCCGTCCACCCTTCCGGATATCGTACTCATCCCAGCCATACCCGGCCATTCCTTCGTTTTGTTCACATGTGTGTCTAAAGTCTGGAGTGGATGTTAGCTTCACAGTTCACCAATGCAGCCGGGCTACCAATATGAGCATACTTTGTTGAGCATCGGCGTAGTCGTCAACCTTTCCCCAGATCAATCCCGCCGTGAGACTCTTCGGAATGCGAGGACGCACTCCAAAGTAGAGGTTCGACTTGTAAGGACCCCATAGCAGGGACTGGTTGCTGGCGCGTCCGGCCTCTCGAATCAAGACGGATACATCATTGGGATCTTCGCTTGCAACGATCCCAGTTGAATAAAGGAGCGACGTCAATAACACTGAAATCCTGAGGTGACGCATAATGTAGCCTCAGTCAATTGACTGCTGTCCTCTCCGCGGGATGAGCTATAGGTGTATGTACCTTGACTCACCGCCTACCTAATTAAGACTAGTCTCACAGGCGTACCGAACAATGTCCACGGACGTCACCCGCCTTTCCCTTTCCGCTTTAGTGCTTCTACATGTTGTATATTATGTCTCATTGACAATAAATATGCGTTCGACACCATAGAAAAAGGCATGCTATCTTTTCTGCTATAGAAATCGTGGTATCAAGTACGTATTCACATGAACTCGCGTGGATCCAACGATCCAATGTTCGCGCTCTTCGCCTTACCATCAAACACAAACTCACTCATGAGCTTCCCTGTACCCGGCGCATTCTGGATACCCCAGCAGGTATGGCCAGCTGCAATATACAGTCCTTTCACATCAGTCAGTCCAACGAGTGGCCCAGCGCCAGAATCACAGTTTGGAAGATAGCAAGCCTGGCGAGTGCGAACCTCTCCGTCGCGCAGCTCGTCAGAAATACTACCCACGTGGTCTATAATTTCCTGGCAGCGTTCCTGGTCAACCTCGACATCTGCAGTACTCTTTGGTAGTGGAACTGCTCTATCTCCATCGCCACATGCATAGACAGTGGCATCAGGACGGGCGTAGATCTCTGGCGCAGCCACAGTTGGGCGTGACTTCTTCTCCGGGTTGAAGTTGGCCGGGATTTCGATATTTGTAAACAGGCAGTATGCACTGACTGGTTTCTTTGGCTGGATCACCACGCTGTGGGCCCGCATAGCGGAGATCGGGACCTCCGGGAGGATAGTTTTCGTCCAGGGACCAGCAGCAACGAGCACATCGGTAGCGGCAATGGTTTGTGTTTCACCCGATGTTTTATCGGTGTATGTCACTGACTCGACAGAGCTCTTTGAGCGAGCAATATCTGTAACCTGTCCAAGAATGATATTCGCGCCCTTCTCCTGGGCGAGCTTTGCAATGGACGTAGTAAAGAGGTATGGGTGCACTTGAGCGGTTTCGCCCGGTCCACTCATACTTTCATAGGCCCGTAGAAGGTCTGGCTCAATCCAATCCAAGTCCTCGGGGATTTTGGCAGACCTCAGCTTAGACATTGCTGCTGTGCTGCGTTTCTGGAGGGACTCTGTATTTCCAGCCCCGGTTTTCCCTGGGGTGTTCTCAGCGAGAGCACGACCTTTCACGACGAGTTGGCCGCAATTGACCTCTCTGTATCCCCATCGGTTGATACCATCGTGCTCCTTTGCGAGTTCGGCATGCAGCTTGTAGCTGAGACCGACAAGATTGCTCGGGAATGCCCATTGAGCCAGCATGCCACCCGCTTTTCCCGATGCACCGCCCGCGAGTTCAGTGGCCTCGATGAGTGTGATTTTGTGGCGGGCAGGGTCGTAGGATGGATGCCTGGTGAGGTAGTATGCAGAGCAGCATCCGATGATGCCACCACCTGTGAGTATTTTGGTCAGTGAGTTGCGAGTATATCGCGCGGGGTACCAAAGTCGCAAATAATCTATTCTTACCAACAATAACAATGTCACGTCGATCTCCTGTCGCTGACATCTTGAATTTCGGTGTTATCTTGGGCGCTAATGATCGTAAGGAAGCCACTGTGTAGGGATTTATAATTGGCAATGTTGGACCGCAGGTGTGCTGATATATAGGGAGGCCTACGTCACTGGAGATGTATGTCCAGTCATATGTCGCATCCGCGATCAAGACCACCATGACCGGTTTTTTTTCCTACAGGTTTGGCTAATGAATCATTCTGATATTTTTTTGATTCACTAATATTTGAAAAAAAGGGATTGGTAGTAAATCCAACAAGGGCCATTGAATGGGAAGGTAAAATATCAAGCCAACAAAACCATGCTCCGCAAATGCAAATCGTGTCGAAAGAAGGCCGAAAAATGTCCAGTGTTTTTGAATACAAAGAAAATATGAGACCGTAGGAATACATGTAGTAAGGATTCATCGCGAGGGACTGAGAGGCCGGTTGAAACCGCCCTGGCGGTTCATGTACTGTCGGTACTCGATCTTCTTCTCCTTCCGCACACCGTAGATGTTGTTTCCGGGGATTTTGGTGTTCTTTGTAGTCCGGAACCTGCTGAAGCCCATGGCCTTTCGCATTTGTGCTTCAATTTCGTCCTCGTCCGCATCTTCGTTGAAGTCTATGTCCATTTCATCCTCGTGGCGTTCCGGTCCTGATTGTGCGCCAGTTGCCTTCCGTCCATCTTGCGATCGAGGATCTTTGCGGTCGCCATGGCGGTCACTCTTAGGGCCTCGAGGGGGTGACCGGGCCTTCGCGCCATTGCGTTGCGGAGATCGGGAGCGGGAGCGTTCGCGGAACTTAACGCTTTTAGGTGCATTACCTGATATTCATATGTTAGCAAGGCCCAGATCTTCCCTTAAGTTAAATAAATAACCAACCTCGTCTATCCTGGTTGCGTTCTCGACTAGTGCTTCTCTTTCGGTCCTGGGCCCCACGCCCATCTTTGTCTCCGTCTCGTCTGTCCCGGTCGCGGCGATCTCGAGACCAGCTCCGTTCTCGCCTTCCATCTTTGCGTTCTCGTGAGCGAGAGCGATACCGGCCGTCGCGTCGGTCATCTCGTGGAGCTGGTGAACGTCTGCGGTCGCGGTCTAACCCTTGCTCTGGTGCACGAGGCGGTTTATCGTTGGAATCCCACATGGCTGAGCTGTCGGCTCGGCGAGCACGCTTCGCAGGTGGCTCTGTCATTATGAAAAAGGTCTGGTCTGGTCTGGGCGTTGCCCCGTATAGCGTGGATGTTTGTTGCGGGTGGGGTCAGATGAGGATGGCTTTGCTCAAATTTCGAGAGCTTGAGCAACAATAATAAGTTTAAGGGGCGAAAAAGCGAATGCTCATAGGGGTAGAAATGTAGAGGGTATCAAGTTGTCGCAATGGGTGTCGGCCTGAATATCCCAGGACCAAAGAGAAGTTTATTCCGGCCGGAGGAAGAGACCAGTTGCACATTTTGTGACATGGCAAATGACCGATCTATAGCCCTACAATGTATTTACAAACATTGAATTGTAGAGCTTCTGTTAACTTTAAACACCTGTTTTGGTGTCACTAATAGATTTCTATTGATGAAGTCTTCGACAATAGATTCATCATTTTGGATAGACGCAAGGAAACCGGGAGAACCCTGGATGTATATACTGCACCTTTACCCTGCACGATAGTACTCATACTCTCTCCTCACATCACTTCTCTCCCGTCAATGAAGCATAGTCATCTTTGTCTACATTTTCTAGACGATAGGGAAGTGATGCTGCCAAAACAAGGTAAAAAGGTCAAAAATACATATCTAGTAACCTCTTGTACACATTGTGCCTACACATGTGTTTGGAATTATGATACCCGATCTCGCAAAACTGAAGCCAAAGCTCGATTTTATTCAAAGTCGGCAAGCAACCGTCTTTGCAACATCAATTATCGGCAGCTAGGTATTGAGATCTCTATTGGAACACCCGAATCAAGTATGTCATTGGCCTTACTCGGGCAAAAGATGAAGAGTAAGACCGACGGAAGGTTCAGCAACTCGGTAGACTAGGCCGGTGGTGGTAGCCTGGGTATCAAGATCGCATAGAAGTCTGTACTGGAACAGTCCAAATGCGACCGCCTTTTTCTAGCAGACGAAGCAAAGCCCATCGATGTGATTATTCAAACCGGAGTCCGGGTAACTGGATGGATAGCCATGAAGACCTCGAGCTTGTAAACATCCACAGTACCATCGATATTCTCTCTGGGCCCCGTAAGACGGAGTCTCCTTGCCCACTAATTTATGTTGCCGGAGGGTATATTCCAATAGAGTCGGAGAGCCATGTTGAGATTGCCAAGAAGCTCTCGGAAGCACCAGCCTTCAGCGTTGTTGGATTGAAACCCTCTAGCCAGGACCTCTAATATCTCACTGTGACAGGCCTGAATCAAGTTACCCCATCTAATAACTGTTGTGTTCCTGCATCCAGAGCAATAATAATCGGAAGAGATGAATTGCGTGGATGGAATTGCTGCTTCCACATTTGCGACGGCATAAGCAGGCAGATGCAGATGCCAATTCAAAGAATGATTCGTCAAGAATGGATAGAGCTGTCGAAGACAGATGTTAAATAAGGGAGTCTTCTTTTGACCATCCATCCATGACGGTTTTGAGTTGGCTGGAGGAGCACACCTGGGAGTCCATGGTTGATCAAGACAATGCCCTGCGGGACTGCTATATTGACCAAAAAGAAACGATTGTCGCGTTTGAATCCAGTGTGAGATATACGACAGATACTGGATACCTCACGCCAGATGAGGCTCGTCAGCAACATCTGGACAAATATGCTGCGTTCAGCAGGTCTAGCTCTTGATGGACAACTCGGGAGAATGATAGAAACGTGGCCATCTTGTTTCAATACCTTTTAACATACGTAGCTTTTTGGCCAAGCATAATCTTGATGGGCGCAATCCATTTCTCCGATCTCAGGGAAAGTAACTGGAGTATTGGAGAAATGCCTCATCAATCTCTGGCGTTTTAGCACCGATGCGGCTCATCTCCGCATAGTTGAAGTTACCGTTCATCCAATCCACGGACGCAGAATCGGACATCAATTCCGGGGAAAGTTGTTCAATTGAGCTGTCATTTTCGGCGATGGCGGATATTGATGATTCTTCACTGCCAGAGCTCGGAACAAGGGGGCCAGGTTGGAGGTTCAGATGAACGGTGATAGGGTCCACCATGGAAGGCAGGGTTTGCCCTATTTTGGTAAGCAGCAGGGGAAGAAACCTTCGGCGTCCGCCGGGAAGATCGTGAATGAGAGAGAAGAAATGTTTGAGATAATCCGGCGGGCCAAGCTTGAAGCCTGAAGAACGGAGCCCAGCCGCCGAGAGACATGTCATAACATCAATTAAGGTGCACGCCACCTCAAATATTTTTTCGATCTATAATCTGTTAGAATATGCTTGGTCTGTTTATAAGGGCAAATCATACAAGACCAATTCCATGGGTTTCCATACCCTGCTTGGACAATTTCCATGTTGCGAAGCAGAGATCTTGAGCGATTAGGAGGGGGTAGCGAAAATCCATGCATTCATGAGTAGGCTTCGTCGAAAGAAACCCAGCAGTTGTAGATAGCTGCCATATCATAATACGCAGCCATTGCTGGGATACACGCAAGTCCGCCATGAGTATATCAGGCAGACCGAGGTCCGCCGGGACTGCACTTCGGATGCGCTCCTCAAGGCGAACTAGCGATTCAATCGAGCATGTTGCATTCGTTCCATTCCACTGACCCAAAAAGCCTTCATCAAATGGGAGATAGAGGTTTACCAGACACCGAAAGCCAATAGCTGACGCGTTTGGAAGTGGATCATCTTCCAATTGAGGGCTTGCGGGAGTGACCTGGAGGGTAATTGGTCTATGTCGACGGATCGCATGAGCTCTGTCCCTGTATTAGCAAAGAACTAAAGAATAGCGAGAGAAACTACCTCTCGGACACCACCAAGAGCCAAAATAATTTGCCTGCCAAGGAAGGGTCATCGTCATCCACCTGTGCTGATGATGCTTGACTTTCCAGCGCGCTGGCCGTATAAAGCGTCGTGGATTCGCGGAGAAAGTAATATGCATGCCGTTGGTTTCCCAGTCCAATATGACACCCGTATAGAAGGAAAGCGATGATAATGCTTTGTCGTACAGGATCTGTGAATGGGTCGATATGCTTTCGAGCTTCGGTGGCTTCCTCAATCAGGGAATTTCGGTATTCTTCAGTACAGAAAACTCGAGAAGATTCTAATGATGAATTCTCCACCGCAAATCCGGTTTGAGTGACCACGAAAGCGCAAAAAGCAGCAACGAAACAATAAGCATGGAGACATGTCTCGGCAAGGTCCACCTGTTTCTGGAAACTGCCGGGTTGCAAAACAGGCACCGTTCCTCTCATCCGTGAGAAAAAATATTCCGCGCAGGCGTCGACAAGGTCCCGGTTCAAAAGGCCCGGGGTTTTTGAGAACTGACATCTTCCCGAGGCTAACAGTGACTGGGGGGTTGGTATAGTATCTCCATGCCTGAGAGCTGCTGACGGTGGAGAAATATTCACATCCTCTACCAACGTCTGCTCAACTTCCTTTGCTCTGAGTTCATTGAGAATATTGGCTGTTTGGCCCTGTCGCCCCTTTTTGCGTCGTAGCGAAGAGGTCCGACAGACCAGGCCAGCAGCCCGACACTGCCCACAAGGTTTGGGGAAAATGCACTTGACTTTACGTCTGCGACATGCATCACATGCTTGCTTGACAGGTGGGTCCGACATCTAGAAAGCTAGGTATAAATATACCGGTAGGAACAAGCACAAAAATCCGGGGTTGCGGGGGGAAGTCGGGGAGAAGCCGGGTGCAGATCACATCCGGGTGAAGAAATGAAATTTGTCGCCTTGTTTGTCAGGCCTAAACATGACGCACAGGCCCCCAAATTTGTCTTCCCGAAATCCCCAGCGGCTATTTAATGTGTAGGGGAAACTACCTCTTTACTGGCTTTTTCAAAAAACGAAAAGGAAACTATAGAGGCTCAGCCAAATTCCCTTGGGGGTTCCTGATGAGCTACAAGCTGTGGATTGCTGAGAAACTACCGATATCGAGAATATCGTCGCCAGCCATAAGAGGTGCTATGCAGAATAGTATTCTAGAAAACTGATATTTCAATCAATATTCATAAGAAAATATCGCTGATTGGTTCTTCTGTGGTAATCTCTCAAATATAGACCCGTCCTTCGAAGGGTTTCAGCGTTTCCAGTGATGAATCGGAGTAGTTGCCCACAAGCAACTTCATGCCCGCGGTTTTCTCAGTCTGTGTGAATGGCTGAGGCTGACCAGTGAAATTCAGAACGACCAATGCTCGCTTGTCATCTCTCGACTTCACAAAGCAAAACGTCTCTTGATTCTCGTAGTCAAGCACTTCAAATGCACCGTGGATAAACAACTCCCGGTAGTCTTTCCTCAGACGCAGAACATCTTTCCAGAAAGACAGCACACTCGAGGTGTCGTTCTCTTGTCTCTTTACATTGATTTCACCATAAAGATCATGAGTTCGCATCCACGGTTTCCCGGTAGTAAAACCAGCGTGTTCCGAGTCATCCCACTGCATTGGCAGCCTGGAATGATCGCGAGCTAGAATTCGGAGACCGTCCATGATGTTCTCTTTGCGAGTAGGATCAGCCCCACTCTCAGTGCGTTGCTCTGCTTCTCGGTAATACCCCAAGCCTTCAATGTCCTTGTATTCCTCAATGGGCCACTCGCGTGGTGCATTGATCATACCAATCTCCTGTCCCTGATAGATGAACAGAGTTCCAGTCATGGTAACCATCATCAGAGCCAACATTTTGGCAGAGATCTCCCGGAACTCGGGTGCATCAGATCCAAACCGAGAGACAGAGCGTCCATTGTCGTGGTTCTCACAGAAAGCGGTGGTCCAGCCATCCGATCCCTCAATGAAAGACTGCCACTTCTCCACAATGGATTTCATCTTTGTCAACTTCCATGGCATGAAAATGTACTTCTCCTCTAGGGTAGGTCCCATGCCAATATGGCCAATGTCCAAGTGGAAGACCATGCTCAGCTCCTTGGCTGATGCTCCCACATATTCAAGGACGTTCTTGGGATCGGGTGTATTGGCCAGTTCGCCCACAGTCATGACATCCCCGTACGGAGCAAGTAACTCGTCATACATTTCGCGCAGGAACTCGTGGATCCGGGGGCCGTTGCACCACATTCCGATGGCGGGTTGGATGTAGCTTTTCGGATCTGTGATGGGGGCATCTGGGAAGTCTGTGTGTTTGCTGTACTTGTTCACTGTGTCCACTCGGAACCCATCGACACCTTTGTCTAGCCAGAACCGCACCGCGCTGTTGTAGATAGCCTCGCGTGTGGCTTTGTTATCCCAGTTGAGATCGGGTTGCTCTTTGGCGTAGAGGTGCAGGTAGTATTCTTCTGTCGTCTCATCCCAGGTCCCTAAATAGGAGCTTCGTTAGTTCAAAACCATTGAATATTGTCAGATGACTCAACGCACATGTGCTTCCTGCAAAATAGCCCCGATAATTACTCGGAGGCATTCGATTCCCTGCCTCATCATATCGAGGAGGGCGCCAGAAGTACCAATCGCGTTTGGGGTTGTCCTTGCTACTCCGGCTTTCCTGGAACCAAGCATGCTGATCACTGGAGTGGTTGACGACAAGGTCAAGAATCAATTTCATGCCTCGCGAGTGACACGCTTCCACAAGATTCTCCACGTCTTGTACAGTTCCATAAGCAGGGAGCACATTTTCATAGTCGGAGATGTCATAGCCCATATCGTGCATAGGTGAGTCGTACATCGGCGATAGCCACACGACATCAACCCCTAGGGACTGGAGGTAATCGACCTTTTTGACAACGCCCGGGATATCGCCCCAGCCATCGCCGTTGGTATCATAGAAGGAAGCTGGGTATACCTTTAAAATCGAACGTCAATTTTATGTTTCATGGAATGCCTGAATATGGCAACTCACCTGGTAGACGGTGGCTTCTTTCCACCAGTTATTGGTTCCTGTAGGAACGGCTGAATCTTGTATCGCGTGTGGTGACATAGTGGCTTGACACTTGCATTTTCCATCCGGACACCCCTCTTATAGCTTTCCATCATCGCTCGGCATCAATTCGGACTGGATAAAGGCGGGGGATATCTTCAGGAAACCCTGTATGTCCGGCAAGCCTCCGGTAGGATGTTGCATATCCGACTAACGACCGACTTGCCGCCGATCGACTTCTTTCCGGCCCGGTGATTCGCTAGGGTTACCCCTCCCCACTCCAGCTTCCCCAGTTTTCTTTTCATTTTTGGAAGCAAGTGACTTGCCATGTGCATTTTCCCCGGATCCGCGATACTCGTGGACTAAAAAATGCATGTATTTTTGCTTTGGAATCTTTTGTATAAATCAAACCATCGCCCCGTGCCTTGATAATGCCTGAAGCATCGGGATATTCTCAGCCTTCAATTCTTAGGGCCTCGACAGACCTATTCGCAATTTCTTGTTTAGTCTGTGATATATACTGGGCGCATTCAGTTTCGGAAATTTCAACACAGTTTTCTGATGGTCTCGATGGACGACACATCCATGAGGATGAACGACAAAGTCTCCCCCGCTCTCGCAGAGGGCAGACAAGCGGCTAGGAAGGAGCGGTCCATGACCCTGCGGCAGGCTTTGCGGTTATATCCGAAAGCCGTCGGCTGGTCAGTCCTCCTTTCGTCTACCCTGATCATGGAAGGGTATGATCTCGCATTGCTCAGCTCAATGTACGCATCACCTGTGTTCAACCAAAAGTTTGGAGTACAGACCGCCGCGGGGAAATGGACTGTTCCGGCATCCTGGCAATCCGGCCTTTCCAATGGTGCACGCTGTGGTGAAGTCATTGGACTTCTGATCAATGGTTTGGTCTCTGAACGCCTGGGGTACCGCAAGACCATGATCTGTGCCTTGGCCACCATCACTGCAGTCATTTTTCTGTTTTTCTTCGCAGTCAATGTTGAGATGTTACTAGCCGCCGAAATTCTCGCCGGTATCCCTTGGGGTATCTTCCAGACCTTGCCAGCCGCCTACGCCTCCGAAGTTTGTCCGGTAGTCCTGCGACCTTACCTGACAACTTTCATCAACATGTGCTGGGTATTCGGACAGCTTGTGGCAGTTGGCGTTAATCGCGGCTCCCTTTCTCGCGATGATCAATGGGGCTGGCGCATTCCTTTCGGTGTGCAATGGGTGTGGCCAATCCCAATCATGATCGGCTGCCTTTTCGCACCTGAGTCCCCTTGGTGGCATGTGCGTCAGGGTAATGTGCAAGGAGCTCGACGAGCGTTGCTGCGGTTGACTTCGTCCAATGACCCCGACTTTAACCCCGACGAGACGATTGCTATGATTCAACACACCAATGAGTTGGAGAAATCGCTCTCTAGTGGAACCACATACTGGGACTGCTTCAAGGGAACAAATCTTCGCCGAACCGAGGTAGTTTGCATTGTGTGGTTAGTGCAAACCCTGTGTGGCCAGAACTTGATGGGTTATTTCGCCTACTTCTGTGTCCAAGCGGGCCTACCCACCGTTCAATCTTTCAATATGTCACTGGTACAATACGGTCTTGGTGTTGTGGGTACAATAGGATCGTGGTTCTTAATGTCCTACGCGGGCCGACGAACCATCCACATCTCCGGTCTCGCCAGTCTTTTCGTCCTTCTGGTGATCACAGGATCTCTATCTTTTGCCCCAGGAGACAACAACGCCGCCAAATGGGCAATCAGCGTGATGCTCATCATTTTCACATTTTGCTATGATATCAGCGTCGGCCCTGTCACATACTCCCTCGTCTCAGAACTATCCTCCACCCGCCTCAAAGCCAAGACTATTGTCCTCGCCCGGTGTCTATACAACATTAGCAACATTGTCGTCAACGTCCTGACCAACTACCAGCTCAACTCCACGGCCTGGGACTGGGGTGCTCGGTGCGCCTATTTCTGGGCTGGTACATGTCTAGTGTCACTGGTCTGGGCATACTTCCGGCTCCCCGAGCCCAAGGGCCGCACATATGAGGAACTGGATTTGCTCTTTGAGCGCGGAGTTCCAGCAAGGAAATTTGCGACCACCATCGTTGATCCGTATGAAGGAGAGGCGACAGAGGTTCATGAGGCACATGCGGATAAAGATTGATAGTTCAGCGATTTATCTACCTCCCTAGGATACATCCTAGATTTAGTCATTAGAAATACTATTTCTTTCATTCTTCCATCTCACACCACTTTGAATTCAACAGCCTAAAAAAAGATAGAAACTGTCACAGTATTGATTCATTGCACAGTCATAAACTACTAGGTAATATTAATAAACATTTGTATGATATTTACATAATTAGACGAATAAACCATGGGCACCACCCATAAACCTGAGTCACTTCGGTTATCGGAGTTCGTATTTAATGCTCACATAGGCTGAAGTCACCCTCCTCAAAACACTCATTTTGCTTGTCTGATCTGAGCCCACGCTCTTCCATGAGCTCCAAGCGGTACTCTTTGGCCTTCTCCATGGTCACAAGGGGCTCCAAATCACCTTGAACGATGTTCTGCAGCTCCAATGGTAGATCTGCCAAAGCTTGATTCACAGCACTTTGTCTCTCATGAGCCCAATCCTCCCGCTGCGGAGGCACATTGGCTGAGGAGATAATCCGACGATGGGGATCAACCAAAAATAGCGCGAGGATCTTACGATGACCGGGCTTCGACGGATCGGCTAGCGAGAAGGGGGAAACACGGTGCTGGACGGTGTTGGGGAAGGTGAGTAGCCGACCTTCTTTGCACGAAATGGCTCCAAGGCTTTGTGTGATATCGCGGTTACTCCCGTTGCCTTCGACATCCTCGCCAAAGCCAAAGATGGCTTGTAAGAATGCGTACTCGCCTTGCTCATACACAATGTCTAGCATGTCCATCATACCGCGTTGACGAAATGACAAGGAGTTATCGGTTATGTTTTCGCTGTCATAATAGTAGATTGCGGTAGCGCAGATGCGCTCGTTCTGTTTAAAATTGGCATATATAGTTAATCAAATGGCGCGAAACTCTTACCAACTGTCCCTCAATGTGCCAAGAGCCTCCTTCATAATTGGGCTTGTCTGGGCTCAATTCGATGTTCGCCAGCTTCACGATGATCTGTAGCTTCGCGTTGGGAAATTGCTCTCGTAGATCCGCACTATGCCTTTCGTGTGGGGGTTGAAAGCTATCTGGCTCAGGACGGATAATGGGACGGCGATTTCGCCACTCGCGATGGACATCCCAGAAATCATCTTCGTCGAAATCACTGTCATCATCATTCTGAACAGGCTCAGGGTCTAGATGTTCACCATATTCGACCCTCTGGTACTCGATTCTTGGACTATGGATTACGGACAGACTGCGGTTCCAGAGTGGGATTGCCCGAGCAATGATTTTCTCAACGACCTCATAGAGAGACTTGTGATGAACAGGGTGGGCGTTATTGATGTATGATATGATTCGACAGTTGGCGTTATCGACGAGCTCCACATCGCACGGGAGCCACTGAAACTTATCACTGAAGACACTGAACCTAAATTGCTCGTTGTAATAGGCTCGGTTTTCCGGGACTGGAGCACAATCTTGGCTCGATGGAATGGGGACAAGATCTCCTTGTCCCACGCTTCCTAGACAGTCGTTAAGATCAATGGTTCTGTCCGGAAGCACGCGAGTTTGGCCATAAATCACTGGGAACAGCGAGGGATGCACCAGATCAACCACTTTGCTATCAGAGCCGGGGTGGTAATCTTTCTCCGACATATCCTCGAAGGGGTTTACCGCCTCTTTCAGCGCCTGTTGTATCTCTTTCGACACGGCGGTATCGGACTTCACCACACCCACATCAAAGACGCGAACGTAACCAGTCTTTTTGAGTATGTTGGCTTTCCATTGAAGCTCTCTGATGATCCAGTCCATCATGTTAGAAGTCACGTCTTGACCACTTTGGGCAACCTCGTTACGCCATTTGGCGGTGATGTCCTCGTCAAAGACCTAGAGGAGGTTAAAAATAATCTAACAAGATAAAGGATATCAACATAACCTCGAACACACCTTCTGATCCCACTGAGGCTTATCGGTAATGGTGTTCATCACTCGCATCATCAGAACTTCTCGGTGGGTTACCAAGTCGCTGGAGAGCAAGGTCAACTCGAGATCCCGCCCATAATACCATTGAAACACACCTCATGTAGCCATCTTGCAGTGCTTGACCATCCAACGCATTAGGAAAGCCGTGAAACCATTTTGTCATCACATTTTGCTGGTCTGTTAGCAAATGGGATGTGTGGAAAGAGAATCTAGATTCTCACATCGGGCTTGCAGTTCAAGAATACATTGAACCCGGGCATGAAAAGCCGCGGATTGTAAGATGAAGCCATATCGATATAGAACTCTTGTATAATGGTATTCTACCATTCGCGTCAGGGGGGTGGTTTTATACTCATGCGGTCTTGGCAAAGTCCAGGCAGAAACGGGCTAATTCCAGGCAGACGAGGCACTAACTGACTAAGTCCACTTTGGGCGTAGTTGTCTGAAAATTGTATAGGCAGCAAAGGCAGAGAAAACTAGTATGAATACTACCGAAGGGGGAAAAGAGAAAGAAGAATCGTTGTTAATCAATCTAGGAAAAAGCAGGGTATGTATTTATACCCTGATGTCTGGCAAACAATCCACTCAGTCTATAGAGAACAATGAGAGATGCGATCATCTAACGAAAACAATGATTGTTTTCAGGAAATTTATATACGGTTCCGGGGCTAGACCCGTGTGATCAGAAAGGGCAATACATATGTATGAGGTGCGATAGTAGTAAAAGAGTCGAGAAGAGTCGAAACAAGTCTTGTAGGTAGTACCTTAGAAGTGATCCCTATCATCATCTGTCGTATATTGATGAGAAATGAATTATTATTTCAATTCTTGTTCCATTTTCCTTAGATATATTCGCTTTAGATTTGTTCGTTCTCTTACAATGACAAGATATCACTATGATAATTGAAGACTAATATCGTGAAAAAAAGCTTGAAGTCATTTATGCTAATTCTAATGATATCGAAGTGCTTATTGGTACCAGAGACCTGACCTGTTAGTATACTACGTACCTTAAAACACTTGTGAATAACTATACTATATATTCTTTTTACTCTTTCGCTTCCATGGGAGGACCACTCGGATGGACAAAAACATTCACATGATCCCTACCCCAGGAGAAAAAGATATCCGAGAGACTTGATACAATAGATCTATAGTATTCAGACACAAGCTGGCCTAACAACCTGGAAATGTTCCTAAAGACAGGAAGGGCATTGAGGAGCCTGCTGCAGCCCGCGGGCCGGCCCGTCGAGCCTCAACTTTAAATTCCACCGCGAAATTTTCGCAGCGCAACCCCACTTCCTGTGTGGTCATCAACCTGCGTCTCCTGAGAGCAATTTGCCTATAACAGTATCTAATATCAGACGAAGATGGCGCCTATCAACCTTTCACACAGGCGGACGCACAATTTGCTCTTGATTTCGAAACTCTTGAGCTTGCGGGACACTGCGTCGCCCCTCACACTTGTCTTGGATTCTTTGGAGCAACCAGCTACGCCCCTCTTGAAAGAATACATTAGACGTGCAAAGGTATATTGACCTATGATGTTATCATAAGCGACATCTGAGTCGCCAGACACAGGAGTGGATGGCCATGCTAACTAGTTCGACAGCTGTCCAAAGTTCATGTTACGCTCATCGCGTTTGAAACTCTGAAGCAACCCGAGGGAGTCGATGCTTTTGTATCAACACGCCGCAAGAGCCCCGCCGATATAGTTAAAGAAGTGAGCGCGGTTTATCAGCCTGTTGCAGCCTCCAATCCCTCACGCAGTAAGCATTGTGCATTTACCCCGCTAGTGGACTCATACTTACTCCCTTCTTAGGGCGTCTTATCCTCATTGATTCAATTAACCCTCTTCTGAACTCAAAAAGAGTTGACCCTGGGTTTCACCTGGCCTCTTTCCTTGGTTCGTTTATTACTCCCACATCGCCATCGGCCAAGGTTGATGCGTCACTCGTGGTGACATATCATCAAGATGTCCCCGAACTTCCACAGAAAAATCCTTACTCGCCATCACCTATCTCTGTATTGACATACCTCGCTACGAGTATCATTACACTCCATTCATTTTCACACGTTCTAGCACAGAAGGCTGCTCGCGACCGCAGTCTGGCTCCTCCAGTCTTTGGGCTTGAGGAAGGGCAAGAAGGCGTTCTGCTCGGGCGTTTGGATAGATTGGCCGGTACTGGGAAAGCCGAGGGAATTGTCATTGAGCTGGAGCACAGACGGAAGAGTGGCCGTGGTGTACTGGAATGGTACCTTCTCCCACCTGCGTCGCAGTATTCGCTACAGCATCTGAAAGAGATTGTGACGTTGCTTGACGATAATGTTGTGTACAACCCTCCCATGGAGCGTGGCCCAGGTGCCGGCGACGAGGAACCAACATCGACCTTTGAGCTGGGTCTCACCGACAGACAGAGGCGCGAAAGAGAAGGTGTTGTGTTGCCGTACTTTGACGCACAGCATGGCGATGGCCCAGGCGAGGGAGGCCGGATCCTTTACGATATGGGAGAAGAAGACGATTTCGACGAAGAAGAGGATGAGATTTAGACATCATCAAATACGATACATGTTCACGCAGTTCTCCGTATTCTAGAATCGGCGGATTGTAACCCGCAATCACCGAGGTATTAACTATGCATACATTCATACAGCGAGGCCCATGAGCACGGCCACGGAGAGCAAGGAATCAGAAGAATCGCCAGAAAAGAAGAATGCAAATGACAAGCCCCACGCCAGCGAAAGGTCCGTACTGTGAGATGGTTAGCCGATCGGTCAGGGGGAGTCAGGTGCAAATATAGACCCACCTGCTTCAACAACAATTCCCAGTTGATGCGTACAGCTGCCTTTCTGTACTTCTTGCTGTCCTCGCGCAGTCGCCCTGACAGTTCACCCATCCGCTCCAAACTATCGCCGCGATACAAGAGGTCCTCGATATTCTTCGTCATCACCTTGGTGACATCACGGAGTTCATCGTTCAGCTTGTCGAGGTTCTGGGATGCGCGACTGTCTTGGTATAGTTTCTTTGTGCGTTGAATAAAGGTATCAAACTCGACAAAAGCATATGGACGGAGGGTGGGTGAAAGGTATTGTGATGAGGAATAGGTAGTCGTGAATTCGGAGGCCAGATCAGCCAGATAGGTGAAGGCGAGTTTGCGGGGGTAGGACTTGTCGCAAATGCATAGGAAGCAGATATCATCCTGGATTGTGTAGCTGCACACCAAGTGAGAAATTGTCCATTGATAGTGTTTGTTTGACTGATGGGTGCCACTTACTGTAGACTGTATTGACCAGACTCAATACTGGCCTGGGGTGCGGCGTTGCGATTCAAGCGCCGAAAGATCATTTTAGCCTGACCCTTAATCTCAGAGAGCTCCGATTCAGCCTACAAATATCGTAAGCTCATGATTAGCTTGAATAATCGTCGTCACATACCTGCTCGTCGTCGACCGAAGCTGCCAGCATAAGGCCTATTTCACTTCAACATCAGCACTCCACCCCTCTCAACCTCCCAGAGAGTTCCTCACCATCGAGCCTTGCAATCTGGGTTGACCTGACCATCCTGAAAACGTTGCTTACTTGTTCTGAAGGACAGCGCTTTCTCCTTTGTTTTGCCGTGGGAATGGCTCCGAAGAGACGCACGAAGGCGGTAGCAAGGTCCCGTGTGGCAGAACCACAACGTTCGGGGTAAGCTCCGCAATTACTTTTTACCCTCTTTCTTACTGACGTCTTATAATAATGCCCTAGTCGTGCTGCTGCTAGTTCTGCCGATGTAGCAGAACAGTCGGGCCTCGCCATGTCGACCCCAAAATCCGAATCGAGCTCACGAGCAAGAACCCCAAGAAGGCCTGCTGCTAGAGGGAAATGGAGCGAAGAGCATTTATTGACGAGCGACAAGTCCCTCCTTGTTGACTTTGATCTAGTGGTATGAGCCAATCCTTCATACATGCGGTACAAGATTATCCAAGCTAACAATAAACTCAAAACATCTAGAAACTGCTGGCACAACCTGAAGCATGGAATTGCCTCGAGGAAAGCGACAAGCGCGAAATTCTTGCTCTACTCCCCCCAGATGTTCACCCGGAGGCACAAGCTACATCGGATGTCCCAGACGCAAAGATACCACCCATACCTGACTCTTTTATCCGCTACTCAAACAACTGGCGCGACGGCGTTCGACAGTTCCAGCTTGACCTCCAAAACGGCCGCTACGACCCCGAATGGCTGCACCAGGCGCAGGAAGCCAGAGAGCAGCGCGAAAATGGCGAATTTGATGACTTCAAAGAGCGCGAGTATGAGCAGTTCTGGGGACAGAAGCAGAAAGTCATCTGGCGTGCAGCTGCTGGAGAAAGTGCGCGTGTGAAGATGGGAACTCTTATCGATGAGGGTGTCATCCAGCTGGGCGATATCTGGAAATTCAATTATGTTTACGGCAGAGGCCCCGGCAGAATTGTCATTGAAAAAGAAGTCAGGGTATGTCTACATCTATGCACTCCGCATACAGCTTCGCCATTTGTTGACCGCTACAGATTCATGATCGTGATGGTGCGAAATTGACTTTTGCGATTCCACCCGGTGAACGAGTCTTTCTTCGCAGCAATTTCGACAAAGCAGAGCCATGCCCCGCACCAGAGAAGGGAAAGGAAGATGTGAAAGCCGACCTCGAGACAGAGCAACGTCCAGCGACATCACCTTGGAATGATAAACAGTTGAAAGACCAAGACCCAGAACCACAGTTCATTAATGCAACATCCAATGGCGAGGAGGTGAAGCCCGACGCCGATCAAGCGCCACAGGAGATCCCTGTATCTTTCAGTGACGAGGAAATGAAGCTTGAGCACGGCCAAGCCCCACATGGGATCCCTACGTCTGCCACCGACGAGATGAATACCAACACCGACCACGCGCAACAGGACACCCCTACTTCTTTCAATGATGAGGAAGTGAAGCGTAATAATAGCGGAGCGCGACATGGGATCCCCGCATCTTCCACTGATGGCATGAATATCGACACCGACACCGCCGCACAGCCGGTCATTGCGCCTTCGAATGATGAGGAGAGCCAAGAGGAAACCCCATTCAGCGTTGTTATTTTTAGCCCCGGTGGTACACGAAATCAAAAGCCCAAGCGCACAATTCCTGAGCCCCAACCTCAACCCCCAGTGAAACGCAAGCGAGGACGACCACGTAAAATCCCACTAAAGCAACCCGAGCCAGAGCGGCCCCAAGAGCAGGAAGTGTCTCAGGAAATAGAAGTGTCCCAACGTGATGAACAGAGCTCAACTGCTCCTCTTTCTTTCATGGCCATCTTGAATTCGAAAATTGAAGAAAACGAGAAAGCTGCAGCAGAATTCTCCCAGCCAAAGCCCTCTCACCCAGAGTCTCACTTCTCGGTGCTTTCTTCCACACCTGAGCCCACCGAGCTGCCAGAGTTATCTACGTCAGTAGAGGAATCATCTATTGCCAACGGCAAAAATGATAAAGCGGAATTATTGAAATTATCCACAGCTCATTCCGATACTCCTATGGAGAGCGTCGAGGCGCCCGTCGAAGCACGCGCTGAGGTAAACGCTGGGGCATCCGTTGAGGCTGAGCAAGACGAAGTCACTAAATCCACAAATACTGAACAACAGAAAGTCCCAGTCCCAGCTTCTCAAAATACTACCATTGAGCTGAACGAGATCATCGTTCCCAATCTCTCCTCGCCACAAGCACTCGTCCTTAAGATCCTACAAATCGATGGCCGCATGCCGAATGGCCGTACCGCGAATGCTTGGAAGGAAATCCGGTGCTACCGAAATAACCAGGACATGGGCAGCCTCTTTGATGTGCGAGAGGCTTGGTTCCTCCAGCATGGACAACTTGAGTAGCCGCCTTCCACTTCTAGCATGGAAATACCGACACACAAATCATTTGATTTTCGCGTACGCTACCCTCGATATCATGTGAAGATCCGAATGGAAAATAGTCCATGCATCACTTGAGGTAGCTGGCTATCAATGAAAAAAAAAATGAATCCCAAGGCAAATGAACCGGAAGGCCTAGTGATATTCTACAGAAAAAGTGAAAAATAGGAGTCCAGCATGGATGTAAAACAATGTATTCTGATCAGCCTCGGGAAAAAATGCCTGGACCTGTGCATCTGAAGGAGAATCCAAGCCTTGTTGGATAAGATAAGTGTCGTCCTCTCCAAAAGCATTACTTTTGCTACACAAGTCTGCTATGCGGCTGCTTTGCCGTAATTGAGGTAAACGCGATCCTATATACAGGCCCTATATCGAAACGTCTGTGAATAATTTCTGAGCCACCCAGCCATTTTAATTACAGATTATATCCTCGCTGTCCAAAATTCAGAACATGATGCTTTACAAAATGAAAGGCACCATAACAGCCAACGCCATCCATGAATCCCAGCTTACCGACAGCGATCCAGCCATATCGGGGACAGTTTCTGGTGATGCTGCACCGGGATTCTCGCTGCGGGTGGATGATTCCTCTTCAACTATACCCGATCAGGAAGTACCTCACTCATCACGCCCGTTTAGGAAATAGAGATTCAGCTGGCTCAACTGTATCTGTCAAGCCCAATTGACTCTTGGCAACTATTCCCTTCTCGGTTTTCTTGTCAATGGGATGGCGTGGTAAATTTAGTGAGCATTGTTAAACATCGAGGCTCTTGATATTTGGAGTGATGTAACTTGACAGAAGGTGGAATGAAAATCACATAACAAAACCCCGAGTCATTGGTAGAGAGAGACATATAATTCAGGCTGATACTCTTCGTTAAGGCCCTTCGTTCATTCCAGACATGCCGGGTATAGGATCCGAGTCCGCGGCAACATCAACAGCAAAGCTAGCCTGTATAAAGTCTTCGAGCTCTTCACTCACAGTCTTGAGCTTCTCCTTGACACTCGCAACACCTTCTTGCCCAACGATATGTCGCGAAGGAGGGTTTTCATGGCCACCAATCGATGTAATGGCATAAACAGTCTCAGCGACAAGCACTTCAAGATGTGCGGAGCTTAATGGTGGGTGCATTGAGACAACCTCCGGAGCGGAGAATGGGCCATTTTCAATGGAGCTAACCCGAGCGTTTTCGTCGTGCACTCGACTGGGCGTGACTGGACTGTCAGATGAGAGAGCAGCATCGGGAAGTTGGGGAACAAGATGGTTTAGGATCCCGCGGAAGAGAGGCGCTTGATTGTTGGCGGGCGAGTAGGCAGGAAATATTGGAGGGACACTGGTTACTAGGTTGGTGAGAATGCCAATCTCGATGCTGCATTGGAAGATAGTGAGTTTGATGTTGAATGGGGCAATTTCGTAAGCCAAACTCTGTGCCCAGGTGAAGCTGGTTAGTTTCTGCAATGCAGATCATTTAATCAAGTGCGAATAGAGATACTGACATCACAGAATCCTTCAAGGGCCCAGCCTGCTGCGCAGTACATTCCTAGCCCGGGTGTACCGATATGGGCCGCTATATATCATCAGACAAATATTCAAGCACTTGACGAGATATATTTCTTACTGATCCCTGAGATAATCATCATATGGCCTGCTCGCTCTTTCCTCATATGGGGGAGCGTGGCCTTGATGATATTGAGAGGACCGAAATAATTAACCTCGAATTGATCGCGTACGAGATTCATGGTTTGGATTGAAGCGGAAAGTTCTTCAACTGTTCCAATAAGGGCTTGGGAGCAGGTCAATATATTGTTCAAGGGTACATCCAGGAATGGAAAATCACCTTGACTTGTACAGCATAGAAGTATGTCTACTCTTCCAAATGTTGCGACTGCGTCTGCCACGACTGCCTGGCACTCTCCCATCATTCTGTATCAATAAATATCAGTAATCAAGATCAAAATCCATAATTAACTTGACTGCCTTGATGTAGCGCACCGGATATCTAGCGGAGAAGTCTTCATGCGCTGTGCCCAGCCATCATGCTGCTCCACCTCACTGAGAAAAGCCTCAAATTCATCACGGCGACGTTCATCGCGTTCCAAAGCTGAATGTGCTAGTCCAAGAAATGCATAATCTCCATGCGCAAGGACCTGGCGCGCCACCGAGAGGCCAATAGGCGAATCCCCCGCGGTGATCAGCCATACTCGAGGTTCATTATGCGACGGGAATTGCACACGGGCATCAAAAGGGGGTTATTGTCCATGAGGGTCAACGCCAATGGCCAAATGCGCTATCCATCACGCGATTGCAATTTCAAAGCTACTTAATAGTTAACAAGTATAAGAATGGAAGATGCCCGGAGCGTCGGAAGACCAAATGCCAAGACCGCGCCAGTTCCCGGGCCTCAATCTAATCGCGTGTTAATCGCCCACGTTAGCTGCCCTTCTGGCCTCTTCTCTTTTTTCCTCATCCATCATGTCGGAACAGAGGCCACGCAGACAGGAGGAGTCCGGTGTACGTATTGCTGATTCAGTGTTGTTGTGTTGAATTTACTGACCTCCTTCAGTCGGGCTTCAAGGGTGCCCTTCAGGGTCTTGGAATCTTCTTGTTGGCCCAATTTGCCATCAACCAGTACATGGGAAATAAGGACAAGACAGACTCTACCAGTGTGAATTCTGGTGGCATCCCCGCTTTTGCCGATCGCCCCGATCCTAGTGAAGTCGTTGAACACAGTGCTATCCCTGAAACCATCGCCCCAATCTGGCCCTCCGACAGCGCTGTCGATCTCAGCATTTATGTAACGCCGTCTATCGTTGTGCCTAACTTCAAGTCACCGGATAGTACTCTTGTCCTGGACGAGAAGAACTTTACACTTGGAAACTACAGTGACACTCGTGAAATCGACACCATCATCAAGGTTCCAAAGCAGGTCCAACATAATGGAACTCTTTGGGCTCACTTCTTTTTGGCTCGCACCGGATACCCGTTAGACCCCACCGCTAAGGACTACAACACCGCTGATGCAGTCCACTTCCTCCGACCTCTGAACCAGTACCTTCCCAAGAAGAAGGTCAAGAAGCTGAAGAATCTTCTGTCGGCTCCCGAGGATGAACACGACCAGGAGGAAGATAACACCCCGGATGTTACAACCGTGTCATACTATCACCCCAACTTCACTCTGTCCATGATCCCAGACTCCGGAACTGTGAAGATGGGCCAGATGAACCCCGCCGCTCGCCAGTATTTGCAGCTGGAGCGGACTGGTGCCCGGGATGCCAGTGGAAAGAATGGATGGTACTACCCGATCGCTTTCTTCAACACTTTTTGGCAACTGAAGACCCACATGACTGAGTTGAACTCTACCGTCGAGACCCTGCCGTTGCATATTACTCTCAACAACATGGCGAACTGGAAGTTTAACATCCTCAGCAGTGTTGATGAAGGCTCTAAGCAAAGTTCTCGCCAGGCTGCCTATGGCAAGCCTGCTCCCGGTGGTGGAGATGGAACTGAGTGGGAGATGGTGAAGGAGATTCTCTTGGATACGAACATTTGGCTCCTCTGCACTACGGGTGTGGTCACTATCTTCCATATGTTGTTTGAGACTTTGGCTTTCAAGAACGATATTGTAAGTGATATCTCACCACTGAAAGATGTGATTCAGCCCGCTAACATTCTCGCTTTAGGCCCACTGGCGTAAGAAGAAGGACGTTGTTGGTACCTCGGTTCGGACAATCCTGGCAAACGTCTTCATGCAGGCTGTCATCTTCCTCTACCTCATGGACAACAGCGACAACACTTCTTGGATGATCCTGGCCAGTCAAGGATTTGGTATTCTTTTGGAATTCTGGAAGGTCACCAAGACCGTCGACGTTCGCTTGCGCCCGCCGCCAGCCAGCTCTTGGTTCTCATTCTTGCCCTATGTGATTGTCTTCGAGGATAAGCACAAGCTTAGCGAGACCGAGGAAAAGACTAAGGAGTACGATGAAATTGCCTTCCGCTACTTGTACATCTTGGCTGTTCCCCTTCTGCTCGCATACGCCGCGTACAGCTTGGTCTACAACACCCACAAGTCCTGGTACTCTTACGTTATCCAGACCCTGGTCGGCAGTGTCTACGCCTACGGCTTCCTCATGATGGTCCCCAGTCTCTACATCAACTACCGGTTGAAGTCTGTTGCGCACATGCCCGGCAAGGCGTTGACCTACAAGTTCCTGAACACCTTCATCGACGATCTCTTCGCCTTCACCGTCAAGATGCCCTGGCTTCACCGCCTGGCAACCCTTCGCGACGACGTCATCTTCTTCGTCTGGCTTTACCAGGGCTGGAAGTACAAGGTTGACTACAAGCGCGTCAACGAGTTCGGCCAGGGAGGTGACAGTGACGAGGAGGAGGAGAAGGAGGAGGCTACTCCTGCTATCGAGGGCGACAAGAAGGAGGAAGTGGCTACTCAATCCTCTTCCAACGCTACTTCTAAGTCGTCTACCCGCAAGAGGAAATGAACGACGGCTTAGATGCAGGTCTTGTCGGCCAATAGGCCGATGAACCTGGGATCAACGCCTTTTGCATACGTAGTAAATCATTTGGTTTCACTACTTTTGGCATGATGCTGGTGAGCATTGGATCATAATTATTCCGATGTTTTAGCAAGCAATGTTTAATTCCGATTCTTTTAATTGGAATTCCTCAAGAAACCCACTTTAGAGTTCTGAATCTACTTATGCAGTATCATGTAGACGAGTCAAACTTGTAATATGATAGTATGGTGGTCACCCATAATAATAGAGGTAGAAGCCGTTGTTGATGGTTACCCGATTAGGTTTAAGGCCATTTTTGCATCTTCGCGCCCGCTCGTTCTTCTATGTAATTGTCGGATGCACCAAAAACATTCGTTCTTTGAGTCCCATAAATTTCAAAATCATCGCAAAGAATTGAACTGACGAAACTTCTTCGTTGCATTTTCGACACGCACAATTGAAGGAAGCGCGACATCGCGCAACTACGCGCCAATACCACAAATATTACCACTAAAGCAAACTACATTCTCGACGACACACCAATTGCGGGAAATTTTGCAATAGAATTAGTGTAAATGGATATTGATACAGGTAACCTGTGCTTATATCCTTTCAATTGAACTATGCTAACAATTCTTCAGGGAGCAACCAACCAAGCGGCCTAGGTGATGCGGTCGAGCACTTGGAAGCCGGTACGGCCAAGAAGCTCTCTCATGTGAGATGATAGTAAAACATGTTACTAATGAGAGCCGGCAGTTGCATTCGTCCCGCCCAAGAAGAGATACACAGATGCCAGTCTGCTTGCCAAAACAATCGCTTCAAACGCGTACGAAAGTGGCATTCCGCAATCCGTGCTGGCCCGTCTCCTGAAGATTTTGACCACGAAAAATAACCTGGATCAGGGCACAGTTACAACGCTGATCAAAAACCTGTACCCCCAGGAGAGAATCGCGTCCAAGAATGTCACTCAAGTGGTGTGCTGTCTTGGGCCCAGTAAGAACAAACCGAGCCCCGCCACACAGGCTCTGCTATTGCGCTGGTTGATTCTTGCGTATGATCTTTTCGAAGAACGGACGCATCTCGCCAAACTTTATGCTGTTATTTTCAACCATTTGGACATGATTAGTTTGCGGAAATCACTTTGTCACCTTCTCTCGCTCATCACAAGACGAAAACACGTCAAGCCATTCCGCATTCAAGCCTTGATGGAGTTGATTCAGACTGCTGGTGGCGAAGACAGAGAGCTTATCAGCCTTCTAAGGATTTTCAAGAATTATTACCCCGAGATCATTCTCGGTGAGTTTGGAGGATCGAGAAGGAACGCCCTCTTCTTCAAACATCCAGACCCCGAGTGGTCAAGCCATGTGAAGGTGCTCCAAGATAAAAATATGGAAAGAGTACAGGCCGGCCAAGGATCGAGTTTCCAAGTCGTTCATCGAGGGACTGTGAAAAGAAGTAGGATTGAGGTTGTTATTCCGACTCTACAAACGTCACGGGTATCTCATAAGCATACATCCCTAGAGGAGCTTCGTGACATTAGCCATTTTGTCGACAAGCTTGACAAGATCGAGTTACCAAATCAGATTATCTCAACTTTGGGCGATGCAATGGCTCAGAAGTATCTCCATCTGGTTCAATCCGAACTCGCACATCATCGTCTCAATGAATGGCTGAGAAGTTTCCTGGATGATAAGTTGGAGATGCTACATGAGGATGAAGATGACGAGCTCGAGACATTATCGTATGTGTTGGATTTTGTTGTGGGATATGCATCATATACCAAGGTGAGTCCTTCGAATAACCACTGTCAACTCAGACGCTGACAAAGGATTAGGAACTTCCATCCTCGATACGTTCTTTTTTAAAGTCTTATCTACAAATATGGAATGGCAAAGATAATTGTGACCACGTCTTCCGACTTCTCCAGTACATCCCAATCGAGTCTTTCGGGTCTCTTCGGAGTGAATTATTGTCACCATTGGAGTCAGCTGTGTTGGATGAGAGTCTTCGTTCCAGAACAGGGTTGCTCGGGCTCTATTCAGCATTGATCAACCAATGGGGCGTGAAGCTTCGATCACAGTCAGATACAACAGAAGAATCAGTTCATCTGAGTCAAGTCATCGTGCATGCCGAGCTTCTAGCATCTTCGATTCTGGAGTTCTCGGTGGAGGACGAGGATAAAAAGTCCAAACCAGCTACTGTCTCTGTGCTCGACTTCTACAGGACCCTTTCGGAACTCTTTTCTCATGCGCCCCAAAACGGCCGGTTCCGCCTCACCCTTCCGCATGCGCAAACCGTATACACACTCGCCTTCACACCCAGTGTCGCTGTGATCTCAGCCCTGAACTCCATCTTGGCCGTCTACAAATCTGCATTCGAGGCCTCTCTGAATTCCCAAGTTCTTCAAGCACAAAATTCCCCGCCTTATGGGACGGATCTCGTTGGTCGGTTCAACGGGTATGTCATGGATATGTGTAATGTGTTATGGCGCAACCGTGCACTTAATACCGAAGACCCGAATGCGCTAGGCTGTCTCGTCCCAGCACCAACCGCCACTGCTCTGACAATCTATATCAAAGACTTGTCCGAGGCAGCCAAACACTATGATCGCGAAAGTGCTTTCCATATTAATCTTACGTCGATATTCTCTCTCAGCCACCATGCTGCATTCTGCAACCTGTCTGCAGCTTGCTTTGCGGATCTGGAAGAGGACCAGCAGGTTGCGGATCACCGCCCGAAATTAAGAAAGCCGGTCACCCAGAAGGTGCTACAGGCACTAGAGAAGGATGGTGGTGCTAAGATTACATGGCAGGAGTACCGTGTACATATGCTAGATTGGTTGGATGCGATTGGGTGTCGGGGTACCGGGATTCTGATGAGAAGCACGATGAAGGCTTTGCGCAAAGAGTAATAATAATAGTCCGGTGAGACTTGATATCAGTTCTAGAAATGAAAGTTCCCACAACGCCGTTAAATGCTTGGTATCGGTATAATACATATTTGTACATGCTCAGCCATCGATATGAGACAGTCTCGGTTCCAGACTGACCGCAGCATAGCGTTGAAGATGTCAGAACTTCTCTATCGAGTTCAGGTATATGTCCTGAACACTGGGATCTTCACGCAGAGCACTCAATAGGTCTTCAAGGTCTTTCACCTGTTCCTCGTCCTTGACCTCGACCATGCTATCCCTGTTGGGATCCCAGAAGATCTCCAATTCCTCAATGCTGAGACCTGAAAGTTTCGAAAATGTCTCGCCCACAGTTTTCGTCTCTGACGGATCGGTCAAGATCACGAGACGATCCTTGTCATCAGTGGTGATGTCTGCCGCGCCTGCTTCGATCGCCTGGTCCAAGTAGTCGTCTACATTCGCAACCTCTTTCTTTTCCATAACGACCCTTCCCTTCCTCTCAAAGAGGAATGTAGTCGGGGTGACGATTCCTCCATTGTCTTTAATCATATAGCGAACGTCTTGTAGCACGCGCGCCTTCTGATCCGTTTGACACTCCACAACCGCAGCCACCGAACCAGGAAGCATGGCCTCAATTGTCACAGACTCTAGTGCTTGACCCGACACACTAAGTCCTTGTCCGCGAGCAATTGCTGCCTCGATAATGATCTTCGGGATAGAGGCTCGTTTCGCATTCGACAGCGCGAGGGCTAGACGAGGATTGTACTTCGTGTCAGGTCCCCACACTAGAACAGAAGGTTAGGAACTGAGATATGAACAATTGAAGGATCATACAGACTCTGTGTAGCACTGGCAATTTCCTTCCCCACTATTTGGCGTTCCCTGCTCTTGGCCTTGTCATTTCTGGCCTTGTCATGCTTAATTGTGGACCATTTGTTGTGACCAGAGAGAATGGCCGACGAGGTGCTAAAGTAGCGACAATCATGACAGGCAGAATCAACCCGGGGCTGCCGCAGCAGCCTGCTAAGCCTGAGAGCCATATTGCTTTTCCTTCGTATATTGTAGATGAAGATCCAATCTCCGTTGAAATTCCCTCGGGCAGCTGTTTATCCGATCTCCGCAGACCGTGAGGCCACACGATAAGGAGAACATGGGGTTGACGCAACTACTGTGAACTAAATCCTCCCACCTTTTTTTTCTTTTTTCTTTCTTTTCTTATGGGGCTACACTTGCCCTGAATCTATATCATGTCTTCCGATATCCCACCACCATCTCCTCCACAAAATGTGGTCCCTGAGCTCGATATCCCCAAACTACACGCCCTCCCCTCCGAACAACAGGAACTGTACATGCTTACGTTCACCTCCGACCTCGTACAATACATAACTGGATTGGAAACTGTGGAAGTTACACCGCAACAAAAGGATCTCAAAAAGGAATTGTTCAAGATATTGAACCTGCCTTCACCGACTATCACTCGAGTCCTCCGCACCAATCTAGGGCGATGTTTTGGCGCAATACTCAGCAAAGGGGATCGTGGGATCCTCTTCGAAACAATCACCGACCTGCTGACAATCGTGAATGCTGGCAAGAGTGAAGCTGAATTGAAGACCAAATTCGCTGCGGCGCATTGTCTAGGGGAGGTCTTTGCGACAGCTGGCGATAGTGCATTCATGCAGTCAAATGTTGCGATTTCGGGCGCGCTCAAACTGCTGAAATCAGCAAGCAACCACACAGGTCTAAGGGGAGTTATCTTTGCAGTAATGCGCAAGATTATTGTTGGAATTGGGGTTCCGATCGATGAAGGAACTGCCCGCGACATCTGGAAGCAGGCCCGAAATGCTGCTATCAGCGACAAGTCCACTTTTGTCCAAGTCCATGCATGCCGCTGCCTGGAGCAGCTGGTTGCCACGACACCATTCTTCGATAACGCACATGACTTCGAACACCTCAAAACCCTTGTATGGAAGGTTATCGACAGCCCCGCTGCGCCGGTGCGGCACGCCGTAGCTGCGGTTCTCGGTCGGGCACTGATTAATTTACATGCTACGGATACGCACATCACGGCCACCCCGAAACCAAAATCGAAGAAATCGAAGCGCATGTCGAAGAAACCTGGTGCGGGGCTTGGAGATGAGGAAGATGCCGAGATGTCAGAGTCGTCTGCCCCTAAGAAAGCCGACTCGCGCTTGTACTTCCTTCTTCCGGAGTTGTTGAGGCAGCTCTCAACCCAATATTTGAAGAGTACCACTTCGAATCGCTCTCGAGCTGGGATCTGTATATGCTACAAATATGTTGTGCGCAATCTTGGGGACAAGATTGTCGAAGAGCGCTATGGTCAGATTGCGTCCAACTTGCTTGTCGAGTTGTTGAATCACCCGACCGTCACATACAACCGCTTCCGCCTACTCATGACCAGGAAGTTTATCAAGAGCATCCTTGAAGATACTATTGGCCAGGAATTGCTGCGCGAGAACAGTCAACTGAATGCCGCAACGTGGCTAATCAACGATATCCTCAAGGACTACCCCCAGGTGATCCAGGAACGTCGCGAGCCTAGCAAGTACACACTAACGAGCGCGGTCAGCGCTCTGTCCTCGTTGATCTCATCACTTGGCTCCGCCTTCAGCGTTCAGGCTGATAACTGCCGAGATGCTCTGCTTCAAGTCCTTCCCCACCCTAGCTATACTGTTCAAGTCCACGCTGCGCATTGTCTGCGAAACTTTGTCCTAGCCGCTCCTCATCAGCTCCTGTCATGCGTGACAATCTGCATGAACAGTTTGAATAGGGAAATCGGACAGCTAGGCACACCGCGCCAGTCGCCTCGCCGGTGTGTTGGCTATGCCAATGGGCTGTCTGCAATGCTCAGCACTTCTCGTTTACAACCACTGTATGGAGCAGTGGATGTGTTTGCGCGAGTTTTTACCCAGGCAACCGATCTTCTCAAGACGAGCGGTACTTCCGAGCTTCGGGTTGCGAGCATTCAAATCCAAGTGGCATGGATTCTGATTGGAGGTTTGATGCCTCTGGGACCCAGCTTTGTCAAGACCCATCTGTCTCAATTGATGCTTCTCTGGAAGAACGCACTCCCCAAACACCTCGGAAAGGAGAATGCTGCCCAGCCAAGCACTGTTGAGATCAGTTTCCTGACTCATGTTCGCGAGTGTGCACTGGGCTCGCTGCTGGTGTTCATGGAGTTTAACAGCAAATTGATCACATCAGATGGCGCAAAGAGAATTTCTGCGATGTTGCAGAACACCGTCGAATTTTTAGATCAGTTGCCTAAACCGAAGGCTATGGAAGATCTTTCGCAAAGGCTCCACCCATCCCTGCAATTGCAAGATTATTCGACTATGGTGCGCCGACGTGTATTGCAGTGTTTCTCGAAGCTTGTGCATGTTCATCCACCCAGTCATGGGGACATTATTTCCCAGTCCAGACTTCTCAGCCTGGCTATTTCCTCATTCGCAGACCCAGATGCCCAGTATAAGCAACTAGAAAGCTCTATTTCCGGCTCTGCTGGACAATTCGATGGTCTATGGGACCTCTGTGATAATTATGGATTTGGTGTCACTGGACTCTCTCGAGAATATATCCGCGCTACACTGTCTGGCACTCAGGAAGATGACAAGAGTCCCGCCTGGTCTGCGCTTGATTCCGTTGACCAAGTTGTGGACGACACCTTAACTTTCCCCATTTGTGAAGCTAGCGAACATGACGCGGTTCTTCTATACAGTCTGCGAGATGGAGATAAGCTTGCTGTTGATCCCCCAACAACAGGAGTTGTCAACTCGGCAATCGATTTGTTCTCTGTGGCCCTTGCTCTTCATTCGTCCAAAATCCAGGAAAGCAGTGTGGAACAGATCGCTACATTCCTCACTTCCCCGGGCCTACAAAGAAACCCCGGCAGGAAAGCAGCATTGGTCGTAAATATCTCGGTCGCCCTTTTACAAACTCTGAAAGTTGCTGTTAAGGAGACAGACTTTGTGCCCGGCAAGCTGAATCCATCCACTGATAAGATTTTGCAAGAGCTTCTCCAGAAGTTTGTCATAGATGCTGATCCCATTGTTCGTACAATCGGCGCCGAAGCACTTGGACGACTTTGCGACAGCGCCGGAAATACCTGCACCAATACACAGGTCAATTGGCTTGTTGATACCATTGTCGCGAACAGAGAGCCTAATGCTAGAGCTGGCTGTGCTGCTGCCCTAGGATGTATCCATGCTCAGATTGGCGGAATGGCAGCTGGTCTACACCTTAAAACGATTGTTGGCGTTTTAATGTCTTTGTGTAATGACCCTCACCCAGTTGTCCATTTCTGGGCGCTTGGGGGGTTGGAGAGAGTTGCCAACTCCGCTGGTTTAACATTCTCCCCTTTTGTCTCTGGCTCTTTAGGGATGCTTGCTCAACTCTACATCGCTGATACCCACAACGAGGAGGCAGCTGCCTTAGCGACATCCAACATAGAAATGTCATTCTTGACACCCGTCGTGATCAGTCGATGCGTGGACTCTCTCATCAATGTTCTCGGGCCAGACTTGCAAGACATTGCGAAGACCCGAAATCTCATTTTGACCCTGCTTCGCCAATTCCAATTGGAGGAAAACTCAGCGTTGGTGACGGAAAGTTCCAAATGTTTGGACCACTTCTCGATGTATGCCGCCAGTTATGTCGACCTTGAGGCGTACGTGAAGCGACTACAGACCGAGCTTCGGGCAAGCAACTTCCTCATGCGAGATGTGGCAGTTCGTGGACTCAACAACCTCATGAAACGGGACGCATCGTTTGTGATGCAGACGGCTGGTCAATCTTTGGAAGATGACATTTGGCTCGCATTCGATGAAGCACCGAACAATAAGTCACTCAAGTCAATGATTCAGGACTGGCTACAGCAGACTGCTTTGACAGAAACCGAGATGTGGATCCAACGTTGTCAGAACATCATGACCAAGACACGCCACAAGGTGGAAGCTCCTAACACAGCCGTTCAAGCTGCAGCT